CATGGCTCACAGGGGCGGGGGCAGCACCTGGGATACTGGAGAGTCTGACAAAGCCTCATGCTCTTAGAGATGGAGCTTTCCTGGGATATTAAGGGTATCTGATATACTGGGATCAAGGGTATGTAATACTGAATTAGCCCACTGGTTGGTTTAGCATAGTTCTGGGTAGAAAGGTCCCACTCCAGGTGTGTGTGGCAACACCCAGTAAGCTTGTGCTCTGGATCGGATGGAGGGACCAGGAGCTGCTGTGGGCTGCTTCTCCTGTATGATTGCCCCTCTGCCACCCTGCCTGCTTTGCAGCCGGCTGACTGTAGACTGAAATCTCTACAAATTGTGAGCTGAAATAAACGTTTCCTCCTGTACCCTGAGGATATCAGTTATTTTGTCTCAGCAATGAGAAAATACTGAACTGAAGATAGTCCGCATTTGAAGTTTAAAAGCATGGCACCTCTGTCATACAGCAGGTCCTGAATTTGATTTCCAGTGCTGAAAAAGAAAGAAAGAACCTAATTCATATCCTCATTCCTTGAGTATAAGTATTAGAAGAAAAGTACCAGTCCAATTTTATGGACATTGTGTATTTTGTTGTTGTTTTGAGCCAGGGTCTTGCTATGTAGTCCAGGCAGGTCCTGAACTCACTATGCAGCCCAGGCTGACCTGGAATTCACAGGGATTCTCCTGCCTCAGCCTCCTGAATGCTGGGATTACAGGTGTGTGCCACCACACTGGGCAAAAAAAAAAAATTTTTTTTTTTTTTGGTACTGGGGATTGAATTCACAACCTCACGCTTCACACTTGTACCACTGAGCTAACTCCCTGGCCAAGAAATCATTCTTGACCTATGTCATTGACCACTTTTTCCGTCTTTTACTGGTGCTGTTAGTCAAATCCAGACCCTCCGGCATTCGAAACACACATTCACACTTGAATTTCCCTCAGGCCTTTGCCACTTTTTCCTACAGGGCAATGGCACTCTGGGAAGCAAGCAGTCACACTGCTATAGGTTAAAATTTGAGAAGCCTTTGTTTTGATGCAACCTTCAAAATTCTTAGAGATTCCATGAACATGAGGCACTAGGAAAAAAAAAATCCTTAGAGACAAGGAGGGTGTGGTGGTGCACGCCTGTAATCCCAGCACTCAGGAGGCTGAGACAGGAAGGTAGCTACCAGTTTGAGGCCAGCCTGGGCTACATAGTGAGTTCAAGGCCAGCTTGGATTAAATTGCAAGAACTGCCTAAGGAAAATAAAAAGTTCCAGTGGCTTTCCTGCCACATGTAAAGGCAGGAGGGAAGGATCAGGGGCAGCATCTTTTGATGGGTTGTGCCTGTATGCAAATGGATGATTGAGAAGAACAGAACGTCTGACTGGTCCTGTATATGGTACAAGTTCAACTGAAGGATTGACAGTAGCACCTTTCTCATTGGCTTTATGTCCCTCACCCTGTTCCCATCCTGTTCATTGTGTTCGGGCATGAGAGGGGACAGAAATGCAGGTCAAAGTGAGTTTTGGGTGGGAGGTCATGGGTGTATTTCATATGACTCTTTGTGGTGCTGGGGATGGAAGGTGCCAGGGCCTAGAGCATGCTAGGCAAGTGTGCTGAACTACAGCCCCATCCCATCATCTCAAAATGTTAACAACAGTGATTTTATAGCCAACAGGGGTGTTGCACACTTGTCATCTCAGCACTCAGCAGGCAGAGACAGGAGGATCTCTGAGTTCAAGGCCAGCCCGGAATACATAATGAGAGCTTATTTCAGATAAAACAGTGATTTTATCCTCCTGCTTGTTTTTCTAAGGAAACTTGGGTTTGTATTGTTGCTTAGATATAACCACAGGAGTAGCTGTGGGCCCAGCACTAGCCCCAGCCTACGCAACTGTCTTCGTAGGGTACCATGATCCTGAGGTACTGCGGTCCTTGGGGCACAGGCTCCAGCCTCTCCACTTGCCCCAGAGTCTGATTAGTGCTGGTTTCCATCCAGGAAGGATTCCTCCAGGGCCTGATGCAACTGCCACATCCCTGCCCTGGGGAGAAGGAATCCACACTCCACAGTGGGGCTGGCCTCTTTTTCAGTTTTGTTTTGTTTTGCCTCCCCCCCCCCCCCCCCCCGTCTTGCTAGTAGTCGAGGATGGCCTTGAACTTAAGATTTAGGTGAGGGCGGCCTCAAACTGACAGGGATCCTCCTGCCTCAGTCTCCCAAGTGCTGGGACTGCAGGTGTGCACCACATGCCCTCTGAAAATGAACATGAAGATCCACACAAAGACGTGTGCAGACATTCACTGGAGTTTATTTATAAGGAGCCCTAATTAGAAACAACTTGAATATGTAATCATGATCCACAGATAAGTAAATTGTGCTCCTGGACAGTGCGGGACTCAGCCATGAGAAGGGCTGAGACTCTGGACATGCTGAAGGCCACAAAAGCACCCTGGTGGAGGGAAAGAAGACTTGAAAGGCCACTTCCTATGTGGCCCCATTGCTATGACAGTTTGGGAATAATGGCAAAACCACAAGGACAGAAATCAAGTTTGTGGTTCCCAGTGGCTGGGAGAAGGAAGGAGCTGGCACCTTCCATCCCCAGCACCACAAAGAGTCATATGAAATACACCCATGACCTCCCACCCAAAACTCACTTTGACCTGCATTTCTGTCCCCTCTCATGCCCGAACACAATGAACAGGATGGGAACAGGGTGAGGGACATAAAGCCAATGAGAAAGGTGCTACTGTCAATCCTTCAGTTGAACTTGTACCATATACAGGACCAGTCAGACGTTCTGTTCTTCTCAATCATCCATTTGCATACAGGCACAACCCATCAAAAGATGCTGCCCCTGATCCTTCCCTCCTGCCTTTACATGTGGCAGGAAAGCCACTGGAACTTTTTATTTTCCTTAGGCAGTTCTTGCAATTTAATCCAAGCTGGCCTTGAACTCACTATGTAGCCCAGGCTGGCCTCAAACTGGTAGCTACCTTCCTGTCTCAGCCTCCTGAGTGCTGGGATTACAGGCGTGCACCACCACACCCTCCTTGTCTCTAAGGATTTTTTTTTTCCTAGTGCCTCATGTTCATGGAATCTCTAAGAATTTTGAAGGTTGCATCAAAACAAAGGCTTCTCAAATTTTAACCTATAGCAGTGTGACTGCTTGCTTTCCAGAGTGCCATTGCCCTGTAGGAAAAAGTGGCAAAGGCCTGAGGGAAATTCAAGTGTGAATGTGTGTTTCGAATGCCGGAGGGTCTGGATTTGACTAACAGCACCAGTAAAAGAGGGAAAAAGGGTCACAACACCCTCTCTCTCCACACACCAGCTCCGCTTAGTCACTGGCTCCAGACACTGACCTCCTCACTGGCTCCCTGGCCTGCCCTGACTCTGCCCCAGGACTGAGGTCCATGCTGCTCCCTTGCCTGCTGTGCCCTTTGCCCCAGCATCTCTCTGGCTTGCTCTGGCTGTCTGCTCACTTTCAGCAAATCTTCAGATCCAAACTTGTTAAACTTCACCTGGTTTTCTTTTCCTCCTATCTCCCCTCAATCTCAATAGCCTGAAGAGCCCTAAAGTCCGGGGTGGGACTCCCTCCAGCTACCCCTCCCCCCCTCCAGCCTATTTGCATTGGTTTTATTACTGCCGTGTACCCAGCCCTTGTTCCAGCCCCCAGGAGGGGCTCAATCAATGGCAACTCGATGAACAACAGGACACCAGAAGCTGTGACCTATTCTCGGTCATAGTAACCCAGAATTAATGACTTTTTTTATTCTTTTTAAGATGTTTTTTTTTTTTTTTTTTTTTTTTTCTGGAGCCTTAAGACTAGAGTGAGCCTCTTGTCTCAGCCTCCACAGTGCTGGGAGTACAGGTGTGTGCCACTGCGCCTGGGTTTTTGTTTTGTTTTGAGATTGTCTCCCTCTGTAGCTCAGCTGGCCTGGCACACAAGATCCTCCTGCCTGCCTCAGTCTCGCAAGTGTTGGAATTACAGATATGCGCCACCACTCAGGGTTGATGGCTTCAGTTCTTGGAGCAAACCACCTAGACCACAGTTCGGGGCCAGGGTCCTTCTCACAGCCATGCTGAGTCAGGACCTCGCCCCCAAAGTGGAGCCTGTTAGACCCTTGGGACCGAGACTGGGAGCACACACAGCCAAAGAAAAGGGACAGGAAGGGCTCAGCTTTCCAGGACATCTGCCCAGGAGTGCGCAGCCATCGGAGTCCCAGTGAGGGTGGCGGAGACCAGAGCAGCCTCCGCTGGTGGCACTGCTGGGGTGGCCATGCAGCAGGACCCAACCCCCACCAAGCTACCGTTCGGTCACTGGCCACACCAATCTGGTGCCTTGGCTCACAAGGTCCAGGCCCTGTCGCCTGGTGCCCTCTGGTGGTACAACTGGTTAGGGCCACGAGAGGACTCCTGTGTCTCCCCCCAGGGCTTTCCCAAGTAAACCCCAGTTCCAAAGGCTAAGTGCAGACAGGAGGGTGGAGGACAGGCGCAGTCAGCAGCCCTGGGTCTGACTGGTGCCTATGCTGACCAGCAAGGTGAGCCCCCCCAGTGACATCACAGAGCCACTCAGTGAAACCTTGCTGCCCGCCCAGCCCTCCAGCTACTTCCCACTGTTTTTTTTTTTTTTGTCTTTTTCATTTTTATCGGTACTGGGGATCAAACTCACCACCGCCTGCTTGCAAGGCAGGAGCTTATGCCGCTGAGCTAAATCCCCAGCCCCTACTTCCCACTGTTGTTGTTTTGTTTTTGGATAGGATCTGGGTAGGGAGCTCAGGCTAGCCTTGAACTCACAATGAAACCTCTGCCTCAGCCTCCCCGGTGCTGCCATTACCAGCATGCACCACCCCACTCCCACCCCCAGCTTCCCTTCCCAATTGCATTCTACCAAAGAGAAGGGGAAAGCACAGGGCAGTTAATGCCCCACCCAACATCACTCAGCCCCCCCCCCCATCTAAGGGCCATCCCTAGGTGGGCAAGGCTCTCCCACGCCAGTTGAGATGCAAAGAGGCTGAGGCAGCTGTCAGGAGTATAAAGTGCAAATGCAGCAGGCTTTATTGAGGGCCTCCTGTGCCACTCTCAGCCTGCTAGGTATACCCATCCCCCGGCACTGCCCACTAGCGGGGGAAGAGGTCCAGGCCAGACCCAGCTCGGAGTCAAAGAGGGGCAAGGTAGAGGTAGAGGTGGGCAGAGACACAGCCACTCTGTCCTCAGGGGGACAGGACCTGGCATTTGTCCGGCTAGCACAAAGGCTGAGGAGCTACCTCCTGTACTCTGTCCTGGGCTCTGAGCCGCCTGGGCTCTGAGATGCCTTTTGGCCCTGTGACCTTCAGAAGTGACCGGGGTGTGTCTCTGAGTGGTCTCTCCTGACCTATGATGGGGCCGAGCCTAAGGTGCCAGGAGGTCCTCTGCTTGCTCTCTGGCTCCTGCCAGCAGTCAGTCCCCACTTCCGCTCCTGGACGCTCCTCTAGAGCCACCATTCAGCTTGGCAGGTCAAAGACCCTGAAGGGCAGGATGCCCAGACACCAAGCAAGGGGACTTGAGGCAGCAGACGGCTGGATGGGATGAGAAAGAGGGCTCAGATGCAATCAGACAAACACCGCAACAGCCAGGGACGCGGATGCAGGGACAGCCAAGGACACAGAGAGGAAGGAGGCAGAGGCGGTGGGGGCGAGGGGAATGGGGAGGGGGGGACGGAATACGGGGGACACAACTGCAGAAGGAAGGGAGGGAGGCCCAAGCCCCTGCTCCCTGCTGCTGCACCTAGAGCTCGTCCCGGGGGTGGGGATGGAGGCCATGCCCGCTGCTTCCCAGGTCCAGGCGGGGGTCACGCAGGGTCTTTTGGGAGCCAGTCCAGCTAATGAGGCGGCCGCTGTCATCGTCCCAAGGAGAAGATGTTTCTGTGTCACTGAGCCACCCGGTGTCCCCTGCATAGTGGGTGGGGGAGGCGAGGAGAGGCCGGGTGGAGAAGGCTCTCAGGTCCCGTGGCCAGAAGTGCTCCTTATACTGCTCACTGCAGGGGTGTGGAGGGACAGTGCGGGTGACCCTTCTGCCGGCTGGTCTTCTCCAGAGACCCCATGATGCCTCACAGCAGCCCTGACAAGTGGAAATCCTGTGATCCCCATTTTCCATGCAAGGATACTGAGGCTCAAAGCAAGAAGTTATCAAGTTAACAACTCTGCAGCCAGGTGTGCTGGTGTGTACCTGTAATCTCAGCATTTGGGAGGCTGAGGCAGGAAGACTGCCACAAGTTTGAGGCCAGAGTGGGCTATGGTGAGACACTGTCTCAAAGCCCCAAAAGGAAAAAAAAATGTAACTATAAAAATAAAAGCTACATAGGCAGCACAGCCTCCCCTCTTGACCAAGTCTGACTTGCGGGGGGGGGGGGGACCTGCCCAGAAAGGGAACTCCCTGAAGCCCACCCTCCCCCCAGGCTCACTTTGGGTGCTGGTCGAACATGATGGGCAGGAACTCGTCCACAGGTACCATGCGGCGCAAGGGCTGTGAGGCCAGCAGCTTGCGGGCACCTGCCAGGCTTAGAGTATAGGCCAGTGTCCAGTAGGAGTAGCCAGCCACCACCAGGCCCGGCAGTCCTTCCACAGCCACTTCTTCTTCGGGGCTCACCTGCTTCCGGCCGAGGTAGCTACAAGTGACACCGAGGGCCCCCATCACTGCAGGTGCTGATTCTCTGTCCCTCCCTTGCTCTGGGGTGCAGACGGTCTTACATCAGGTCCCACTGCAGCTTCTGCGTGGCCACCTCCTCCATCAGCTGCTCTAGCCGGCCCCGGAAGTTCCTCTCAAAGCGGACGTCGTCTTCAAGCACCAGTACCTGGGCCAGGCCCCTGGCGGCCATCTGTGGTTGGAGGCAGGGTGAGAGATGGCTCTGCAGAGTGGCACTGTCCGCTTCCCACCTGCCTACTGCTCTTCTTAGTGACAACAGCTCCTTGTGGTCAGCCCTGGGTACACCATGCAGCTTCTCCGCTGGGCGCCCACTGCCCAGCAACTAAAGTATCAGCTCCACCAGGCACCAAGGCTCTCCAGGCTCCAGAGCAGCTCTCCAGAGAAAATCATGATGGTCACTACCATCCTGCTCCATTCACTGAAGGCAGCTCGACACCAGGGGCTGTGGCTCATCTCCAGGGACCGTGACATGGGGATGGACAGTGGCTCATCCATGGCACAGGGCAAGAAGTATGGGGCTGGGACTGTAACTTTATATTGTTATTATTATTTGATACAGGGTAGCCCAGGCTGGCCTCACACTTGTGGCAATCCTCCTGCCTCAGCTTCCCGAGTGCTGGGATTACAGGCTTGTGCCACCACACCCAGCGTTTCAACCTTATTGCTGACCTGCAGGATTGGTCACTTGGGCCTCCTGAGCCTCTCAGAGGAAGTGAGGCTAGTAGGAGGAGGGGAGACCCCAGCCCCCCACATCACAAGGAGAAAGACTTTTTTTTTTGGTCTTTTTTCCTTTTTATCAGTATCGGGGGTTGAACTCACAACTGCCTGTTTGCCAGGCAGGCGCTTATGCCGCTGAGCTAAATCCCCAGCCCCGGGAAAGACTTTTTGTAACTTTGTTCTTTTTGTTCGTCTGTTTGTTTTTGAGACAGGGTCTCACTGTGTAGCCCAGGCTGGCCTCGAGCTCAAGGCAAACCTGCCACAGCCTCCTGAGATTACAGGTGTGCGCCACCATGCCTAGCAGTAATTCGGTAAATATGAAAATATGAAATCCATTCAGTAAGTGATGAACTATGTCATCCTCCAATTTTAAAGACAGTTAAAAAAAAGTACAAATGTAAGCTTACAGACTTGCACATATGAAATAAAAATAAAGCAAAGGGGGGCCGGGAATACAGCTCAGGGGCAGGGTCTGCCTGGCGAATATGAGTTTGATCCCTGGCACCCAATTAAAAAAAAAAAAAAAAAGACAAAAGAAAAAATAAAAGCAAAAGTAAAGGCAGGTAGGGTGGCTCTCACCTCTACCCATTTGGGAGGCTGAGGCAGGAGGACTGTAAGATCAAGGCCAGTCTGGGTAACTTGGTGAGATCCTATCCCAAGAACTGAAGATGATTCGGGTCACAGCTCACCGGCAGAGCCCTTGCCTAGCACGTGAGGCCGTAGGTTTCACAGCAATGACACGTGTGCACGCACATGCACACACAAGCAGGAATTCAGCTCTGTGCTCTCTGAGGGCCTCAGGACTCCTTCTCCGGCCCTCCAGGCTGCCTAGGTGTGGAGCATCTCCCAGACTCTACTCCTGAACACCTCCCCTGGGCCAGGCTGGCTTGGCCCCTGCTTCCTGCGGGCACCCTCACCTCTTCCCAGATGGAGTAGTGGCTGAGGAAGCAGCCCACCTCGCCCTTGGTCAGCGTGCGGCCCGAGTAGGGGTCCTGGTAGCCAGGGAGCAGGTCCACGCCCAGGCTCCTGAGGACACTGCTGTTGAGCATCCTGTGGGACACAGGGACTACAGTGATGGGTGCTGGCCAGGGCCCCTCTGGGCGGCCTGACCTGCATGCGCTGTAGAGTCACGCCTGAGTCTAGGCTGAAGGAGGTTTCAGCTTTTTGGCTCTTTTGTGTGGCCAAAAACTGTCAGCCACAGGGCCTGGGGAACCACAGCCACCTCAAGGAAAGGGGGAGGTGGGCTGCAGGGCTAACGGAGGGGCCCCAGGATGGATGTGGGTGACACGCTGGAGACTTCTTGGGCAGAGTCCCCAGCACAAGATGGACATCCTGAAGTCAAAGAGACAGGAGGATCTCAAGTTCTAGCCTGGCCCAGACAACTTAACAAGACATTGTCTCAAAATAAATAAAAAATGGCTGGGATGTCACTCAGTGTCAAGGCCTTGAGTTGACACTGGGTTTCATACTGGGTCAAGGCCCTCAGTATGAAAAAGGGGTGGGGGTGGCTGGGGTATAACCCAAACAGCAACCTGGCTCAGGTCCCCAGGAGAACATAGTGGGCTGAGCCCCAGCCCCTCAGGGACCTAAGTCCAGGGTAGAGGTGGAGACTGAGACCCCGAACCTGGAAGACTTCCCAGGGCTCAGGACCAGTCCTGCGAACCTTCACTGACCAAGTCACAGAGAAGCTTAAGAAGGCAGGGTTATTAGCCATTTCCACAATGGGGCCCACCGTGCCTGGGGTCACACGGCTGGATCCCAGGCCCACTGTTCTAGCTTGCTCCAGGGGGTCAAGGGAGGTGTCTTGTCTTGTATCTGTCTGCCCAGAACTCCCTGAGACAGCAGGACTCAGGCCCTGTTTGGGTTTTTGGTTTGTTTGTTTGTTTTCTGAGACAGGGTCTCACTTCCTATAGCTCAGGCTGGCCTTGAACTTATTGTCACCTTGAACTGGTAGGGATCCTCCTGCTTCAGCCTCTCTGGTGCTGGGCTTAAGGGCATGTGCCATCCCACTTGGCTCACTTGGGCTCTGTTCTCAAGTCTCCTGGACCTTCATTCACCCCCTCTGCTCTGCCCACCCTGGGAGCTCAGGGAGAGACCACGGCACCCCATGGCTGCATCCCACGGAGGCTCACCAGCCATCCACAGCATCCACCACGCGCCCTGAGATCTCCATCTCCCAGAGCGAGCTCAGCATGCGTTGGCGACGGGCAGGCCTGCGGGCCAGGCTGATGACAAAGACCTGGGGAGCAGAGGCTGGCTGCAGGGGAGGAGGAGGGAGTGCCCAGCCCTCTGGCCCAAGCCCAATACCACAGATTGGAGGCCTCACCTCATCAAACCCCATCTTGCTGGGCCTCTTCGGGGGGCAAGACACATGAGCAGACACCTGCATGGGGGGCCCATCCACTGCAAAGGGAGGCGCCCATCATGAGTTCCAGCCCCCTTAGCAGAATGCTGGAGCCCAGGAAAAGGACACCAGACCAATATGGTGGCACATGCCTGTCATCTCAGCACTCAGGAGGCTGAGGCAGGAGGCCCGACACAAGTCTGAGGCCAGCTGGGTTATGTAGTGAGACCCTCAGAAAACACTAAAGAAAGAGGCAGTAAAGGAAGGTGGGGCCCGGTGTAGGCTTCCCGGCCTCACCGAGCGCCTGCAGGATCAGGTGGATGAAGTTGATCTTCTCCTCCTCCAGCCCCTCTCGGGGACCCACGGCCACGTTCATGTACCCGAACCGGTGCTCATTGCATATGTAGGCAGAGACCCCTGCAGAGAAAGGGGAGAGCCAGTGGGGCAGGGCTTGGGGGCCTTGCTGGGCGCTTCCAGGCGGTGGTGCTGGCACCCAAACCTGACTGAGTCTCGCCTGGGATGTGGGGCCCACCTGTGACTCAGCTCAGCTGTTCCTGGGGCTCCAGCAGGGCACTAGGGCCACGCTCTGCGTGGTGGGTGGAGGGAAGGAAGGCGCCACGGACACCAGTGAGCTGTGTGGCTCCATCTCCGAAGTCCCTGCATCCCCAATGTGCAACGCTAATCAGGGGACCAGCAGCTGGTTTTTTTCGGTCCTGGGAATCAAACTCAGGACCTTGTGCTTGCCAGACAGACAGCTGTGCCACAGAGGTATGCCCTGGTTGGAACACGCCCCTCCTCTTCCCGATGGATGTCCCTTCCACATAGTCCACCACCCGCCGGCCACAGTGGCCTCTTCCCTGGAGATCTGTCACTGTGCCAGAATCATCCTCGGGGCAGGTGCCCACTATCTTTCTCTCTCATTTCTTTGCAGTGCTGGGGGGTCCCACGCCCCTTCCATGCTGGACAAATGTTCTGCCACTGAGCTGCCTGCAGCTGCCATGGTGCGTTTGTTTCTTTGTTTTATTTTGTTTTGTTTTTCAGTTTTTTGGGGCAGAATTAGAGATTTAACTCAAAGCCTTTGTGCTGAGTTACACCCTCAATCTTTTTTATATTGTAAGCTTTTATTTTATTTATATTTTGTTTTGAGACAGGGTCTCACTATGTAGCCCAGGCTGGCCCTGAATTTACAGCTAAGTCGCTAAATTGCCCAGGTTGGCCTTGAACCTGGGACCCTCCTGCCTCAGCCTCCCAGGGTACTAGGATTACAGGCCTGCGCCACTACACCCAGGGTACACAGTGCATTTGAAAGCCAAACCCACACCGGGCCTGACACAGAGCCTGGCCCAGGGTAGATGCATGACAGTAATTAGACCTGATAGATAGACACAAACTGTGCTTCCCTGATTCTTCAAACCAGCAGCCATGGACGAGCGCCGGCGGGAGGGATCACAGAGCGCACCCCAGCCCTGGAAAGTGAACTCCTCCTCCCCGTCCTCATCCATGCTGCAGACTTCTCCACCTGGAGCACTGAACAAAAGATCACGGCACCCTCTCTGGTGCCTCAGGACATGCTGCTTGCCCGGCTACAAGGCTTCGGGGTTCACCGCACTCTGAACACGAGCTGAGCTGTTCTCCACCCACCACACAGGCTTCACAGCCGTGGCCACATCTCGGTCCACGTCCTGAATTACAACTCTGCAGCCTTCTTAAGCATAGCACAGTACAACACCTGGGAGGCTGAGGCAGGCGGACTGCCACAAGTTCGAGGCCAGCTTGGGCTACACAGTATGTTGAAGACCAACCTGAACCATAGCAAAATTCTGTTTCAAAAGAGAGAAAAAAAAAGAATGGCACCCCAACATTCATATCTCTCTCATCTTCAACCCTTCCAAAGGTCTGGATTTATGTCATCCATAACCAAATACTTTTGGTAACTTTCATCTGAAAAATACTGTGGTCGGGGTGTGATGCAGTGGTATCGTGTGTGCTTAGCATGATCCCAAATAAAGACATGAAAAGGCAGGGGTGTGGCTCAGTAGTGCAGTACCTGAACTTGCAGCAATCCTGCCTCAGCCTCCCAAATTCTGGAACTGCAGGAATATGCTACCAGTGTGGGAGTCGCCTGCCCTCTCATGTTGCCTGCTACCACTGGGCCATTGTATCTGCTGGTCCCTCTGTTTAGAAAGCTCTTTCCTGCCCTTATCCATTGTCTGTCCATATTTTAACTCTGAGATTAATCTCTCACCTTCTCCAGTAGCTTCCCCTGACCAGGCCACCTCTAGGCTAAGACTGGACATGCTGGGCTGCAGAGCACCTATAATCAGAGTTCCTTCCTGGCTCAGCAGTGACCAGAATGGAGGCTCAGAGGGCAGGGACTGGCATGTGGCAGCTGGTCCACAAATGCTTGCTTGTGAGGGAATGAATGAGGGCACCTAACCCGCTAGTGTGGGGTTCAGGAAAGGCTATGATCCAAAGGACAAACAGGAGCTAATAGGAAGAAATACAGAGTAGAAATGGGAACAGAATGTGCAAAGGCCCTGAGGCCTGAGGGACACAGCAGGCACAGGTCCTTACCAGCAGCCTCACAGGCATAAGCGAAAACAATGATGTCATCAAAGGGCCATGTGTAGTTGGGGTGAGGGGGGTAGAAGGTGAGCTGGTCTGCCCCCTCTGCCCTCAGTGATACCAGGAAAGTGGAGTGGACCATGGGGACCTGGAAGCAGCCCTGGCGCTGGCGGTTCTTGGTGGGGAAGTAGTCAGTCGTGCGGCGGTAGTACCCCTGGAGATAGGAAACGTTGGGCTGCAGGGTTCCCTCGTCACAAACCCCCAAGCCTGCAGGCTCCCTGCTGGAAGCCCGGCTCCCACAGCTCACCTGAGGGGTGATCCCACACCAGAAGTTGGAGTAGTAGGTCTGCGAGTCTAGCATGGGGGCCACCACCGGCAGCGCCTGCTCCGTCAGAAACCGCAGCGTCTGGTTGTTGGTTAGAATGTTGTCGGTGTCTGCAAACTGTGGGGAGAGAGCATCACAGGCCTCAGCCCTGTTGGGTTGTAGCCCCCAAGGAGGTGGCTGAGCGGGGGGGTCTCCCCAGGCCCTCAGAGGCCCAGAACAAGAGCTCCCTCAAGCTGCTCATCACCCAGGATCTGGCCTAGACACCAGCCAAGCAATGGACCCTAAAGACCAGACCTGGGTGCCTTGGCCAGACCTGCGCAGCTGATCGAGACCTTCTCTGAGAGCTGGCTGAGGGAGCAGATGCCAAGACCTTCGGTGAGCACTAGCCTGAGAGCTCGGCTCTGTAAATTCCAGGCACACCCCAGGAATTTAGGCCCAGAATATATCCTAGGACCTGTCTCAGGAAGCCATGCTTATTACGTAGTTGGAGCTCAAATGTCAGGAGCCACACTCACATCCGGTCTGGCCCTACACCAAGATTTCTACTGGGGTCTTGAGATGTAGTCCTGGCTGGCCTTAAACTTGTGGTGATCTTCCTGCCTCAGCCTCCTAAGTGCTGCTGTGCCATCACACCTGGCTCACAAACCCAGTTCTAAAGCAGGCTTCCTTACCAGGATGTAGTCAGCCCCCCAGGCCCTAGCAAAGGTTAGGGCTTCCTGCTTCAACTCCATCAGAAACTGGTGCCTTTCTTTGGTCCAGTGCTTGGGGCCTTCCTCATCAGGGTAGGACCTGAATGGGTAAAGAAATGAGATGTGTCATGGTGTAGGTGAGCATGGCTCTAGGTACCAGCTGTCCTCCACCCTCCCCTCAGTCGCACCTGGGTTCCCCCTCGGGCCTCCAGATCACAGCTGCATAGTGGTGGCCCACGGCCGCCAGCCACTCCCGCAGCATTGCCGTGGTGTTGTCTATGTTGTGGTCCGTGGCGCACCTGGGGACATGGGAGGACAAAGGCTGTCACAGCCTCAGGACTGAACCTCACAACGCCAATGCTCAAGCCGGCCTCTTCAGGGAACAGCACCTGATCATCACCCTGGGAGCCTACCTGCACCTGTCACAGCCCAGATTAAAGAGGGCATTTAAATGCCAGCCCTCACATTTGCTGGTCACTTTCCCTCCTAACTGTGTGACCCCCAGTTAGGCCCTTTCTCTCTCTGAATAGGGACTGCTTTCCACCACCCTCAGGGGCTGTATCAGGACCAAACCACACACTGAGCTCCTGGGTGTGAATAGGCCTGGCTCTGCGGACGCGGAGCAGTCTCCCAGGTCTTGGGAGGGGTCCTCATTTGGAGGTGGGGGGCTTAGTCAACAGCCCAGGGTTCAGGAGATGCTGCCCCTTTAAGCCAGTTCCCCAGAACTGAAGATTAACTACGTGTCAAGCCCTGTGGGGTGGGAAGGCCCTCACTCTCAGTTGTTGCGATTGTGGGCCCCACCCCGCCAGCTTTGGTGTGTGGTGTGTGGCGAGGAGTTTGTCATTTGGCGTCCCAGCCTCAGCTCAACTCGACTCCTCCCTGTTCGGTTTTCACAGACTCTGGTTGTGGCATCTGGTTGCAGCGCCCCCCCCCCCCGGGGACGCCAGGGGTCAAGATAGGGAGGACGTGGCACCAGCACAGCTGGAGGAGAGCAGCCAGACTCCCTCAGCTGCTCCCCAGGAACCTCCACGCGGGACCCCAGGAGATCCCAGAGCGTCCAGTCTGCTCCACTCTGAGCCAAGACGATCACAGGTCCCAAGGGGTTCCCTCTGGGACAAAGGCTGGGGCAGGAAGGTCTGGAGCTCACAGACCCCGGGGAAGGCCCAAGAGGTGGTGTAGAGGGCTGGAAGGCGGGCCAGGGTTCCCCGCGTTGATCCCAGGAGACAGGGGTCCTGTCCTGGGCCCGGGGCAGAAGAAGGCCTGTCTGGGAGGGGAGGCCCCTATCAGGCCGCTTAGGAGATAGGTGCAGTGGGGTCACCCGCGAGGCTGGGGGGCTGCATTCCCCGGGGGTCCCCAAAGCCAAGTCGCTCACCAAAGGGCCAGCCTGGCCCGGGGATAGTCCAGCCGTTCCAGGGCGCCCAGGTAGTGGGGCAGGGAGTGCTCGGCATTGCGAGCCAGGATGGCCAGGACCACAGAGGGCAGCGGCGGCTCGGCGACCCCTGAAGCCCGCACCTGCAGCCTCAGCAGGAGCAGCAGCGCGAGCAGCGGGGCCGAGAGCATGGCTGGCGTGGGGCAGCTACGGCCCCCGGGGCTAGGCCCGGAGGGGGGCGGGGCGGGGCCTCGGCGGTCGAGGGGGCGGGGCCTGCCTGGCGGGGTGGGCACCCGCGCCCTGCGCGCGTGCCCGCGAGTCCCGTGCTCTCCCCTCCGCTGAGTGTCGCGGAAAGGCAAAGAGGAGGAGAGGCGGGGTCCCGGGTGACGGCATCGGAGAACATCGACTCCTCGCACCCTGAAGCCTCAGCCCCCCGGAACCCGGACTCTCCCGATCCTGAGTCCCTGCCTGTGCGGCTAAGCGCGGACCTTGGCTGCAGACCCCGCGTGGCCGAACCCACCCGGCGCGGCCGGCTCAGAGACCTGGCTCCTGGCCTCGCCTCTGCCCCGGGCGCCCCCTGGCGGACCCAGATGGGAACTTCTCAGACGGCCGAGAACAGTCGCGCGCCGAAGGGGAAGCCCCTGCTGAGAGGGCCGGGGGAGTACAGGGTCGGGCTCCTAACCTGGGGACGCCGTCCCGCGGTGCTCCTCGCCTGACGTCCTGGCGCGTCAGCGTCCTCGCTGCATCACGGGCACCAGGACTCCTCCGGTCCTTTAAGAGAGCAAAGCCCGCTCAGATGAGTGTAGGATTTGGGGACACAGAGCTCCTGGTGAGCCCAAACTGCTTTTGCCACAGTGCGGGTACAGCCTCCTCCCCACCCCCGGGGGCAGGCCCAGGCCCTAGGACCCTGTGGGGCTGGAAGGGAATTCCCAGGCTCCCTTAGGAGAGGGACAGAAAAGGGGAGGAACCTGGAGATGTCCTAGGTGGGCTGGGTGTTTGCCTGTGACCTTTCCTGAGCTTCAAGTCCTCATGGGTACATCCAGCCCAAGGCACCACCTGACTGCAGGCTTTGCCCCGTCTCAGGGAGGAGAAATCCCTGGAAGGTTTTGGAGTTGGCAGAGCTGCGAAGGAGAGACTCCCCAGCGATTGGAAGGTGACCCTTCAGCCCCTTCCAGGGTCAGAGAGTGGGACCAGACAAAGACTGTGCTCCCCAGGTGACAGCAGCCTGACAACACCTTCCACCCGAGTCCTGCACTGTTCTGGCCCGAGGCCTCCGCCAGGTTCCGTCACAGCTTCCGGCCAGTGGCCCTGCAAAAAAAAGGAACCCAGAGTCTGTGGAGGTGCAGAGACCACACACCAGCAGTGGGAGCTTCTGGCAGGAAGGCAGGGGTCCTCCCAGGACAGGGTTCCCTCTCTAAATCCCAGCAACATCCACCTTACCCAGCCCAGAGTCGCCCCAGAGCCTCTGCCAACCCTGTTGGTGGTGGAGTGCAGCATTCCAAATGCTGTGACCTCAGCATCCATAAACTGAAACTTAATCATCAGTGTGGTGGTACAGAGAGGCCGTTGAGAGGTGATTAAGTTAGGGGAGAGATTAGTACCCTTATAAAAAAGGCCTGGGGCTAGTTTAGCTCAGCGGCATAAGCACCTGCCTTGCAAGCAGGCGGTCGTGAGTTCAATCCCCGGTACCGATAAAAATGAAAAAGAAAAAAAAAAAATCCTTACAAACACAGGATGAAAGAAAAAAAAAAAAAGGCCTGACATGGGCTGGTGATCTGGCTCAGCAGCAGAGCTCCTGCCTGGCAAGCGCAAGGTCCTGAGTTGGATCCACCACCCCTCAAGTCCTGACACCTAGCCTGGCTCAGTCCTTGGGCTCAGTACCCAGGACTGAAAAAAAATTGAATGTAAAACAAAAATCTAGATAGTAATAAACCAGGCATGGTGGCACATGCCTGTAATCCCACCATTCAGGAGGCTGAGACAGGAGGGTGGCTTCCAAGTTTGAGGACAGCCTGCACTATGTAGTGAGTTAAAAGTCAGTTTGAACTATATAAACCCTGTGTCAATAAACTGGGCATCCTTGCAAGCAGGCAGTCGTGAGTTCGATCCCCAGTACCTTATCGGTAAAAAAAAAGTTTTGAGTGCTGCGATTACAGGAGTGCATCACCATGCCCAGTTTAATTTATTTATTTTTAACTTTTTTTTTTTTTTGTCTTTTGCCTTTTTATCGGTACTGGGGATTGAACTCACAACTGCCTGCTTGCAAGGCAGGTGCTTATGCCACTGAGCTAAACCCCCAGCCCCAATCTCAGCACTCCTGAAGCAGGAGAATCATTGCAAGTTTGAGACCAGCCTGGGCTACACAGTGAGCTCAAATTCAGCCTGAACTACAATAGTGAAACCCTGGCTAAAAAAAAAGAAGAAAAAAAGTCAAAATAAATAAATATGCAAATAAACATTGTCCTGCCTAAGGTACTTTGTCCTACTGGCCCAGGGTCCTGCCCTCCCTCCAGGCCTGTCCCTTCCCTCCTTCCCCCTGCGCCTCAGGGTTCTCATCCCTCCTGCTGGAAAACCCTCATAGCTACTTTGCTTCCCGCCTGATTGGAGCCCCTCAACTTCACCCTCAGCCAGGCTCACTGCATCCCATTTCCTGTGCTCCCTGCCCCCCCCCCCCGGAATTTCCGATGCCCTGGGTGCCCTCAGCAGTGTCACAAGGGTCTCCTACCACCTTCTGGAGAGGGAGGGAGGCATCTCCTGGGAACTCATTTTCTCACCACCTAAACTCTTTCCTGGCAGGCACCTAGCCAGCCTCTGCACCGCCTGTCTGTTCTTGGCAGAGGCCCCCCCACTACTGAACAGCCCCCCTAACCTCTCTTTTTTTTGGGGGGTCCAGATCATTTTATTAAGGGATTTGGAGTGGGGACAAAAGCTCAAAATACGCTTTAGACAAGGAGAAGGGACGTCCTTGGCATGGCTGGATCTCACATTCCCGTGTGTGCCGTGACTGAAAAAAAAGGCCCCGACCTCTCTTATATCCCCGATCTCCCTCTCTCTGGTCCTTCTTCCCCGAGTGCGAAGGACTTGTGTGTCCCCCAACTGCAACTAAGAAAACTTCGAGGCGTCCACACAGTGGCTTGCGATCCAGCCTTTCCAGCCAAGCTTCTGGACACAGAGTAGGAGGCTCTACCTCTATTCACTGCTTGGCCCAGGTCAGGGCGGCTCCTGCTGGACTGGTGTCCTCTAGCCACTCCCCCCAGGGACACTTGCAGCCTCTCTCCTGCAGGTGACCATGTGGACTGGACATGGACTAGAAACTGGACCCTCACCACTGCCCACAGGCCACCCATCCAAAACAGAACCGATCCCCACTGCTGGGTCAGCCCCCAAACCCCCTGCACATGCACTGCCACCTCTCTCCTGCACTGCCTCTTACCCTCAGCATCAGGACCACACACATGGGCACTGCTGCCGCCACGACCACCATCACCCCACTGCCACCAGTGGGCTCTCTTCCCGGAAACTGCCGCAGGCCCTCGGGGCAGCCAGGCTCTGTGCAGCCTGATCCGGGCTTCCGCCCCTCTCATCCCGCCCCTAACCTTCTGCCCCACGGAACTGGACAGCTTCCTGTTCCAGGACACTGCACGGTTTCCAGCCTCCCTGCCCTGTTTTCTTGTTTTCCTGCTGTCTGGGCTGCTCTCTCGCTTCCTGGAAAATTCCTACTCTAGAGCCCTGCAGTCTCGGTGCAACTTCCTCTGGGAAGCCCTGGCTGAAGTCGCCTGAGGCAGTACATCCCGGCATGGACCCTGTGTGACCACACACACTGCAAGTGCTTCCTGAGAACTCAGGTTCATGGGGACCTCTGCTTCTACAATGCAGTGCAGGGAGACAGAAGGAAACTGAGCAAACCCTCAGCGACTAGGTGTTTTGACAGAATGGCACATGATATGAACAAATAAAACCAAGCAAAAAGGAACAGACAGGAGCTGGCATGGGGCAGGGCCCAGTCAGTGGGGTCTAGGAAGGCATTTGAGAGTACAGGGAGGCATGGATCTAGGGAAGATCTAGGAAAGGATTTCCGCAATGGAGACAGGTGGTGCAAAGGTCCTGGGGTGGAACAGGCAAAAGGGCCAGTGCAGCTTGGAGCAAAGGGAGAAGAGCAGTGTGGGAAGACAATAGGGTAGGTGAGCCCAGTCCAGTCACCCAGGGCCTTAAAGCCAGAGCTGGACTTTAGATTTCATTTCTAGCAGAGCTAAAAATGGAACCCAGGGCTTCATACATGCAAGGCATGCATTCTTTCCAGCTCCTAGAATTTTCCTTACTGCTTTACATTGCTGGGGACTGGACCCACGGGTGCTCTCCCACTGTGCTATACCCCCAGTGCCTTTTAAAAGAATCTTGAGACAGTGTCTCACTAAATTGCCTAGGCTGAGCTCCAACTTGTGAAGCTTCTGCCTCTGTACCCTCCCCACCCCAGCTGAGACCACAGTTGTGAGCCATTGTGCCCTGAGATGCCTGGACTGGATTTTTAATTACAGTACTGGAGGCTGAACACTCAACTACATTCCCAGTCCATTTTTGTTATTATTATTATTATTATTTTTTTTACTTTGAGACAGGATCTTGCTGAGTTGCTGAGTTGCCCAGTTGAACTCAGACTTACTTGAACCCTTCTGCCTCAGCACCCGCAGAACGCTTGAGTTACAGGCGTGCACCACCCTGCCCTGCTCCTTGATTTTTTTTTTTTTAAATAGGTAGGAAGACCCAGGGAAAGTTTGCAGGGAACAAGACGGTGCATCTGAAAAGCATCGTGGTGGCTTGCCCCCTCAGAATGCTGACAGGAGGCCAGGGTCAGAAGCTGGATGCCCCCAGATAGGAAGAGATGGTTCTGGAGCTGAAATGGAAATGGGGCGGGTCCTACAGGCCTCCTGAAGTTGGATGTGGAGATGGAGAGGAATCAGAGTGGTTTTCACCTCTGGCTTGATGTAGACTGTTAGTAAATGGGGCAGCATTGAGGAAAAGCAGATGGAGAGTGAAAATCGGGCACTGGGCTGGGCGTGGTGGTTGCACACCTGTCATCCCAGCACTTGGGAGGCTGAGGCAGGAAGATCACCATGAGTTGGAGGCCAGACTGAGTTATATAGTAAGTTCAAGACCAGGTGAGACATGGTGAGACAAAAAACAAAACAAAATACATCAGGCACTGCTGTGGGTCTCATTTTGAGCCTCTTTGGACTTCCAGGAAGCCATGTGAGCCCTGCAGCAGGCTCCTGACCTCCATATTTCCCTGCCACACATCCCCAAAACAGAGTCTGCAGGGATGGGGTAGGCTCCGCAGAGGATCTGGCAGGGTTACTACTGGAGGGTCGGCCATCTGCTGCCTACACTCCCATTTATACTCAGGGTTTTGCTCCCTGCCCCATAGAATCATGATATGCTGCACAGGTGACCTTGGCCAAATTCACAGAAATCCTAATGGTGTAGAACTCAGCAAAGCACGGTCCCCTCTGTTTGGCAGCACCAGCCTCACATGGAGACTGGGCAGGCAGAAGATCTGGGATTGGAGGGCAAGCCACCTGTCCGGGCGCAGTGCAGGGGTGGGGCTGGAATTTAGGGCTCTGTGCATGCTGGGCAGGTGGTTTACCACCGAGTTATACCTCAGCCCAAAACAATCTGTTGTTAATAAAGCTTCTAAATAAGCCTAAGGCAAGCAAAAGTCTGAAATTGCTGCTCTGTAGAGCTACAGCCTCATTCTCCAGATCACATAGGGTATAAATTTCGGAGAATGCAGACTGTTGGTGCCCATCTGGTCAGGCAGGGTCCAGACCCAACAGGACCAGCACCTAGGCAGGGTTCCTACCCCTGGCAGTCAGTCACACCCCACCAGCACTGTAGTTCTGGACAAAGCCAGGTGGCGGCGCTAGCACCTCAGGCTTCACTCTGGCTTGGTGAACTTAGAGACCCCAAAAGGACTGTCACATTCCCCAAGACCCTCATCCTGCTGGGACCCCGATCTGGCACCCACTGGCAGAGCTTTGCAGCATGACCTTGACCAGGAAGAGGGGTACTGAAGCTGGTATACCCAAACTGGGGGATCCAGGGCTGCCCCTGCAAGGTTAGGCAGCAAGGTTATGGAGCCTCCCTGTTCAGGGAGAAATCAGCAGGGCCAGACATCTGGACTTGGAGGTCTGAGGCCCAGGTAGACAGCCCAAGCCCACTGGGATGCGACCATCCCACTAACCCTCTGCCCACCCTGTCCAGCCGTGTTTGAGGTTCCAGAAGCTGCTTCCCTGCCAAGGGGTTGGGGCGGCCCAGAGGTGCCTGGCAGCCAGACGTGGCTATGGGGTTGGGAATCCTCGTGGCCCAGGGGCCAAGCTGGCTGGGAGAGGGGTCCCAAAGCAGGAAGATGCTTCATGGAGCTCTTACCAGCTGCCAGATTCATGTTGCCCGAGTTGGGGGCTCTGGGCCCCTGTCCTGCTTTGTGATCAAGGAAGCCCAGGGTGCTGGTCACAGGATGGGTCCTCACCCTGTTCCTGGTTCTGGGTGCATCATGGCAGCTGGGAGTCCAGGGGCCCAGCCTGGGCTCTGTCCCACCTCTGTTTCCGAGCACGGTTCCAGGAAGACCAGACCCAGGGCTGAGAGAGGTTTGTCCCTTCCGTGGACCCCTGGTCCTCTTCTTTCCTATCTGAGGGAACACTAGGGCCCCCAAGTCCCATTGGAGGCAGCCTTGCCCGTCTTAGATGCAGCACACCCCGGCCTCTGCTCTAGGAATCTGCCCACACCCCTTATGTCTGCAGGGTCCACCCAACACCCACAGGCACTCCCAGACCACCCTGTCCCTCTGGGCCTTGGCCTCCTCCTCCGGGAACCCATATGTGGAGCTGTCCTCCTCGGAGGCTCTGCCTCTGCTCGCAGGAGCCTGGGGCCAGGCCAGCTGTTTTCCTTGGGCAGCCAGCTGTTTTGCCCATCAGGAAGCAGCCCTGGCTCCTCTGCTAAAATCGTGGCTCGTTTGCAGCGTGGCAGCTCTGCCGGGCCAGGGCCTGGAAGCAGTTAACTCCTCAGGCCCGGGAGCCCCTTCCTTCCGCAGCTCCCAGCACTGTCCCTTCCACTTTCCCCTGGCCCACAAGAGTCCCCTGGCTGGGCCCCAAGTAGACCCGTACTGCTGTCCCCAGGCCCCTCATCCTGCTGGGACCCCAATCTGGCACCCACGCCCTACGCCCGTCCCAGCCTGTCCTCACATGAACCCAGGTGGGGCCAAGGTTCCCAGATGTAGCTGTTACCCTCTTCCAGAACCACCATAGTCCCAGTAACTGTCACTGGCTGTTGGCTGTGTGCCAGGCATATAATCTCATTTCACTTTTACAAGAACCCTCTGACGTAGGGAATATTTTTATTTTACAGAAGGGGAAACCAGGAAGCTTGGCGTGGTGGCACGAGCCTGTAATTTTAGCACTGTGGAGGCTGAAGCAGAAGGGTCACTGTGAGTTCCAGGCCAGCCGGGGTACATAGTGAGTTCAAGACTAGCCTGAACTATCTAGCAAGGCTCTGTCTCAAAACAAAAAGAAAAACAAAAACACGATGAAAACGAACCAGGAACCAAGGTGTAGAGAACTCAAAGCTCTTGTCTGAGATCATCCAAGTGGCGCTGGAGCCAAGGTCAGCTTCCCTCCTGAGCAGCGCTGATGGCTCTGGAATCACCTTCCATGTCACCCTCAAGCCCTCTGAGCCTCCCAACTGAGGTATACGCTCTTTCTCCCTAGTCTGGGCCTCAAGCGCCTGGTCTGTGAAATGGGAAAGCTGAGGGATGGCTTCATACCCACCCCACCTGCCAGATGCTCAAGTGGGTGGTGGACGGGGTTCTGTGCCACAACTTCCAGTAGCTGCCAGCAAATGACTTCCTGATGGCTACTGGGCAGCAGTCCCAGCTTCCTTGCTCCTGGCTTCCTTGCCTGGGGTAAGTGACTCCCTCTTCGCTGCCTCTCAGGCTCCAAAGCCAAAAAGTGGGGATAAGAAGGGTTCCTCTTTTGTCCTTGATTTTTCATATTTATTATTATTATTATTATTTTGTCTTTTTCGTTTTTATCGGTACCAGGGATCGAACTCACAACTGCCTGCTTGCAAGGCAGACACTTATGCCGCTGAGCTAAATCCCCAGCCCCTGTATTTATTATTTTTATCATTATTATTGTTTATCTCTTTGAGTGGCCTTGAGCTCACTTTGTAGCCCAGGCTGGTTCCCAACTCACAACCATCCTCCTGTCTCAGCCTCTGAAGTGCTGGGGTTACAGGCATGACCACCACGCCTGGTTTTTGTTTTTATTTATTTATTTATTTATTTATTTATTTTTGTCTTTTTCTTATCAGTACCGGGGATGGAACTCATGACTGCCTGCTTACAAGGCAGGTGCTTATGCCGCTGAGCTAAATCCCCAGCCCCTGTTTTTATTTTTGAGACAGGGTCTTGCTATGTAGCCCAGTCTGGCCTGGAACTCTGGAAATCCCCCTGCCTCAGCCTCCTCAGTGCTGGCATGGCAGGTGTGCACCGTCATGCTTTGCACATCCTTGATTTTGTTGTGGAAAAGATGAGATAATGCAGGTGAAGTGAGGCCCAGGACGAGAGGAAGGACCTGGTAGGAAGTGTCACCTCTCATACGTATGACTATTAACCACCAACTGCCGGGTCTGAGTGGCCCATCTGCCACAGTGCCTTCGTGCTCAGCAGATGCTACTGTACTTGTGAATGAATGGACCCTCATCCACTTGGGGACCCGCATGGGTAGGACGGGATGGGAGAGGATCACAAAGTGCCCAGATCCCAGTTACCTGGTCGGAGTGAGGGTGCTGCCTCCCACCTAACTCTGCATCCCTGAGGATTCTCTCCTGAGCCCAGAACCTGGTGTGAGGAAAGGGTAAGGGAACAGTGACAAACCAGGGACAAGACAGCCCAGAAGATGACTTGGCTTGGCTGGGTGGGGTCTCAGGGTCTGGGAATGACCCCTCAGGATGCAGTGACCCGTGTTCTCCCCCTTTGTCCCCTCCCCCTGCCCACCATGGGTCAGTTCCCTGGTCCTAGCCTAGACATCTGGAACTGGGGCAGACAAAGGGCTGCGGGAAGGGACAATAACCTTCTGTCCATTTTCAGATGCGGGGCTGGGCCTGGCCAGGGCTGGGGGCCGGAGCCCCGGCGAGGCGGTGCCAGGCCCCCCGCGGGCAGCGGACAATGTTGGCAGTGATGGAGAGGAGCCATTTCAAAGCGTTTTGTTCCCACTGACCCCCTCCTCCCCCATCTCTCGCCCCAGCTCCGGGTGAGGCCCCAGCCCCACCCCCAGCCACCCAAGCCCTGTGCTGGGCGGCTTGGGGACTGGCCACATTCTTGACCTCAGGGGAAAAGTTTAGACTCTCTGCGCCCTGGGCAACAATAACAGTGTCACAGAACTGATTTAGGAGCAACACTTACCATCACAAAGCAGCAGACAAAGAGCCGCGCTGAGACTGTGCTGGGCCTTGGCCACGTCCACCAATCGCCACTCGCTGCTCTCCTGGTTTTGCCCAGGCAAGACCCAGTGCCAGGCCCAGCCGCTGGGCACACTGGGGAGGATCTGAAGTGGGCAGGGGGCAAGAGAGACAGGGGATCCAGCGGGAAATCACCGGGCCCTGACACCTGCTTCCTGGTCCCAGTTTGCTATGTGACCTAGTACAAGTCTTTCTCTACTCTGGGCCTCAGTTTCCCTCTCTGTGTTACGAAGGCTAAACTATAAAGCAAGGCTGGGTCTGTTGACACATGATGTTCTGTAATTCCAGAATTTAGGAAGCTGAGGTAGGAATATCTTTGAGAGTTGGAGGCCAGCCTGGGCTATATAGGGAAACTTTGTCTCAAAAACAAACAAACCGATAAATAAATAAACAAACACCTTACAGAGCTAAAAGCAGATCTGGTAAGCAGAAGCCTTTAATGAATGAACATGGCCAGGTTGTGGTACATGCCTGTAGTCTCAGCTACAGTACTCAGGAGGCTGGAGCAGGAGAATCTCTTAAGCCCAGGAGTTTGAGACCAGCCTGGCAGCCTGGGTAACAAATATAGTGCGTTCCTGTCTTGAGGAAAAGAAAAGATGATGACGGACCCAGCACTGTGCTTACAAAGCCCTTTCCACCTTCACCCCCTTGCAGCATCTCAGCCTCTTGGGGCTCACAGAGCAGGTGTATAATTAGCCTTGCTTTGCACTCAGTGCATAGAGGCTGGGGAAAGGGGGTCGCCAGTGCAGGCCCACACAGCCTGGAGCAGCAGGGCCACCATGGCCAGCCGGCTTCTCTCTGGACTGCTCTTGCGTGGGTGGGGGAGAGGACGAGGCCTCCCACCCAGTGGCACAGGTGTCTGCCTGGAAAGTGCAGGGTCCTAAATTCAATTTCAGGTATCAAAAATAAAATAAAAACTAAAAATAAATAAACAAACAAACAAACGTTTGTGTCATTATCCCCAGGGGGACCCCTCTCTGGAGCTGGTAACTTCAAAAACTAGATTGATTCTTGTCTGGGAGCAGAGATTGACCTGAGTGCAGGGCCTGGATGCAGTGACCTCTGATAGGGCCTCCTGGGATTAGAGGCAGCACGGAAAGACACTGAGGGCTCTCGGGGCTCTGGACCCAGGCTGGGGTCTGACTGTTAGCCCTGACCTCTCCTGGCCATGTATCCATGAACAAGTTACTTCTGCTCTCTGTGCCTCAGGGAGCCACTGAACTCTCCCTGTGGGAGTGCAGGCACCATACCGGAAGGGACAGAGAAGGCCTCCTCTGAAAGGATGGGCCAGGAAGCCTCACCGCAGGCCACTGACTGCCTTTTGAACTGGGTGGCCTTCAATTCCAGCAGGAGAAACCATGGTGAGATACCAGGAGCAAAGGGGTCTCTGTTCTCTGGGATTTGTAATACAGGGGCCAAGCACAGCTTTCAAAGAAAGGTCAGAGGAGATCAAGGTGGTGGAAGATGTGGCACAGGCCTGTAATCCCAGCATTCTGGAGGCTGAGGCAGGAGGACTGCTGTGAGTTGGAGGCCAGCCTGAACTGCAGAGTGAGACCTTGTTTCAAAGAAAAGAAAAGAAAACAAAAGAAAAGGAAAGAAAAGAAAAGAAAAGAAAACAAAACAAAAGGTCAGCAGTAGTGTGTGTCTGCCCCCTGATGCTGAGGCAGGAGGATTTTGGGAACCCAAGCATTTGAGGCTGCCTAGGCAACATGATGAGACCTTGCCTCCCCGCGCAAAAAAAAAAAAAAAAAAAAAAAAAAAAGAACTGGCTTGGAATCCAGAGGTCCTCCAGTCCAGGCTTTCCAGAGGCCACCTCCAGCTTCCCCACAGTCCCTACAGCCCCCCTTTACCAAACCACCAGTGACACACACCAGCCAGTCATCAAAACAGAAAACAACTCAAATCTGGGGACTGATGGGGCTTGTTGGGGTCCCAGGGAGCCCCAGCAAGGTAGCCTTCCCCTCTCTCAAGGCCTGGCCACAGGGCCAGTGGAGCACTCACCAGGACAGAGAATGTCGGGGCCTCCTTAGCCCAGATGGGGACGGCAGTGCTGGGCCGCGGGGGCGCGCTGTGATGCCCGGCTGGCTGCTGCCCTTCACAAGGCTGGGCTGGGTAGCCCAGGAGCCACACCACCTTTCCCAGGCCCACATTTTCCTGGCACGTCTGGGCAAGAAGGCTCTGGCTGGGGTGGGCAGAGGAGCAGGGACAGATTGGAGGGAAGGGTTCTCCTCCTGGTGGACCCCAAGCTCTCCCCTGGACACACTGGCCAGGGGTCCAGGAAGCCAGGGACTCTCAGGAGTATAGAAGTGGGGAGATCGTGGCTGGAGGAGGCCCGGAGGACCTCTACCCCCACCCTTTCCATCCCCACAGCCCTGGGCAGCAGGGCCCACTCGGAGGTGTTGACTTTTCCTGTCTCCACACTGAGCCCTTTCAGAGCAGCCCATCCCCACCCAGGCCAGCGGCCAGCCAGGCTTGCCAGGGAACAGGAGCTGATCGACGCTCCACCTAACCCAGGGCCGCAGGAGCACAGGCCACAAGGGCTTCCCAGGTGTGTGGGGACCTGAGGAGAGCGCCACAGAGAAGAGGAGAAGCCAGGCCAAGTGGCGAAGATGGCAATAGGAAATGAGGCTGGGAAACTAGTAGTAGTACCCCTGTGTAAGCCCAGTAATCAGGAGGCTGAGGCAGGAGGATCATCATGAGTTTGAGGCCAGCCTGAATGATATAGAGAGACTCAAAAAGCTGAGCAGTGTAAACATTTTAAAATGAGGTTGGGAGACAGGAGAGGGATGGAGAGGGACTGGTAGGGGTACCAGGCCCCTAGCAGCAGAAATCCTGGCCCTGGAAGTGGGAGTGACAGAGGACGGAGGACAGTGCCGGGCACAGGGAGGCCTCTGCAATGTGGGCCAGGGGTTCACCGCCTGGCTCTGTGCCAGGGACACTGGACACAGCCCGAGCTACACCTGATGCTGGAGCTCCTGATGCCCACCCGGAACCCACCTCCTCCTCAGCCCAGGACAGGCCCCCAGAGGGAGGGCTGTGACCTGGTCTGGGGCCAGGGGACGCAGGAGGGTGGAAAGTTTCCCCAAGGCAGAAGGCCACGGGGGAGGCGTCTCAGAGGGTCCTGCTCTTTGCTCTCTCTGACTGTCATGTTGGTACATAAAGGGGGTAGAAAGGTCAGATGTGGCCTTTCAGGCCCGTGGGAAAAACTCTGCCCATTTCCCTAATCCATATTTATTGGTGTGAGAGCTGGGATGGGGGGAGCCCCTGCCCCCGCCTCCACTCCGGCCAGGCCAGGTTAACGCTAAGAACAGGCTCCATGTCACCCAAATCCTACTCTTTGTCTTCAGATTGGATCCAGAGTCCTCCCCTGCCCTCCTCCCCTCTGCTCCCCCTACCCAGTCCCCCTTGGGGTTGCCAAGCAACCAGGGAAGGGTAGCTGAGATATTTTCTTTATTACAAGCAAAAGCAAGACAGCGTCATGGCCCCAGGAGGGGCGCAGGGTGGGGGCTGGGCAGAGGGCCTCCTGGGCTCCAGGGGGTTTTGGTCCCCGTCTGCCCTGGGCACACAGGGCCCAGAGCCCACAAGAAGGTGAGAGACTGGCAGGGAAGGGGATGAAGGGGAGCAGGGCAGGGGTGCATAGTCTGGACAATGTTCACAGCTAGGGAAGCGTGAGAGACCCAGGCCCACTCCTCTCACCAGTCACCCACAGGCTGTGCCACCTGTACAGAGTCCCCTCTCTTCTCTGGGGCATGTTTCTTGATAAAATGGGAATCCTGACATGTATTATCTCATTTAATCCTCACCGAAGCCCCATGACATTTTTCCCATTTTACTGGCTAGGAAGCTAAGTGTCAGAGTTGGACAGGGTGGCACACACCTGTAATTCTAGCACTCAGGAGGCTGAGACAGGAGGGTTGCCAGGAGTTCAAGGGCAGCCTGGGCTATTTGGTAAGGCCAGCCTAAACTACATGAACTACATAGTAAGATTCTGCTTCAAAAAAAATAAATTAAATAAATAAAAGGAAACTGAGCATCAGAGTGTGACCTCACGTCTATATTTCTTTGTTTTGCAACAGGGTCTCACTATGTTGTCCAGGCTGGTCTTGAACTCACCATGTAGCCCCAGGTTGGCCTCGAATTTTTGTGCTCCTCCTGCCTCAGCCTCCCGAGTGCTGGGATTACAGGTGTGTGCCACCACATCTGTTTTTTTTTTTTTTTTTCTCAAAATAAGGTTGATAGGGGCTGGGGATTTAGCCCAGCGGCATAAGCGCCTGCCTTACAAGCAGACAGTCGTGAGTTCGATCCCTGGTACCGATAAAAAGGAAAAAGACAAAAAAAAAAAAAAAAAAAAAATAAGGTTGATGAGCTGTAACTCATACACCATGCAGTCTGCCCACAGAAGGTCACAGTTTGGTGGTTCACGGCAGACCAGAGTTGTCTGTCTACCACACCACCAGATTTATATTATTTCCATGGCTCTGAAAAAGACATTCTGTACCCATCCACTACCTCTCTCTGCCTCCTCCCAACTCTGAGCCTCAGGTTTTTGGTCTGTAACATGTGGAAAGTGCAAATATTTCTGTCAGAGCTACTGTAATGCATGGAAAGAATTTAGCTCTGTGCCCAATACAGTGTAGTCGCACCAGGCGTGGTGGCACTGGCCTGGAATGCAGCACTCAAGAGGCTGAGGCAGGAGAATCTTGAGTTCAAGGCCAGCCTGAATGACACAGCAAGACCTCGCCTCAAAATAAAAACAGCAGAAAACAATTGTAGTTGTTAGTTAAATTACAATAACTTGCAAGGCCTCATCTCTTTTGGACTCAGGCATGCTGTCAGAATCAGGTGTGGCCCTTGGGCAGGGATGGGGAACAGGAAGTGACCCCTGGCCTCTCTCACAGGGCTTCTGTTCCAGTGGTGAGAGCAGGTAGGGAGCTCTGTTCAGTATCCACTGGGGAAGACCCAGCACAGCACGGCAGCTGGGTGCCATGGTGACTGAGACTGGAAGCTTCAGCCTGGCACATGCTATGCAGAGTGGATGGGCCCTTAGGATCCCTTTTGCATAGGGACAGGCGGCCTGGCTGTGGCATGTGACATGTGAACATGTAAAGTTACCAATTCATTTTCAAAGGAGGAGCTGGGTGTGGTGATGTACACCTCTAATACCAGCACTCTGGAGGCTGAGGCAGGAGGAGTGTTGCAGTTTGCCTGAGCTATGTAGTGAGTTCAAGACCAGCCTGAATTGCTTAGTGAAACCTTTGCTAAAAGAAAGAAAGAAAGAAAGAAAGAAAGAAAAGAAAGAAAGAAAGAAAGAAAGAAACAAGAAAGAAAAGGAAAGAAAAGAAACAAAGCAAAAGCCAAAAACTGCAAGTCGCCACACTGCAGGCACTGGTCATTGTTTTCCTTATTTTTTGGTCCTGACACTCGAACTCAGGGTCTCTCACTTGCCAAGCAGGCACCGTGCCACTGAGCTATAGCCCCAGCCTCCCTAGTCATTCTTCACATACAAACTGGGCCACTGGAAGCCAGAGCAGGCTAGGACTGCCAGGGAGAGATGCTGAATAGCAAGACGATCTTTCTCCTGTCCACCCACAGGTGCCAGGCCAGGTCACAGCACCCCAAGTAGACAGGGACATTTGGGGCAGGACTCTAGGGCTGGGAATAACCAACACAGAATACAGGGCCTGAGCAGCCTGAAGCTACCGCTGCCCCGCAGACACCTCTCTGTCACACCCTGGTCCTAGGCTTGCCTTGACCCGACAGAAAATCCTTCCAGCTCCTTCAACCACTGCAGTCCCAGAAACACCTCCTGCTCTGTACATGGAGACTCAGATGATGGGCTACAAAATTCTTATGCCTAACCTGGCGTGGTGGCACATGATCATAATCCCAGCACTGGGCAAGTTGAGGCCGGAGGATTGCCCTGGAGTTGGAGACCAGCTTGGGCTACCATAGTGAGTTCAAGGTCAGCCTAGACTACATAGAGACACTCTGTCTCAAAAAAACAAAAAACCTGTCAGATATGAGGTTGTCAGTTCAATCCCTACCAGCAAAAAAAAAAAAAAAAAAAAAAAAAAAAAGAGAAAAACTGCCTCCCAGGGGGTTGGGGATTTAGCTCAGAAGCATAAGTGCCTGCCTTGCAAGCGTGCAGTCCTGAGTTTGATTGAAAAAAAAAGAGAGAGAGAGAGGGAGGGAGAGAGATTCCTGTGCCCACTGCTCATATTTTTTTTTTTTGTGGTACCTACGGAGGATCAAACTCACAAACTCATGACCTCGCACTTGCCAGGCAGGCGCTTACGCCGCTGAGTAAATCCCCAGCCCCTGCCCATAGATTTTTGTCTTTGCTTTTTCATTTTGTATTCATTAGTGAAATAAATAAGACACCCACATATAAATATCATATTATTAGTGTGACAAAGAAAACAACATGTATGTGTGTATATGTATGTATATAAAAATAGTTAAGATATACTACTCATTCCTCTGAGTTCGCTGGGAAGAAAGATCTGTTTTGGTTTTGCTTAGACAGTTGAAGGCAGATGTTTTGTGCTCTGGGTGAAAGATTTGGGGATAGGGGCTGGGGATTTAGCTCAGTGACATAAGCGCCTGCCTTGCAAGCAGGCGGTCGTGAGTTCGATCCCCAGTACCGATAGAAATGAAAAAGACAGAAAAAAAAGAAAGATTTGGGGATGACAATGTGCAATGTGTGTTTCTTTCTTTTTGATTCTGGGGACTGAACCCAAGGCCTTCACCCTGCATTTTGAGACAGAGTCTCACAAGTCGTGATCCTCCTGCCTCAGCCTCCCTCAGTGCTGGGATTACAGGTGTGCATCACCATGCACAGTTTGCTCACACTTTTATTATCTCTGTGTGCGTGTGTGCATGTGTGTGTATGTGTGCATGTGGGTGGTTCTGGGTAGAAACCACAGCCTTACGCAAGGTAGAAGAGAGCTCTACTACTGAGTTGCATCTTCAGCTCTTTTTTGATTTTTTGTCCATTTTTATCAATCTTTCACTCCACGGTTCTGAAGTCTGCTTTTTCATCCACCTGTCCGTCCATCCATCCATTCCTTTAATTGCTATGTCAATAAAGCATTCATCTACACATCCCTTCATTGCTGGTGCAGCAGGGGTTTCCTCAGCACGCCTAGCAGTGCCTGCTGTGAGCGTCTGCGTTAGAAGATCACAGTCATATCTGCCTCACGGCAAGCAAATGGCAAGTGCTTTTGGGTTCTTGACTCCACAGGACAGAGTCAGTGGACAGGAAGAAGGAGCCCACTTCACAGAAGCTGAACCTGCTGGCGTGGTGGTGTGGGCCTTTAATCCCAGTGCTCAGAAGGCTGAGGCAGTAAGATCACGAGTTCAAGCCCAGCCTGAACTACATAGCATAAGCCTTTGTTTCAAAAAAAAAAAATAAAATAAAAAACAAATAGTGATAGAAAACAAAGTCCACAGTGTGGCAGACTGTGGCCCTTCCAGGGGGAGAACCGCCAATGTCTCCTGAGATGCACACCATGTTGGAACTTAGGATACTGGGAAATCAAGCAACCAGCCTACCTCCCTGCTAAACAATAGTGAGCCTACTGGTGCACGGGCTGAGAGTCAATCATCCCACTTCCCCTACTCCGCTTCTCCTGCGCCCCCGTTAGCAAATGGGAACGAGAAATCTGAGCATCTCCTGGGAGGTTGACCATAGCAAATAAGGGGGGGGGGGGTTTCCTTCTACCATCTCTTTGAAGGCAAATATTTTTATTACTGTTTTGCTCTATTCTGATTAATGGTACTGCTCTATTCAATATTGTTTTGATAAGTTCTGTATTTCATTTTATTTTGATATATGTGATTGAAAGAACAACTATTGTATATAATGCAATATACTGTGATACCTATTATTGTTATCCCGGTAACCTGCTGTGAAGTTCTGTACCAATTTCACTACACGGTCTCAGTTAGCTTTATTCTGTCTTGTTTTGTTGTATTTTACTACTTTCAAAATTAAAAAAAAAAAAAAAAAAAAAAGAAGAAGAAGAAAGAAAACAAAGTCCAAGCCAGGCATGGTGATTCACACTTGTAATTCCAGCACTTGGGAGGCTGTGCCAGGAGGATAAACGGCAGTTCGAGGCCAGCCTGGGCTACATAGTGAAACGCTGTCTCATGAGAAAAAAGAAGATGAAAAAGAAAGATTGATCACAGGCCATAACTAAGGCTCAGCCTATCGGAACTCACTCACTTGCCCTGGAAGCCTCTTCCGGAAGTTTCCCTGTGCTCTCCCGAAGTGGAGAATGTTGCCAGTTCTTCAGCTAATGTTTTCCTCATGGCTCTGCTCCTTTCCATGAGGCTGGCTGGGTATCTGTGTGTCTGTCTGTCCATCTGTCCATTACTGGCTACTTCTGCCGCAGGGGCGTCACACTGGTAGATTCCCTTGCAACCAGGGGACACATCAGGTCACTAAGTGCTGCTGGATGCAGGTCACCCAGACAAACCGGACTCCGGGCTCGCTGCCACTGCTGTCACCTGCAGAGCGCAGTAGCCTAACTGGTCCCCTGTCATCTCCTCCTCCGACCCCTCCCCTCGGCCAAGCTCCACACTTGAGCCCCAGCAAACCTTTGCAAATGTAAATCTGCACTCGTCAGACCTTTCAGGATCCCCACAGCGTTTAGGATAAAATCACAAATCCCCCCAGGGTCCGATGGCTGGGCAGGTTGACCCCAGCTTTCTTGGAAACTTCCTCTTCCCCTTGCGCTCCGACCGCACCAAATCCCTTTCCTCCTCTTACTCACCCTGTTCTATTTCCCCGCTGGTTCTGGCTGGGCGACTCATGGCAGCCACCTCCACCTCACCACCCTCGTCTCTGGGGCACCGGTCCTCCGTGATCCACCTCCTCTGGCGCACATCCGTCTGCACTGAGCTCCTGACTAGCACACAGTGGGTACCCCATAAATGCTCCTTGACTAGAGGTAGGACCTCTTTGCTTCCTCATCATCGCCTGAGGGTGAGGGCACCCTGCTGTTCTCTGCCCCAGAACTGATAGGCTTTTTCTCTTTTACCCTGGTACAGGGGATTGGACCCAGGGGCTCGTGCATGCAAGGCCAGAGCCTTTCCATTGAATTACCCCATCTTTTTAAAGCTTTGGGATGAGGAGAGCCAGGGATTTAGCTCAGTGGCATAAATGCCTGCCTGGCAAGCGCAAGGTTGCAAGTTTGATCCCGGTACAAAAAATAAAGAAATAAAAATGAATGAATGAATGAATGATGGAGTCTCATTAAGTTAAATTCCTTCACTGGGCAGGCGGGGTTTGAACTTGCAATCCTTCCGTCTCAGGTTCCCAGAGTGCTGGGATGGTAGGTATGCACTATCCTGCTAGGTTTATAGGGTCTCCCTAAATTAATTGCCCAGGCTGAACTTGAGCTTCACTCCTACTGCCTTGGCCTCCTGGACAGCTGGGATTGCAGGTGTGTGCCACTGTGCCGGGTTCCACTGGGCTTTAAATAGCGATGACATTGGACTAGGCGTGCAGCTGGGGGTACTGCACTTGCCTAGTATACTTGAGGTCCTGGGGCTGATTCCCTCAACCAAACAACCAAGCGAAACTGAGGTAACGCCCTGCACCACAGGGAGAAAAGCCCTCCACCAGAGATGGGGATGAGGCTGGACCTGCCTGGCACCCTGCTCCCACAGAGGCAGCCCTTTCCTGCTTTATCTCAACCCTGTTCACACAGGCCAGGCTGTGGCTGGGAGTCGATTATTATTTATTAGGACACAAGTTGTCTCTTGGGATCCACTGTTTTTGTTTTGTTTTGTTTTGTTTTGTTTGACACAGGGTCTTGAACTATGTAAGGTAGGCAGCCATTCTCCCCCCTCAGCCTCCCAAGTGCTGAGATTAGAGGGGTATGCCACAGTAACCCATGAGACTCACCATTTTGTGTCTGCCTCTGCTGTGTCTCCTAAGGACAGCATGGAAAGCCACAGTGTGTGGTGAGTTTAAAGCCCCAACTCTGGCTTATCGCCTGCCAGTGGGGGGCTTCCCACTAACCTCAGCTTCTTCATCTATAAAATGGGCTGATAATAGTGTCTACTTCTCAAAGTTGTGAGCAGTCAGTGAGTGACAACTATCTTTATTTTGTTTACTTATTTTCTGAGACAGGGTCTCACTATCCTCAAACTCCGGGCTCAACCATCTTCATTCATGTCTTTGCAGTCTGGATAGCAAGTCACAGTGTCTCGCTAATCACTACCTTTTCTTTGAGTGTTGGTCACACTGAGTGATAACGAGGCTTTTTTTTTTTTTTTTTTTTTTTTTTTAATTTTGACACCATGTTGTTGGTAAGTCGGTAAATTGCCAAGTCTGGGCTCTCATTTGCAATTTTCCTGTCTCAGCCTTCCAGAGTTCTAGGATGACAGGTATCCCAGGCTAAGCTACTATCTTTAAAATTAGCCTGTGGCACATAAGATACTCTTATTGTTAACAAGTGGAGTGTTGGATTCCCAGAAATTGGTTACCTGGGCTCCTTCTCTTTAAGGGTCAGAAGCTGTATTTTGTTAGCTGTTTAAGAAACTCCAAGAAGTCTGCGTGGTTCATTTTCAAGTCATGGGGTAAGCAAGTAAACACCCAGAGACCTGTAATGATGGTCTGCGGGAGTGCCTCACTGAGCTCTGGAGGCACACAGATGGGGAGGACCCACTTCCTGTCCCAGTGAGAAGAATCAAACAAACTGGTAATCACAATTCATTCAGGCACGTGGCTGGGCTGCCCAGGGATTGGGAGGACAGAAGTGCACTCCACGGTATGCAAGGGCAGAGGCAGGGGTGCATGGGGGATCCCTGCGGTATGTCAATGGCAGATGTAGAACAGCCACACACACCCCTCCTGGAGGATGACAAGCTGAGAATCTGGGACCTTCTGAGATCCTTCTCTGGGCCTGATGTGGCTGGGTGGGGGTGGGGTGCGCAGGGTGGGGTCCTGTGTTCCTGGACAGTGGGCTGTACCATGCCAGGGGCAAGGAAGAGACAGCCTTACCGAATTCCTCGCCCCTCATACCCACCTGCTCCCCACCTCTGCTGCTAGAGCCAGGGTCTCTGGGAGCCTGCAGGGGCCTGGGAATCAAGCCCTTGTCCTTCGTAGGGGAGGGTGCAGCCTCCAGATTCCCAGTGGAGGTGCAGTTTTTTGGAGACTGCCTCTTTGGTTTTGGGGTTGGGACTACACCCCTCCTCCCTTTACCCCTTAAAAAGCAGGCTTCTAAGGGGGTGACCCTCTGCCCTCCGGACTGCTCCCCTCACCCTCCCTTGCTACAGTAGGAGCTTCAGGAAGGATTCCAGACGCCATAAGCTTAGAAGTAGCTGATGTAAAGCCTCTGGGGACCCTTGGGCATTCTTGGGGAGCTCAGCCAAGGCCAGGGCCCTGTGTCAGGGCCACCAAGTGCAGGGCTGAGATGTGGGTGCCTGGCCAAGGAGGGAGGGGGAATGGGCGAAGGGGTCAGGCTGAGAGAGCAGGCGGGGCGCCAGGACTGGAGGGCACCGAATGGGAGTGGAGGGTGAGGGGTCCGGCCGGTGCGGGGGGGGGGGGGAGGGGGCGGCCCCCAGGGAGGGGCACACTATGTCTTTAAGAGCTGCCTGAGCGCAGGTTGCAGCTGCCTGGCCAGCCCGAGAGACAGCAGAGATTCATTACCCGCCGACACAATGACCATTGATGGCCCCGTGGCGTTATTCAAATCCAGTACCAATTGCAGCCGAGCCCCTTTCTCCGCGCCAGGCCCGTATTGTTGGAGCGGCCCACTAAAAGCCCGCCCCGGCCCCGAGCCGCCAGAGGCGCCCGCTCGGGTTCAGCCCTGCGCCTCGCCAGCACGCCGGCTCCCAGTCCGGCTCCCCGGGCGCTGCAGGTGACCCGGCGGCGCATTCCAGCGCTCCCCGCCGCCGGGGCCACCGCCGGCGACTCAACCACAGGGAAGCGGACAGCGCCGAGTCGGTGCGTGCGCGGGGCTGGGCGGGGGCGGGAGACCCGAGAGTCCAGCAGCCAGCAGTCCGGACCCCGGGCTTGAAACGCGCCCAGGTCTCGGGCCCCAGCTATCTGGACTCCCAGCAAACCCTAGCTGGGGGCGGGGAGAGTTGAAGTCGGGGTTCCCCAGGCCTGACTGAGTAAATTCCCCCAAGCTGGGGCAGCGCGGAGATCTAATGCGGGCCACTCTAGGGACCCCGGGCCGCGATCAAAGGCAACACGCCGGGGATGATGGGGATCCCCGCGTTGGGACGGGATCCGTGTGCCTGCCGGTCCGTCCACCTTACCGCGGGGTGGGTGGGCCACAGCCGCTGGCACCGGCGAGGTATTCCGACGCGCAGCTCCGCAGATCTCCGGGTCCAGCGCGTTTCAAGAGCAAAGCGCAGCTGCAGGAGCCCAGGGCCCTGAACTCAGGAGCTTCGCCACTGATTGTCCAAACGCAATTCTTGTACGAGTCTGCGGCCAACCGAGAATTGTGGCTGGACATCTGTGGTTGAGCCCCGGGTGCAACAGGGGCCAGGGCCGCAGGGACCGAGGTCCGGGCAGGTGGCTGCCCGGCCCCAGCGTGAGGTTCGCGGCCCCAGCCTGGAGCGCAGAGGGACGCCGCTCCCTGCCACCATCGCCGCCATCCTCCTGAGCCTCCTGCCGGTGACAGGTCTTGGATGGCGGGGTCCTCCCGCCTGCTATGTCCGTTTCCCCCTTTACAATTTCGGCCGGAATGAAGCTGGCAAGCAGCTGCGGCCCCGAATGTGGTCTGAGAAGCCCGCCCTCAGCCAGAGCTTCAGGAAGTCGGGGTGAAAGCAGATGCTGGCCGAACGCATTCGCTAACTCGCTTTGAATCTGTTCTCACCTATCTGACCAGTCATCCCCAAACAAAAAAATCCTAAATCAGTGCCTAAATCCCAAATCAACCAACCCCTCCCACAAGCCCCTCTGCACCCGACGGATGGGCTGAGCCTCCTCCAACCACTGCTGGGGACAGAGCAACTCAGGAGTGATGCACTCCAGCCGGGTGACCACCGCAGCTCTGGAAACAGAACTTGGACAAACAAATCCTTTTCATTAAAAAAAAAAAAAAAAAAAAAAAAAAAAAAACCTTTGGAGATAGTGGGGCTTATTTATTTCCTCAAAAGCAGGGGTCAGGAATTGCTTGGAAGGAGGACTGCTGGGAGCTGCTGGCAGTGAACCTGGGTCACTGGTCCTGACCCCTTTCGGCTTGGGGCTGGAGATGACCTGCAGTGGTCCAGTGTCTTGGCCCTGTGTGCTCCCACCTGGCGCCAGCACCCCTGCTGCGGGGAGAACCCAGCTTTCCCCTTGGTCTTTCTCTGGCTCTGCTGCTCAGCATTAATCGGTGCAACGTGGGCAAGAATCCCCTCCATCTCTCAGCCCCAACCCCATGGGCATCGAGAGGACCCCAGCACCCAGGACCTAGGCCAGTCCTACAGCTCAGGAGCTGGAGGGACACAGAGACCTTCAGGCTGTAGGAACTGGCCCAAGTTTACCCTCTCAAGTGAGGCTGTTGGGCGACTTCAGGTCCCGTGCTGTTCTCTTTAGGGACACCCTGATCTCAGCACCTAGAGAGGGCTGTCAGCCAGCCTCTGGAGAGCACCCCACCCAGCTGCTCAGTAACCCCAATATGCCTGCTTCCACCACTCATGGGAGGCCACCTCTGCAGCAGGCGGAAGAAGCCCATGGGCCAGGGTCACCTATCCCCTAAGAGAATGATGTGCACCCTCCCAGCACTGCTGGGACATCTGGTGCTTTTCATCTCCACAGGATGAGAAATTTCCACCTTAAATTACTGACATTAATGAAAAGCAAAGTCTAGGATTTGCTGGTGCCCTAATTCTTTTTAAGGTCTTCCTCCTGTAGACAAAGCTCTTTTCTCCAGGTTATGGAAGAAAAGGGGGCTCCGCAGGTTCTTCTGTGTCAGTTCCAGTGTGCAGCCAGGGGATCTGGCTGCAGGTGATGGGATCTGACTGGCTGGGACTCAGGCTGGTCAGCTGGGGCTGGTTCTGCACCTCCTTCTCTAGACACCCGTACAGGACCACCTCCTCTGGGGCAGTTGGAGTTTCAGCCTTTGGGGAAAGGGCAGCTGAGCACCCCAGGCACAGGACAGGAGGGCGTCCCAGAGGCCATGGCAGGGGAGAGATGGGGTACCACCTGTCTCCAAGGATGCAGCTCTCTGCAAGGCCAGCAAACAACCTAGCCTTTTATTTGCTCAAGGTCAGCTGTTGCAAGCAACCAGGCCCCCAACTTCCAGAAGGGATGGAGAAAGGAGGGGCAAACCACTCTGCCTACCAGGTGCTACCACCCCCCACCCTGCTTCCAACAAGCCAAACTTGTGCCATCAAGCATCTCTCCAAGTTTCAGATACTATAAATACTTGGTTGTTGCAGAGGAAGCGATTGAGGGACACTGACCCCTGTGCCAGGCCTCTGCCAGCCAGTCCAAGGTTAGGCTCCTTCCCCCACAGCAGACCAAGCAGTACAAAGACTGAGGAGGCTGTTGGAACCCATCTGGTGGCCTGTGGGGGTAGGGGGGGGAGCCAGGGTCAAGGGCTGGGGAGCAGGGGGAGGAGGGTGTGGCTGGGAGAACAGCTGCTGGGTTTGGGGGAGGGGTCATCACCGAATAAGGGACCCCATCTGGGGTTCCATAATGATATCAGTAGGGGACAGGCACAGCCTTCTGCTGTCCAGATGGGGAAACTGAGGCGAAGAGTCCTCGGATCTTTGGAAGGGAGGGCCCGCCTTCAGTTCTTCAGGCCCACCCATCTTCCCACAAGATGGCCCTGGAGCTGGAGCACCTTGCTGACAGTCACGAGACCGAGACAGGAGGAGCACAAGGCAGCTGGGTCACCTGGCTGCAGAGCCCCTTCCATTTCTGACACACCAGAGGGGACCCCCAGCCACTGCCCGCTTTCCCTGGCTCACATGGCCAGAAAGGCTCATTTTTAGCTCTTGGCCTCCTTTCTCTGCCTGAAGGAAGCTCAAGGGACAGAGCAGGGAAGAAGGTAGCCAAGGGGGACAGGGAGACCTGGAAGCAGGGCCCAAAGGGATGTCTGATTGTTCTGATCTCCCCCTGCAAGCGGCCCAGACATAGGGGCCCTCAGCCGCCGTGCAGTGTGGAGATGAAGAGGACGCTGTCTTGGTCCTGCAGCTGGTAGTCCAGCTCGCCCTGGGGCAGGAGAGAGGAGAGGACATCAGGGCACAGCCTAGGTTTCCCCCACATGTTGGGAAGGGCGGGGAGGGGCTGACTTCTCTGCAAATTCAGGCACCCTGCACATAGGCAAGCAAAGCTCTGGCTGCCCTTCCCTCCTCACTTGGGGTGGGGGCTCCAGCAGACTCAGGTGCCTGCTGCAGCGGACACAGACTGTCCAGTCACTCTCTCTGGGCCTGATGAGGGGCCCCAGACTTTTCCGCTGAGGCGGCAAGGGGCTGGGCCCGGGGGGAGTCCCCAGTTACTGACCAGCAGTTCCCAGTCGGCATCATTAATCAGCACCAGAATTCCTGGCCGCCTGTGGGAAAGATGGTGTTGAGTAGCAGGGAGCAAAAGCAGAGGCAGGAGGCACAGTCTTGGGTCATGGAAGAGAGTGGAGGCAGCACTTCCTCCTGTGGTCTGCTCAAAGATCTCTCAGGAAGGGGCTGTGGTCTGCAGGCAGTCGTGACCTCTGGGGCCAGGTAGAAAATGAGTACAAATGCCGGTATCACCAGCTGCATCTCAGGCAAGTCATTTGCTTCTCTGCATGTCAGTTTTTCCACCTGGAAAGTGGGTAAACTGTGCTGCCTGCCTGCAAGGCCTGTTCACGGCTTCAATGGGATGAGTGTGGGGCCTGGCATATTGCTCGTCAGCACCCTTGGTGGAAGCCACTTTTTTTTTTTTGGTCTTTTTCCTTTTTATCGGTACCAGGGATTGAACTCACGACTGCCTGCTTGCAAGGCAGGTGCTTATGCCACTGAGCTAAATCCCCAGCCCCATGGAAGCCACTTTTAACCTTAACATCTTGGGCCAAGGAAAGGAGGAACTTGGGTTTCAAAGCCTCAGGCACGTTCATCCTGGAGGGGGCACCTTGGCTCTTCTGGGTCAGGGACACTGCCTACGGCACTGAGCATCTGAATGTCCAAGAGGCTTCCTGCCTGCGAAGGCGGAGCAGGCCCACGTTTTGCACTGGCAGCCTAGCACGGCTCCTGCTGGCTCCAGCAGCCCAAAGAGCACTGCTGACCTTGCAGGAGGTTCCAGGACTGCCACAGCAGGATCTGAAGCAGGATGTGGTAGCAGCTCTGGACCAGGGCCTGCTGGGGTCCTAAGCTTCGAGGCAGATGCAGCTTCTCTCATGCTGCCTACCTCTGCCCCTCAGGAGGTCATGTCTGTTACAGAAGAGACTTCTACTACATAGAGCTGGGCTTAGCACAGGTTGGGAGGCCTGTGTGTGAGCGTGCACCTGAGTGCAAATGTGCAAGCTCAACAACCCTGGGAATCCCAGCCCTGCGCCGTCCCACAGAGTCCAGCCTGGCCACCAGCGACCCTCCAAATTCGGTGAAATAAAATGGAATGGTTACACTTTCTTTCTTTGAGACATGTAGTACAGGCTGGCCTTGAACCTGCTCTGAGGCTGAGGGAGGCCTCGAACTTGGGTGGATCCTCCTGTTTCAGCCTACCAAGTGCTGGGGTTATGGGGCTGTGTGAGCATGTCCAGCTTGGTTACAGTTTCTAAGTTGCTCCAGCCACACTGCAAGGGCTGCAGCTACCAGACTGGGCAACAAAGCACAGGACATTTTCATCACTGCAGAAAGTTTAGGGGAGGGAAAGCACTGTCCTAAGCACTTGGGATGCAGGGAACACTTGGAAACTTCGTAGTCATTTCTGTATGGAGAGCAGAACCAAAGCCCAGAGAAGCAAAGGAACTTGCCTCAGGTTCCACAGCGAATCTGTGGCAACCAGAAGGCTATTAATTTTGGAGAAATTCACCAGGATCCTTTCATTTGGACTTTTAACAAATGCCCAAGGGTCCAACATGGTCATGAAGACAGATGACAGAACTGGACAGAAGTGCCTTCCTTAGAGGAGTTGGAGGGAACAAAGGGAAGGTGGGGACAGAGGAGGCTGAGACAGGACCCAGACATCCTTCCTGCCCCTGCACACCTCAGGGAAGGAGAAAGGGCACTCACACGCTGTCTCCCTGGATGAACAGCTCTGGCCGCTCTTTTAGCAAATTCTTCTTGATCCAGACAAGGAGGTTCCGGATGTCCCCTGGAGAGGAGGGAACAGAACAACTAATGTCAAACCAAAGGGCTCCTAGCCCCTAAGCCCTGCCTGGCCCAGGAGGAAGTAAACATGGGGCTTCCCTCCTAGGGCCTCTTTCAGGTCAGGCTGTGGTGGTCAAGAACCTGCAGGTTCCGAAGACAGGAGACCAACAAGAGGTCTTTGGAGCAAGGGGTTGCGGTACTGTTATAGGCTTTGGGAAGCATCGGCCTTTAGCTACAGTAAGGACTCGAAGCAAACTGTGGGAGAAACTGCCCATGCCAGAGCCCGGGCTCAGAGCCCTCTTGAGTGCAGCAAGCTGGTCTGAGGCTGCCCAGCAGGCTCCGGAGGGCCCTGAAGAACCCCTTCCACCTTTATCTCTCTAGCCAGTCCCAGATGGTGGGGATCCACTCTGCTCTTGGAAGGTCTGCATATATTTCCTTTTGTGAGGGGAGAAAAACAATCACCCAGCTGATAGCATCAGTTAATTTCCTCTAGCAGAGGGAGAGAGGAGCTCTCACCAGCCTGGGTGCTGACAAATCAATGCTCCACAGCTCCCTCTCCCATGGCCCAGAGGGCCAATGATGACCACCTTGCAGAGCAAGAGGTTCAGGGTCAAAGGGCCTCTTCTGCTCAGCAAATACCAAGACCTGCTTCCTGTGGGAAGTGGTATTCCAGGATAGCCACCAGTCCCTTTGTCCTCAAGGTCACCTCTCCTTTCCCAGGACCAGGGGCCAGGCAGAAACACCCTGGAACCAGCCCCATGAACTCTCCGGTTCCTGGGTCCTCTCCTGCCCAGTCCTTCCGCATGGTTATTGCTCTCTTAAAAGCAACCTAAAGACACAGACCCTAGCCGGGCATGGTGGCTCATGCCTGTAATCCCAGCACTCGGGAGGCTGAGGTGAGAGGATCATTGTGAGTTCGAGACCAGCCTGGGCTACAAAGTGAGCTCAAGGCCAGCCTGAACTGCACAGTGAGAAGACAAAAAAAAAAAAAAAAAAAAAAAAAAAAAAGACACAGACCCTAAGGAAATACCCCTGCTTCTGGGACACCAGGGGCTAAGCTGGGACAGAGCCTAGCAGGGGCCAAGCTGTGCCCAGTAGGCCGAGGGTCCAGGTATGAGGATCAGGCTGCTTCACTATGCTCCCAGTGTGAGCTCCGCAGCATGGACATGGCACATGCTCGGCCTCTGTGGTGGGCAGGGTTGAAGGCACTCTGGGCCTGCATGCCACCCTGGCACACGGGATGCAGCCTGGATGGACTGCTCTTTTTTGCTCAGTGCCAATACCCTTGGGTCTGATGCCAGCAGCACACAGGGCAAAGCATCTATGACTGAGACTGCTGCCTTCCAATTTTAACTCCTCTTTATAAATAAAGCATCCTGGAGTCCCCATGGTCCCTGGAATGAGTGGAGTAGGAGAGCCTGCCTCCAGCTAGCTGTGGTCTACTTGGCTTTGAAGCAGGCTCCTTCCTGCAGTGATTCCAGAGGCTTCCCCTTGGCCCTGAATCTCCTTGGCCTCCATCTTGGCACTGTCTGGTGGACCGCCAGCCCATACATCTTGTGGCCGCTCGATAGAGCCGCTGGGGCCTGACACATCCACTGCCAGCCCTGGCGGGCGGGGCTAGCGTGTGTGGAGAGGCTCAAGGGAGACTGGGCAGGGCCTGGCTTGGGGACCACAGGACATTACCTCCACAGACCTGGATGGCCTCCACTGTGGAGCAGCCTTGATTCTCCAAAAGAGTACCCTGCAACACCGAGTAGGCAGTGGGCTGGGGGAGGGCCAGTGGTCATGGTAGGGTCATTCACGTGATGGCACCATGGTGGAGTCCCAGGGGGTGCGCCGGGGGATGAGTTCTGGTGCTGGCTCATTTATCATGATGCTCCTGTTTGCTGAGGTCACTCCCTCCCTCTTCTGCCTGCCCCCACCCGAGCCTGCACACATTTTTGATAGCCTGTTACCATGGTGAGACTACTGCATCACCACTCGTATTGTTCCCCCATGCCTGGATTTGGGGGTGGGGAGAGGTGGAACTCATGGCTCCCTTTGCAGGCTGCAAGGGCCACTTGGCCTGGCCTGAAACGCATCCCCTGGGACATCTTGCTCAGCTTGTTGAGGCCCAGACAATATGCAAATAGGCTCTAAGCCAGATGGTCTGCTTCCAAAGGGGCCCAGGGGAGGAGGAAGGGTTAAGCAGAGTCAGGGGCTGGTGGCTTGGGGATGGCTCTAGGATACACAGAGGCTGGGGGATCTCACGTCCAACCCTCTCACTGTGTCCTTCTGCCTTCCCATTCCTACTGAGGGCCGTCTCCTCCTGGAATCTCATGGAATCACTCACAAAACAGATATTTGCTGAGCAACTACTATGTGCCAAGTGCAGGGGAGAAGGCAGTGAGCAAGATGGCACAGAGCCTCTCATGAAGCTAAGAGGCCAGCAGGCAAGACAGACATTACTTAATTGGTTGTGATAAATTGACCTTTGTCTTGTCAGGAAAGACCTTTCCAAGGGTGCTGACACTAAAACTCAGGCCTGAAGGGTATGGGAGGGAGGCATATACTGGAGACTTAAGGCACGCTGAAGCCAGCAGGTTCAGGAGGGCAGAACAGAGAAGGCAAACAGCTCAGTGCGAGGGGCCTATGCTGGACCGGAACCCCAGGCCCTGGGCCCATGATGTGGGAAGCAAGCTGAGGCTCAAGCAGAAGCTTTTCCGGCCCTGTTCCCATTTCTGTTCCCACTCCCGGAGCAAGGGGGCCTGGGGCTCAGCACTCTGGGACTCAGGATGCTTGCTAGGCACAGGGACAACTGCGGAGTGGGGGAGAAGAATTAGGGTGGCAGTACCGAGCGGGAGTTTGGACTAGGCTGCCATCATTTCCCAGTCATCCAAACTTGGGAGAGGAATTTTCCGAGGCTCGGCCTCTTTGCTGCAGGGTGGTCAGGGTACTTAGCAGGGTGGTATCCAGGATGGAGGAAGATGTCGCAGTCTAACTCCTGGCGCTGTGCCCAGCATAGCAATGTGACCCCCTCTGCATCGGAGGGAGAACCTGCTTCCTCTCCCTCTCTGATGTCCTAGGGTTCCAAGCACTCTGCCCACTGGTCTGGTATCCAGCTTTGGGGAATGAGGGACATTAATCAGGCAGCGCAGGGCTGGCTGGGGTTTTCTGGAGGGCCCAGTGCCTTCCCACAAGCTGGGAAGGGATGGGAGCAGCAGGAGACTGGAGAGGGGCCGAGGCACTGGCTGGCCTCCTTTCCTTACTTATATTTTAGCAGCACTAGGGACTGAAACCAAGGCCTCGTGCTCTACCACTGAGCAACATCTCCAGCCCTTTTTAATTATTTACCCTTTCTTCTTCCTATTATCCATTCTTTTTTAAAATTAGTGTATGTTTGCAATACATAATATATACAACATGGGTTATTTTTTATTTGAGACAGGGCCTTGCTGAATTTTCCAGGCTGGTCTCGAACTTTGGTCTGCCCATGAGTACCTCAACCCCATTCCTGCCAGGTCTCAGCGATCTGTTGTCTAGGCTGGCCTCAAATGCTGAGCTCAGTCTCCTGAGAAGCTGGGACTATGGGTACTTGTCATGTACCCACTTGTCTGTTTCCTGGCATTTTGGATGTTCAGACCTGTAGGGGATTTAGCTCTGCGGCATAAGCACCTGCCTGGCAAGTGTATAGTCACAAGTTTGATCTCTAGAACCAAAAAAACCCAATGCTCAGACCTGCAAAGCACCAGTGGTTGCTCAATGCTCCCAGGGCAACTGTGCACACAGCACCATAGGAGGGAGGCGCCCATCTGAGGGAGGCCAGGGAGGGGAGCTGCTGCTCTGTGGTGGGGGCTAAGAATTTCCATTATGGAGCCCTGAGGACCTACACTGTGAGGGAGATGGCCTTGAATAAGATGGCATGGTGCTACCTGTCCTCCCACAAAGGGGGGCATAGTCTATACTTATCAGGGTGGCTGTGAGGATTAAAGTTCAGTGCCAACGCAGACCAGCAGTGTCCAACACACAGTACTTGCTCAACAGTTAGGCTGACTTGGATTGCTGACTTGGATTTCTTGTCCTCTGGGCTTCAGGAACCCTGTCTAAACGTCACTATCATAGCACGTAGCGTGCTCCCTTTTTAAGAGTGCACCTAGGAAAATTTCCAAGAACCTCATCTCAGTGGACTGCTCTTGTCTGGGGACAGTGACTTCCTATTGTTGGCAGGGCAGCTAAACGGTAATAATCTCAAGACTTCCCAGCATTGAATCCCAGCTGCAAGAGGCCCTCACCCAACCTGCCTTGGGGACAGGAGGTCACCTCCTGGCAAGCAGCTCTGCTAATTGCTCTTTCTTGCCAAGCAAAAGTCTGTGCTGCTGCCACCACTGGGTCTGCTGGGCCCCAGGGCCCACCCAAAAAAAATGTGTCCTCACCCCCACTAGCCCTTCAGATCCGGGAGATGCCAAGCCCCTAAATCTTCTCCTCCGTAGGTTAAACAGCTCTGGGCCCACTAAGTCCGCCAGGCTCCAAGTCAGCGCTCTTCTAGGAGCCCACCCCAGGTCAGGCTGAAAGCGAGAAGAAAGCACTAGCTTGGGGAGGGGAGGGACGAGGGAACCTTTGAGGATCCATTTACAAGTGAATGGGGGTAAGAATGGAGCAGTTTGTGGGCTAAACTGGCCTCAGAAGGAGGTTTACAGATGTGCGAGGGGACGCTCCTCATTGTTTAATTAAGCAGAAAGTGGATCTTTTCAAAAGCAATTTTGCACAGGGACTGGGAGGGGTGGGGAGGGGATCAGCAAACAGGCCCCAGAGCGGAGAAAGGAACAGCTGGCCCCAGAGAGGCTGTGAAATGCATGCTAAGCAGTTTAAAGCACCCGGGAGCTCCACTAGCTTGGCTCCTGCCCTCCCTCGCCAGCCACGCTTTACTGTGAGGTGAGCAGGAGGAAGGCGGGCAGGGAAAAGTGAGGCAGGCAGTCTCCTCCTGGGGTCGGGGCTGGAAGCCTGGAGTCAGGATCTTTGAGTCCTTAAGACCCAGTGTCCTGCACTGTTAGTGGCCAGAGCTGGCTGTTGGGGACCCTCCCAAGCTCAGCCAGTTAAGGAGACAATCCATTCCTTTGAGATGGTGCTCATGGACCCCTTCACCACCAGGGTTCACACACACACACACACACACACACACACACACACACACACACGCAAACTCTCACTAGATCTGCACACCAAACTGGAGCTGTCAAGAGATACTGAGCACAATACAGAACAGACGGGGAAGCAAGAGGCCCACAAATCAACGATGTGCACGACACTCTGGCGGGCTCCTTTCGGCCTCAGCCTCTTTGGCCTCACCTGCCTTCTCCTCTCACACTGGCTGACTGGAGGCTCCTGACATGTGTTTCCTTGTTTGTGGGACCTGTCACAATCTATCTGTGTGGCTGCTGTTTTGGCTGGAGCCTCCAAGACTGCCTGGCCAAGTGGCAGTCCCTGGCTGGGAAGGCTGCCAGATGACAGATCTGGGAGTAGGGTGGAGAGTAAGGCTCTCCAACCAATACCCACCGCCTGCCCTCCCACCAGGCTCACGTGTGCCAGGGTAAGGCCTGGCAGCTGCCAACCAGCTCTTGGCGACAGTATGACCCACACCTCTGGACAAACCAAAGTATCAGAAGTAGAGGCCCACAACAGGGACCCAAACAGTGAGCTAGAGATGCTCTGTCTTCTCCCTACTTCCTTTCTTTCCATCGGGGTGTAGGGAGTGTAACCCCCACCTTCTCACTACAAGTGGCTAGAGATGCAGGAGGAGAAACCCAAGTCCTACCCCAGCTTTCCTTCTTGGTAAGTATGGCCAAGTCTCAAGTTCCTGCCTTCTTCCTGTCTTCCTTCCATGCCCAGTTTCCTTGATGACAGATAGTATCTGTTGGGATCATTACACAAACCAAGCTCAGTAGCTGCTTAAGGCAAGAATGAAGGAATTAGAGGGTAAAAACTGGAAAACAGAGCTGGACGTGGTGAGGCATGCCTGTAATCCCAGCATTCAGGAGGCTGAAGCTGAGGCAGGAGGATCATTGCAAGTTTGAGACCAGCCTGGGCTACAAAGTGAACTCAAGGCCAGCCCGAACTGTACAGTGAGATCCTGTCTCAAAAAGACAAAATAAAACAAAACCAACTGGAAAACAGGTTAACATTGAGAGATTTCAGTGATTCAGAGAGCCTCTTGGGTCAAATGGTGATCAGTACTGGCCTTAGGTCCTGAATGTGGATCTGACTACCAGCACTAGCATTTACATAACTATACAACTTGGGGTGAGACCCCGGTATCTGTGAGTTTGGGTTTCCACTGTTTACTTAATGGTGCTGAGAACTGGTCCCAGAATCTCAGGCTTGCTAAGCAAGTGCTCAGCTACTGAGCTTTGCATTCTCAGTCTGGTTTCCACCCTCTTCTTTTTTTCCTGTTGTACCAGGGACTAACTGAAACCAGGCCTTCACATGGAGCTACCTCCCTAGCCATTCTATTTTTATTTTTAGGCAGGATCTTGCTAAATTTCCCAGACAGGGCTAGAATTTGTGATCCTCCTGCCTCAGCCTCCTAGGGTGCTGGAATTACAGGTGTGTGCCACCACACCCAGCTGGTTCCTACCTTTTAAAATGGAAATAATGAGGCTAGAGATGTAGCTCTGCCTGGCCAGCATGAGGTCGTGAATTTGATCCCCAGTACAAAAAAAAAAAAAAAAAAAAGGAAATCACGGTAGCTATCTCTTAGGAGTTTGTGACTATGTTTTGCATAACCAACTGGAGCTTCTCCTACCACTCCAAATTCAGCCTGTAATCCACAGGACCCTGGTTTTCAGTTCATTTCTAACCCAAGGCCTTTTATCCCTGGGGGCCTTCTCAAGTGCTTCCTCGAGGCCTGAAGGACCCTTGCATGTCTGTTCTCCCTCTGCAACTCCCCAGGCTGGCATCTTTTCATCTTCCTTAATGCCACATCCTTACAGAGGACTCCCTGGCTAGTCTTCAGTCCAGTGCTAAGGACCTGTTGTGATTTCCTCACTACCGCTACAATTTGAATGATACAACTGTATATTTATTTGCGTCCTTGGTTACTGCCTGGTTCTACTGCCATCCCACCGTTAACTCCATCAGGGCAAGTGCTGTGCACCTGTTTTGCTTACCACTGAACAAGTACAGTGGTAAGAACTGGCACAGAAAGGAAGCACCTGGCATTTGCTAAGTATTTAGTCAGTTGGGGCTGGGGATTTAGCTTAGCAGCATGAGCGCCTGTAGCAGGCAGTTGTGAGTTCGATCCCTGGTACCAATAAAATGGATAAAGACAAAACAAAAACAAAAACAAAAACAAAAACAAAGTATTCAAAGTATTCAGCCAGTGAATGAATGAGTTGGAGCTGGAATTGGGAAAATTTGTGTGGGCTTTTGTGTCAAACAAACTTGAGGGGAAATAAATCATAATTTGTGATATATCCAGGCAAGACTGAGTCTCTGAGATAGAGGTGAACCCCTGTTCCCTCCCAAGGCTGCATGGCTGTCTGTCAAACTAAGAAACATCATCTTGTTACCTGTGGGTATTCCCTAGCAGGGACACACAATCTTTTTTTTGGGTCCTGGGGACTGAGCACATGACCTTGTGCTTGCCAGCCAGGCACTTATGCTGCTGGGCTATGTCCTCACCAGGACACACATCTTATTGCCCTGACATTTAACGTCAGCCACTTGTCCATTCCCAGTATATGGAGAGTACTGCCCTGCTCCTCAGTGAGAGTCCCCCAACCCTGGTACACAGCAAACAGACCCACTCTACTGCTATTTTGTGACCCGGGCAGCCATGGAGTCTGGGCCATTATAACCATTTGATGACTGGCATTTGTACATCCATTCTAGAAAAATCTCATAAACATCCCTTGACGATTTTCTACTGTTCCCCCCAACAGGAACCCCATTCTTTAGGCTCCTACTCCCTATGTATTCTGGTCTTAGTATCTACTGCCAGGCCTGCAAAAGACCTTAGCACGGGTTGTGGGTGTAGCTCAGGGTTAAGTCTCCAGTACTACATCCCCATAAAAAACAGACCTTAATGGTGGACCTATCCAGCCCTTGCTGCCAGGCTAGCTGACAGCTACCAGCTGGACCCGCCAGGATTACCCTTTAAAGTCTCCCATTGGAAGGCAGGCCCTGGCTCCTCTTGCTCACAGCTGTCTCTTTAATGACTAACACAGTCTGCCACTCAGAAGGTGCTTGGTACATATTTCTTTAAAAAATATTAGCAAGTATTTGGATGAACAAATTTTTAAAAATCCACTGTCTCCCTTAGTCAACTTCCCTCCTCCAGGCTCTCTAGCTGGAGGAAGGGAAGGGTTAAGGGCACATAAAAAGAATCAAGACAAGCTGTGTACACATGCCAACTTCCCAAGATGAATATAATTATTGGTATGTACTGCAAACATGTACTAATTAAAATAAAAAGAATAGAGTCTCACCAAAATGGGAGCCCATTCATACATTCCATTCTCAGCAGAGGCTATCTCCTTTATGAGCACCCACTCCCGCTGCCAAATTACATCGGACAGAAACAGTGCAACTTGCTTCCTCTGACACTGACAAACGGATCACCTTTCTCACTTCAATGATGAGAACCCTGAAGCTCAGGAAGGTGAAGTTACTAGCCTAAAGCTTTTTTTTAGCCAGGATCTTCCTAAGTAGCCCAGGCTGGTCTCAAACTGACAAGCGATCTTTCTGTCTCAACTTCTCTGAGTGCTGGGATTACAAGTGTACTGGCCTAAAATTCTTAGTATAGAAGCCCTATGTAAGGACTAAGCCATTCCCACCTGAATAGGGATGAGGGATCCCACAGACTCACTCTTGTCCAGTGGGGCCCAGAGATACTCACAGGGCTCCTCCTGCCCAGGCAAAGTGACTTGATGTTTCTTTACACCATCAAACAGAAGCTCCGCGCCACCTCTGCAAAGCAAGTCCAGAAAAAGGCAGCAGGTGAGAGCATGCAAGCAGGAGGGAGCTGAGCCTGAGAACTGAAGGTGGGGCTGGCAGAAGCAGCCCAGGGGATGCAGAGACGAAGGTGAAGGAACAGTGAGTACCACTGACTGATTCTCTCAGGTGATGTCCTGATGTGGTAAACTACAATGCATATAATGGTCCATAATCGAGCACATAGATTTGCAGATTTTCATTTTTATACCTCTGCTTTCTTGAGACAGCTTAGGATACAACTGTAGAACACAGGTTCTGGAGTTGCCTGCCTCAAGGTAGGGATCAGGTTCTACCCTGGGCATGTGGGATCTTTACAAGCTTTGACTGTGTGTGTGTGTGTTGGTACTGAGGACTGAGGCCGGGGCCTCTGCAATGGGCTCTACCCCTAGCCCTTTTTTATTTTATACTTTGAGACTAATTTGCCAAATTTCCCAGGTTGGATTTGAATTTTGCTTTAACCTCCCAGAGTGCTTGGATCACAGGTCTGTAATCCCACATCCAATTTCAAGCCTTGCTATTTACATCTGAAAAAATGCTAAGCAACAGCCAAGCATAGTGGTATATGTCTGTAATCTCAGCTAAGGCAGGAAGATCAGAAATTCAAAGCTAGTCTGGACAATTTAGAGACCTCATCTTGAAAAGGAAAAAAAAAAAAAAAAAAAAAGGCAGAAAACCCAACTTAGCAAAGATACAAAATGCCAAGAAGCCCTTTTAAGGCCTCTGGAGACCTCTGTGCTTTTAGCAGTGTCCTCTGCCTGGGTCAGCCTTGGAAATGCCTGCCCCTGCCCGCTGTTGCTGGCCAGGTGTACACAGAACAGTGCAGAAGGCCTAGAGAGCCACTGGGCTCAGCCTCAATAAACAGTAACTGTTCACATCATCTTGCCCTTTTATTAGATGTTCCTCAGCTCCTTTTCCCCTCAGGCCTTCTCAGGGAAGGAGGGAGGCGATATTAATTCCATTTGAACAGGGACGCTGACCAGAGAAGCCAACTGAAGCTTAGAAAGATTAAGTCACTTGTCTAAGGTCAGACAAGCAGTAGCTGCACTAGGAGCTGAATCTAACTGTTTGCTGCTCAGCTCTAGTAATCTTGTCAGAAACAAAACAAAACAAAACAAAACAAAACAAAACAAAACAAAACAAAACAAAACAACTCATGACTCCTCTAAGGTCAGGAAGCCCCTTGAAGTGGGAGTTTGGTTCAGTGCTGTGCCCCAGCACCTGGCTGAGGGAAGGCTGGGACAACAGAGATGTTCAGAGCCAAGTCCAGCAGCCAGGACTCCTGTGTCCCACACAGCATCTCCCTCTAGATCTCCTGGTTCCCATCCCAGACTTCACATGGGTCTGAACTGAGAAAGGCCTCAATAGGCTTTGGATAGATGTGATGTCTTCCACCCCAGCACCCTTTCCCCATCTCAGCGAACAGATATGTCCTAAGGCAGCCCACTGGGAGGCACAGGCAAGGCAAACATTGTCATGGGGGAAACATGGGGCGACTGTCATCCAAACAAGGTCACGCTTTGTTGATGCAGAAATGTGGAGGGGGAGCAGAGGCCCATCTGTGGCCGCGCACAGGGCCATTTCAGCTGCGAGCCTGCACAGAGCCTGCATTTATCTCCTTCCAAGAGCCCCGTTTTCTTCTGGGTAGGGGTTGGCACATGCAGCAGCTGGGGTGGGGGAGGGTGACAGGCAAGGAGCTCAGAAGTTGGGGGTCAGAGAAGAAGGGTGGGAACTGGAGGCACTGGGACCCAGGCAAACAACTGAGAATGGCCAAACCTGGTGGTGCCAGGCTCGGAGGCTGAGCCTGTTTGTCCCTTTAGAAATGGATGAAGGAAGGACCAGTGTAGCTGAGAGACCTGGCACTGCTGGGTCCCAAGGGAAGGGCAGATGTTTGCCAGCACATCTGGAATGGGGGAAGGTACATGCCAAGCCTCTGGAGTGATTCAGGGAGGCAGATGAGGAACTTATTTTGGCCCCAGAGACTCAAGGCCAAATCCTGTTACATTTTAAGAGACTTTGCTATTCAGACTCAATTAAGATACCTTCATCTTGCCTCTACCTGCATACCCTGACATCCTGATGGATTTGTCTGAAACCAATGACAGGTACAGACATTCTCCAAACTCCTTCATTTTTCTTTCTTCTTTCTTATTGCTACAGACGAAACCCAGGGCCTTGAACATGTTACATAAGAACTCTACTACTGAGCCACACTCCCAGGCATGCTTCACATTTTCTACTTTATCTTCATATTTTTTTTAAAAAATCGTCTATCTATACTTATGTACTTTCCCTCTACCTACTGGAATACAAACTCTTACTAAAACAGAGGCTGGCACACAGTAGGCACTGTGTTACTGGCACTGTCATACTGTACTGCTAAATATTTACCAAATGAATGAAAATGTCCACTTCTCTCCCTTTTTTCTGACTTCAATAGTTATCTCTACCAATACTTCTCCAACATGTTGAGGAAGAAATGGGATGCGACAAAGGTAGTATCACACCTGAGGCTTTATAACCCAGACCAAAGGGGCCCAAAATACATCTGTGCTGTTCTCTTTGAATCCCATGCTGAGAACTGCTCTAAGAACAGTTCAGGGAGCATGATAAAAAATGGCAGAAATGGTGACTGACAAGAGAGAAAAAGTTGTTGTAGTGACTCGGAAGAGCTGGTGGGGCCAAGATGACTATGTTTGCCCAGGAGTTGGAAGTGACAACATATCCCAGACTATTCAGGACCTGTGGAGGTGGGCCCACTGGGTAAATGATGGGCATGGCAGCCTCTAGCTCAGACAAAAGGGTGAAGCATGGCTGCTAAACGATGCATGAAATGAGGTCAGATGTACAGCATGCTAGGACAGAGAGAAGGGATCAGTGTCTGGTACATATCTTGGGGAGTCTTACTGCCTATCCAGTTGCAACACTCATGGGCTCTGTAATGTTGGTGGAGACAGGTAGGTAGGTGCAGGAATGTTGTCCTGCCTTGCCAGGGCTCACTACTGCTTTTCGAGGTAAGCAAGGGTGATGTCAGAAATGGGCTACTGAGTCAGTCTGTAAACTCCAGAAGGCAAGGAACTTATTTTCCTCCTGATTTCTTTACTGTTGCCAATACATATCTGGCAGATGGGGGTTATCTCTGGTAAACAAACACCATGTGTGATTCCTTGGCTCCAGGCAAATCTTAACCCTGGCAGACCACAGCTTTGCCTGTCCAACTGCTGAGGTCTATCAAGGTAGCATAGATCCTCCTAGAATCTACAGGCTTGGAGGGTAAAGCAGGCCAAGGGTCAGGGAAGCAAAACAGTAAAGAGGCCAGCCCAGTGTAGTTAGTTGGATCCAAGCAGTCAGACAATATCATCAATTAAAATGTATTTATCATTCATGACACTTCCCCATTCTAAGGGCTAGAAATGCTGAACACTGCAGGGCACGGACAGAGTGCTATTTATCTTTGTATCCTCTCTGTCTGGCCCACTGCCTGGCACATGGTAGACACTCAATAAATGACTGGAGAATGAACTAGGCAGTGAAAAGAAAACATGAAAGAAACGGGGCATCCAATGGGAGAAAAGGCATGTGGACGGGGATTTTAGATTCCCATCCCAGACTTTTCTTATCACTTAGACCTTAACTTATCTCTTCTCACACACGGGCACACACACTCAGTCCCAATTTCGCTGTGACTTTAGAAATGATAATCACCTATTTTTTAGGCCTATTTTCCCCCTTCTCTCTAAATTTTCCAGTTTTTCTCTCAGCTTTGAAACCATGAGAAACCTTGTGTTTGTTGGAGGGGGCATGGTAGCTTGAAAAGATTTTTTTCTGCCGTTTCTTTGGTTATTTCTCATGATCTTTGGAAACCACTCAGCAGGTTTACTAACTATCCTGAAAGAAGCACCAGTCTTCTTAAAACCCTCAATTCTTGGGGAAGGAGAAAGGAGTCCCGTAAAGAAATCAAGGGTAGGAGAGTGGTAGTTTCAGGTTTTAGGAGCTTAGATGCCAAACAGATGGGCCTGGTGGGAAAGGAGACTTGTAAAGACTGTGGGGAGACCGCCTGCTAACTGTCATGTCTTTTGAGTCACACAGGGTAAAGGGCACTGCTTAGTACCGGAGCGCACCGCCCGCCAGTGTGTGCTTTTCTATTCCCGGACATACGGTCTCGCCACCAAGGGAGACCGAATCTCTCAGTCTCGAGCCGGTGATATAGCTTACGGCGGATGCAGCAAGCCTCGGCAATTCGGCCTTGACTGGCCCCCAGGCAAGACGGGAGCGTCAGGTCCGACGACTTCAATCCATCCCCATGGAACCCCAAATCTGACTCACCCGAACTCCACCTCCACTGACAAGGGTGCTGCCATGTTGAGGAAACCTAGCTCTTAAGAAACTCTCCTCAACTTCCGGCGCGCCAGCCCACTTCCGGTTGCCGCGCGCCGTCGCGGGCGGAAGAGGCGGTGTCGAGCGGAAGAGGCGGAGCCCAGGAGTCTATCCTCTTCTGCTATTGGAGGAAAGTTCAGAGCAGAGGAGGGGAGGTCATCTCGGCTCCTGAGGACTGTGGGTCGCAGAGACTGAGTGCGGAGCGGCTTCAACCAAGTCACAGTTAGGGAGACGAGAGCCGGCAGCATCTTTGCGACACGACTGTGAGCTACGTTACTTCTTGTCTTGCATTAGTTATAAATGTCAGCCAACACACTGCTTGGGCGAGCTCGTTCACTTGTCATATCTTGAAGTAAAAGCAACCTCCAAAATCATTTTATTTCCGCCCCAGCAGTCTCCCTTCTAAGCGGAGAACTTGCTGTCCACAGGTGCCTTGTTTGATGCTGTGGATTCAGTAGTAAAAAGGGAGCTGGTAAGGTTTCTTCTGGATTTAGGGCCTTCGCAGGCTAGCGAGAAGACAAACTAATCAAGTAAACATACTAGCATATTGTTAAGTGTAAATCTCAAACGGCACGAAACAATCTAAACTTGCAGACATTTCAGAAAGAAAAGCAGGAGGTGGGGGCCACAGCTCGGTGGCCTGCCCCATCATGTGGAAGGTCCTGTGCTCCACCTGAAACTATCTAGACGGGACATGCTGGGCGCCAAAGCTTGAGTAAACTAGGGGAACATGAGGGAAGCCTTCTGAGGAGAGCAGAAGGGGCAAACAACCAGGGCACAAGGGAGGACAGTAGAAGTTGGTGAGCAGCGAGTTTGCTAAGATGATGTGAGAGCTGCCTCGAAAAGGAACAAACAAATCATTTTACAGCTAAAGATGTAGCTCAGTGTGTTTGCCTAGCGTGTGCAAGGAGCCCTGGGTTTGATCCTTAGCACACCCTTCCAGAACAACTTTTTTTGCTGCAGTGTAGAGAATAGTTTGGAGCAGAACAAGCAAGAGACGTGACAGGGAGGGCACTGGAGGTTGTTGCAAAAGCCTGAGGGGTACCTGGGCATGATGGCCTACAGCTGTAATCCCAACACTTGGGAGGCTGAAGCAGGAGGATCATTGCGAGTTCGAGACCAGCCTGGGCTACAAAGTGAGCTCAAGGCCAGCCTGAACTGCATGGTCTCAAAAAAAAAAAAAAAAAAAAAAAAAAAAAAAAAGCCTGGAGGAGAAACACTGGAGTGGATGTAACCCATGGGTCTTTATACTGCAGCATTTTCTGAACTGCATTTGGTACTGGTAGAAGTTGGGATGTAGCCTCTTGGGTAAGGGTGCATTGATTAAATTGAGAGTGAGTCTCACCGTGACCTAGCTGTTTAGGCAAGGCCCTTAACATTTTTGTGCTTCACTTACCTCATCTGTAAAATGGAGGTAATAGCCTATCCTTACAGGACTGTCGTAAGGACTAAACAAATTCTCAGCATAGTTCTTGATATATAGCCAGTGAAGGTGAACCATTCGTTCATTTATTTGAGACTGCATCTTGCTAGGTCAGGGTGATCTTCCTGGCTCAGCCTCCAAGTGCTGGGATTACAACTGAATTGTGTACTACCATGGTTGGCCTGAGAAGGAACCTTTGAAAACTGTCAGTGATACAAACAGCCCTCTGCAGCATGCATGCCATAGGTTTGCCACAACTGGTATAGGCTTTATATTTCCCTCTCCTGGATGCCAGTATCACTTACCCAGACATCCAAGCACCCAAACATTCAGACACTATCCTTAATTCTTCCCCTCGACCCATACCCAACCAACAAATTTGGATTAATTGGCTTCCTAACCTAGTTTTGCAACCTCAGTTTCCTCCATACCTCCATGTTCTCTTATCTCACAATTCTACTGTCATCTATACCTGCTTCCTCTGGTCCCCTTGCCTTCTTATTCTTTGTCTCTGGCCATAGCTTCCTTGTCCAGTTCAAGCCCCTTCAGTGTCCCGGGGACTGCTCAAGGGTACTGGTAAACAAGGACATACAAGACAGTTCTGGTTCTTAAAAAGCACAGAGGAGTCTGATGGTACCTGGAACAGCCCCACAATCCCTGAGCTGTGTGGTGAGTCATTTCCCCTCTCTGGAATTCCATTTGCTCCATCTCTAGAGAGAATTTAGAGCTGGGCTTGGTGCTGCACACCTGTAATCCCAGCACTCAGGAGGCTGAAGTATGATCAGTTCGAGGCCAGCCCAACTACATAGCAGGACCTTGTCTCAAAAATTAAAAAAAAAATTTTTTTTTTGTATTGTAAGATAGCTCCTTGGAGACAAAAGGGGTCCTGAGTGGGTTGTCACTGAGACCCTGTGTCAGGGGAAATTTATACAACAAAGTCACAATGTGGGTACAACATGCATCAAACTATAACTAACCAGTAAGATTACAGGGATAGCTGCTTAGCTAATACTGACCCAACTGGGAGGCAGGGCTTGCACTTAGCAAGAAACAGGAACAATTATGGGAAGGGCTGGGTCCAGATACCCTAGTCACTCACGTGGGTATCTGATGTATATCTGGATTTACTGGACGGGGTGGTATTAATTACAATACAGACTCAGTGCATGCTTATTTCTAAGGAAGTTTGTAAGTCAGGCCATTGTGACTTTATCTTGAGGCTTTGCCTTCTTCAGATGCACCTCCAGCCACAATTCCTGTATCTTTATCTTTCAATCACTTCCTGGAAAGCCCAGTCCCTCTCGGACTGTGAATGAATTTCTGTCCAACTTAGTTACCTATAATATTATGAACATGGTGTTTGCTTCGGCAGCACATATACTAAATTAGGAATTTACTAAATATACTAAATGAGGATACAGAGAAGCAAGGATGACATACAAATTCATGACATTCCACATTTTTTTTTTTTTTGTGGTACTGGGGATTGAGCTCATGACCTCGCACTTGCCAGGCAGACGCTTATGCCACTGAGCAAAATCCCCGGCCCAAGCATTCCACATTTTAAAAAAGATTATAAACATGTACCCACTCTTCAAGATGACTGTAATCTGCATGTACTTCTAACACACTGCAAACACGTATTAATAAAATTAAATAAATGAAGCGAAACTGTGTTTGGGACCAAATGATCTCTAAGGTCTATTCAGCAAACTATGCTCATTCTCCCACGGAACTCTCAGCTTTTCTAAGAGCAGAAACCCTTCCTGGCAGGAGATACAGCTCAGCAGCACAGCACCTGCCTGGCAAGCTCAAAGTCCTGAGTTTGATTCCTGGTACAAAAAAAAAAAAAGCCTTCCTGATAGCATTTTAGATACTCAGTATATAGGGAGGAACTGTGTACTGTTGTTGTTTTGCTTTTCTTTCTTTTTTTTTTTTTCTTTTGCCTTTTTGAGACAAGTTCTGTGCAGCTCAGGCTGGCCTTGAGCTCAGTTTGTACCCAGGCTGGTCTGGAACTTGCAATGATCCTCCTGCCTTGGTCACTTGAGTGCTGGGATTACAGGTATGTACCACCATGCCCAGCTTTTGTTTGTTTGTTTGTTTGTTTAGGTAGTTTAGGCTGGCATTGAACTCTAAACAACCCTGCTGCACCCTCCTGGGTGCTGGGGTTACGGGTGTGAGTCACCATGCCCAGCTGGAGGGTTTGGTAAGTGCTTGCTAAGCTAGTGGCATTTGCCAGCCTGGGCCTACATAGAAGGTATTTAGGGCCCTACGTGTCCTCTGACTCCAGCCAATCTCAGCCCAATATCCTGCGACCCAGGGTACTCAGGGAACCCTTCACCCACTTGACATTCCCTGAGCGTGTATTAAGCAGCAGGCCTGGTGCTGGGGCAGGGACAGGACAGTGAGCAACACCAGTGAGTCCCAGCCCTCCTGGGGATGGTGCTTTAGAAGATGTAAGTGGCAAAACAGGTCCATGTTGAGGGCAGTGGCATTGATACAGGGGCAGTGCTAGATGTCAGATGTGCCGAGTTGTGTCCCCAAAGTTGGAGAATGAATTCTAAGGGACAACACAGGTTAAGAGTAGGAAACTTTGTTGGAGAAAAGGAATGTGAAATAGGAAGAGCTCCTGAGAGACAGGAGGGTCCCAAATGAGTAGTCAAGGAGCCTCCCTTTCAAAGGAAGTTTTATAGAGCAAAATCGCGAGGCGGGTAAAACGGTCAAATTTATGATTAGCCAATAAGATTGTAAGTATAGTTGTTTAGGAAATATTTTTTTCCAGTAAGATTATTGGTATGTTTAGTTATACATAGCGATCATATTCATAATAGAGAATTTATACCTGTAGGTGATACAATTTTTTTCCGTTCCCCTGCCCTTCCTTCAGTCCCTACTGCCCTCCCCATTTACAAAAACTTTTCCATTTTTTCCTTCTTTTTTCATTTTTTTACTTTTTCCTTCCCCCTTCCCTATCCCTCTCCATTTCTAGCTAATTTAGCTATCTATAACAGGATCATGCAGGGGCACAGGGCTTTAGGGGATCAAGGAAGCCTTCCCACAGGTCCTGTCAAAGCCAAGTCCACAGGGACTTGGGAACTGGAGGTGCGGAGGGGCAGGGCCCTGGCTTGTGCTAAGCCAGCTCAGTCCATGGCTGCCCAGCATTCACTCAGTGACAGACTTTCTTCTGGCCGTAGGCCTACCCCACTGGATCCCTCATTAACAGAATTAGTTTCACACTGTATTCATTCAAGGCGTATTTATTGGCCAGCATGGTGGTGCCTACCTGTATCCCAGGAGGCTGAGGCAAGAGGATCACCATGATTTCAAGACCTGTTTGGACTACATAGCAAGATCCTGTATCCAACAAAAAAAAAAAAAAGAAAAGTATTGAATTGCCTCTTTGCACCTGCCTGGCACTTCATACACGTTATCTAATTTATTCCTCACAGTGACTCCTGCCATTTTTCAGATGGAAAAACTGAGACTTGGAATGTGTGGTTTACCCGAGGACCCTTACATGGCAGGCCACAGACCAGGTTTTGCCTGCCTTCGGCTCTGTGCCTGCTCTCTGACCCATGTGGCCTCGGCCTAGCCTTCCCCTTGGACGTTCGCTGCACAGGGACTTGGCCCCATCCTCTGTCCCCTCCTGCAGGCTGGCCGCCTAGGTGGGACTTCAGCCTCCTTCTTCTCTGAAGTTCCTGGGGAGACAATGGTGGGGTCAGCGGGGGAAGGGGCACCGAGGGCGCGGGTGCCCCCCTGCCCGCTACCCTTTGTCTTCCCGCCTGCTCCCCTAGCGCACCCCGGGAGGCTGGGAGGCTCCTCTTGCAGGCTTCCTCCTCCCATTCTTGTGCTAATTGGGTGTCAAGCTGAGATCAGTGAGAAAGAAATCCGCCCTGGCTTGGGTTAAACTGCTGCCAAAGCTGAGGGCTGAGCCCAGAATATCATTAGGCCTGGAGGAAGCTGGGCCCCTCCTCAGGGGAGGGGCTGGCTGTGCCTCGGGGCCCCTTTGAAAGTCACTGGTCCCCCCCTGCCATCTCAGTGGTATTTAACCTTTTCCCCAGGAACTGAGAGTGATAGCAACATACCAGTCAGGGCCACCACTTGCCTGTCGCACTACTACGGGACCTCCGGGGGTGATGCAGGCTGGCCCCTTCCAGCCAGCCAGGGCTGGCATGTAGGAGACCCAAGCTAGGCCCTTGTCCCCAGCTCTGCCGTGCACCTCTGAGCCTCAGACTGCTCATCTGAGGGACAGGGATCCAATGAAATTATTTAGGACGCCTGGATGAACAGGGCCTCTAACCCGAGCTCCTAGAGCCCTCAAGGATTCACTTTCTGCTTTGTTTTCCGCATAGGGTTTCTTTATTAGTCCAGGCGTGCAGCACGGTGCGCTGCAGGATTCACTCCCCTTTCTTGCCTCAGCCCTCACCCCCTCTCTCAGCCCTGCAGCTTCGCTGCTGCTTGCTCTCCTTTTTTCCCTTCAGTATTGGGGGTTGAACCCAAGGTCTTTTTTCCTCCCCTTTGGCTGAGACGGCGGCGTCACTATGTAGTCCAGGCTGGCTTCTTAACTCTCCTGGATCCTCCTGACTCAACCTCCTAAGTGCTGTAATTACAGGTGTGTGTCATCACGCCTGGCTCTCAAATTGCTTTTTAATCTTTTTTTTTTTAGAGACATGGTCCTACTAAGTTACCCAGGCTGGGCTTGAACTTGCCATCCTCCTGCCTCAGCCTCCCAAAGTGCTGGGATTATAGACACACATGTCCTGCTTGGCTATTTACACAGTATTTTCAAATCACTGGAACAGTGTCCTCATGAAGGAAGAGGATCATCAGTGATATCACCAATGACCAGCAATGACAAATGCAGCTGCAGTGAAGAAGCAGAGCCCAGAGCTGCCGGATGCCCAGAACACAGCACCTCTGCTCCTGTCCTGGTTCCCTGTGCAGTGGTGAACTGTAGGAACCATCCCTGAAAGTCAGAGCTCTTGGCTTTCTTCAGCCTGCTCTCTGCTGCCTCAGGCCTTACCTCTGCCCGCAACCTCATCCCCCTGCGCTGCTTGCTCCATGCAGGCTGTCTTCTCTACTGTGCCTCTCTCCCTCCCTAATCCTAACCCCCGGCTCCCTGAGGGCATGTTAGGGCCCCATCTCTTTCTTCTTTCCAGGCAGCCTTCAGAATCTGCCCCCTTGGAGAACTGACACTGCTCTGTAAACTGGGAAGCACTAGACAAGTGTCAGGAACTGGCCCATAAACAGTAGCTGTTGTGTATTAACTCCTCCAGTGGGTATCCAGCAATTTGGAGACACTGGCCATGGTTTGGGGATGACCAGATGTACATCCAAGGGGGCACACGGAGGGGCTGCATGGGATGGTCCAGTGACAAGTGGGTAACAGCCTAATCTGGGAGTTTATCAGTCCTCCTGCCTCAGCTTCTCCAATGTTGGGGTTACAGGTATGCACCACCACACCCAGCTTTTTCTTTCCAGTGTACTATACCTTGGTATTTCTTATTTCCTGTGTTTGGTTTTTGGAGACAGGGTCTCACTATGTAGCCTAAGCTTGCCTCAAACTCACACCAGTTCTCCTGTCTCAGCTTCCCGAGTGCTGGGAATATAGGCATGTGCCACCAGGCCTGGCCCAAAGCATATCTGGAATTGATTCTTTTGTTTTTTTGGTACCAGGGATTGAATTCTCAGCCTCGCACTTGCCAGGCAGGCCTTTATGCCGCTGAGCTAAATCCTTGGCCTGTTAATTGGTTCTTGGAAGTGGAAAGAGTATCAAACAAATTATCCTGGCCTGAAATGATCAGTCATGAGGTGAGCAATATGGACAGGTTCTAGCTTGTACGTCGAGTACCTGGACAAAATTTCCATCAAGTGCACTGAGTACCAAACTGGATGGGTTCCCAAGCAGTTGGTGCCCAGGTATGACTGTGTGGGGAGCACGTGTGGCCAAAAGCCCTAGCCCCAAGCCGGGAGCTTTCCACATAGGATCTGCTCTTAGTTTTGCAAGGCAAGGACTCCTTTCCTGGAAGGGGAATTGAGGCCTGGCCTGGCAGCATTCTGGGGTAGGGGGAGCTGAGGCTGAAGGCTGACCACACTCAATCCCCCTTCACTGCATCCTGATAACCTCAGTACCACCCACTGCCAGAACTGGCTATGGGAAAGAAAAATAAAAAACCACGACTGGCTGTGGAGGTTACACACAGCTGCTCTGCCCTTGGAAGCCTGTGCAGATAGCCACCAGGTCCTGTGGCTCCCAGGTGCATGGGGACACAGTGCCTCCTTCCTGCTTCCCCGGGCTGAGGGCAGAGGGACAGGACTGGATTCCCCGGGCTCTGCGCACCCTCTGCTGGTCACCACTGGCGTGGCAGCTGTGCCCAGAACCCCAGGAGGCCCCCTCCCCTCCTGGCTAAGGGCCAGCTCCAGCATCTTCCTCCCCCAGAGGCACCAGACTCTTCTCAAAGGCTGCTTCCTGGGAGGAATCTTGACTTCCCAGCCTGGCCACCAACCACTTCAGCTGTCCACTGTTGGCTCAGGGTGTGGCCCAGAGCTGGTGATACAAGCATGCATGGAATGGAAATACCACTTCCTCCTGTCTTTGCACCAGGAGGTAGTGAGGCAGTAGGAGAGGGACAGCTCGGCTTTGCGTTTTGGCCCTCACTACAGTACTTACTTGTGTGTCCTTGGCCAAGAGAGAAAAATCTCCAAGTGAGGCTCAAGATTGGAGACTGCACCCCAGGAACCCTTCCCAGATGAGACTCCAGCCTGGGTGTGGCTGGGGAAGACAGCAGCCCTGCACACACCTTGCTGTGCTGAGTTATAAGCGGCCCAGCAGGTTAGGCAGCCGCGTCACTGTGGCGGCTCCTTCTAGGCCCCAACAAAACAAACCACAGGCTGCAGAGAGCAAAGGTCTCCCCTCAGAGCCCCCTTTAGTTTCTGAATCTTAACTGATGATTTGATTTTCAGAGGAGACTGCGTCACCAGCAGATGGCCACAACCTTCTAAATGAGATCTGGTCTGGCCGTTGGGGCTTGTGTGGTTGAATGCATTGCCAGACTCAGTGGCAGCTCTCCCAGCTGAGCTGACACTGGGGGCAGGGGCCTAGGCCCTCACTGACCCCATGTCCTGTCCCTGTGGAAGACCCACTCAGGATGGGACAGGCCAGGCTGCAGCACACGGCTAGGAGTCAAGACAGTTTATTGGCCCCTGAGCCCTCCCTCCTATCCTTCTTCTCAGGCAGGCCAGGGTTGCGGTGGAAAAAGGTGACACAGACCCACAAGGACAAAAGGCTCTGAGGGACAGCTAGAAACTCCCAGGGAGACAAGGATGTGGGGTTTTGAGACATGGGCGTTGTCCTGACCTGCTGTGGCAGGGAATGGGGCCACACTGGCTCTTCCTCCCCTTTTGGAGGTGCAGGCAAGGCTAAGGCAAGGGTCCCCTCTGGCCACCAGACCTATGGCCACCTCTGTCCCTGCCCACTGTTGGCTTTCTGAGTCGGAGACTGCCTGCCTTGGTCCTATGTACAAGTTCCCTCCTCCACTCTCCCTGCCGAGCCTCATCCAGATACTGTCCTGAGGGGGGCTCCTCAGTCTCAGCCGGGGCCTGGACAGCATCACTTGGAATACAAGGCTTTCACAGAAAGCCCTGGAGGGCAGGGGAGGTGGCAGTGTGACACTCGGCAGTTGTGGAAGGAGGGGGTCAACATCTCGGGGCCACTGAGGTTCAGGCCCTGCTTGCTTTGGCATCGCCCAGGACCCCTCTGGGGTGGAGGTCACAACTTCTCTTTGCCGGCCTGGATGCGGGTGTAGGCCTCTTGGTCCAGCGAGACATAGCGGCCCTTGCGGGAGTCCAGGTAGAAGAGCGGGTCTTTCACCAAGGCCGGGTTAAAGCCCTCCTTCCGCAGCTCTGTCTTCTGGAACTTGTAGGTCCCTGGGGGTCAGAGGAGACTCAGAATGTGTGGGTGAGGCCTGGGCCCCCAGGAACCTGACACCAGTGTCAAGGAGGGGCCAAGAGGAGGGCTGGAGAGAAAATAGCAAGTGTGCAAGCTGGATAGAGGCCAGGGCAGTTTGCATCGGACACTCATCCTGGGATGCCATGGTCTGCTGCTCAGCAGCCCAGGTGAAGCTGAGGGTACTGACAGGGCAGTGAGTTGCCCATTGAGTCACCCGCCCCGAATGCAGATGAGACAGCTTGGATTTGAGGAGGGAAGCTATGTGCCCAAGTCACACGGACTGCTCCTTCTGCTTGACCTACAGAGGACAGGTGTGCCTCCCCACTTCGCATTCTGAACATCATGTGGCTTCAGATTTTAACATCCCTGAGACGGCTCAGTAAGGAAACTGTCCTTCACGTAGCGGGGGCCTGGCTGTAGGAAGGCTGCCGCTCGCACATCTCTGGACCAGGTTCACACAGCTAGGGTGGAGCTGGAATCTGAACCTGGGGGTGACAGAGAACCAGGACTCTTCTTCACATGCTGTCACTTGTGCAGTGTAGCTTTACTGATTCTCTCAACAGGCCCTGGGGCCTTTCTTAGGTCACCCCCAGTTTGACTCTGGACTGACCTCCTGCTTTACTTTGCGCAGCAGAATGTGGCAGGAGCAATCATGGGAGCTGCGTGTGATTCCAGGGGTGAAAGAGCTTGAGGGAGACCCTTAGACCCACACTGTTCAAAAGGGCAGGCATTCGTCCTCCAATTTCTTTTCTTTCTTTTTTTTTTTTTTTTTTTTGCCTTTTTTGAGACAGGGTCTCACTATGCAGTTCAGGCTGGCCTTGAGCTCACTTTGTAACCCAGGCTGGTCTTGAACTCAATGCTCCTCCTGTCTCAGCCTCCCAAGTGCTAGGATTACAGGCATGAGCCACCACGCCCGGCTTCTTTTTTTTTTTTGGAACAGGGTCTTACTAGGTAGTACAGGCCAGCTTTGAGCTCACTTTGTAGCCCAGGTTGGCCCAAACTCTCAACAATCATCCTGCCTCAGTCTCCTGAGTGCTGGGATTACAGGGTACAGCACTACACTTGGCTTGTTTTGTTGAGATAGGCTCTGTGTAGTACAGGTTGGCCTCAAACTCAAGATGATCCTCCTGCCTCAGCCTACTGAGTGCTGGGGTTCTAGTGTGTGCTCGACATTCTCCCTATGTGGCTATTTACATTTAAATGAATTAAAATGAAACATTTAGATTTCAGTTCCTCGGTCACAGTGGTCTCATCTCAGATGCTCCGCAACTGGGCAGGGCAGGTAGCCACCACAACAGAATGTTCTGTTGTGTGGAAACAGCCAGTAAAGAGCCAAATGTGAAGCCACCTGTCTTGCCTTGAGTTACTAAGTGATGGCAGCTTTGGGGTGAGCATGACAGGGGAACCACCCAGCTGAACTTAGCCCTCGAACTGTTTGCTACAGAGCTGGGAGCCGATACGGTGTCTGTCTAGAGCCCTTTGGGGGTGGTCTGGCACCTGAGCTCTCGTAGTTTCTCCTGGGTGGAAGTCACAGGCCTGTGAGCCTCACAGAGTTCACAGTGTCAGTCACAAGCCTGGCCCAGTGTCCCCATCCTAGGGCACACTGAGTCCTGGGACCTGCCTGTCCCTTCCATGCCCACGTCTGTGGGGAAGGACAGCCATTGATGTGGGGGCCTGAAATGCTGACTGGATGGGAGGTGGCCAGACAGATGTGGACCAAGGGTACGCAAAGGCAGGGGTTGAGCAAAGAGGGTAGCAAGAGCATGGGGAGACACATGCGCTCACTTCCTGCCACCAGGGAACTCCTGACAGCTGCTGGCAGCTTGGCAGGAGGATGCCGCTGCCCTGGTGTTCCCCACTGCCTGCCTTCCTCAGGGCCTTCCTGTCTCGACTCCAGGGCCAGAGCTCCTTGCTGGCTGGGGACTTCACATTTGCTGTTCCCACAGCCTAGAAAGACTCTAGAGCCTGCCGTACAGTCATCTATATTTACATTCAGGTCTCAGCTATAGTGTCACCTCTTTAGGGAGCCACAGTCCCCCAAATTTTGCTTTGAGTTTTTTCTGCCTTTTTTTCCCCCTGTGGTACTGGGGCTTGATCCATGCTAGACAAGTGCTGTCATGCTCAGCTACATCTCCAGCCCTTTTAGAAGTTTTATTTTATTTTGAGACAGGTGTTCACTAAAATGTCCAGCATGGTTTAGAAAGTGTAATTCTCCTGCCTCAGACTCCTCAGTAGCTGGGATTACAGTCATGTGCCACCATTTTGGCTTCATTTGCCTTCCTTTTTTTGTTTCTTTGAGGTAGGGTCATGCTATGTAGTTTGGGCTAGTCTCAAACATGGGCGATCCTCCTGCCTCGGCCTTCTGCGTACTGGGATTACACACGTGCTATGCTCTGCCTTCATTTGCCTTTCTGATCTGCTATCTATTCCTTATCTTTGGAATTCATTGTCTGACAGCTGCTGGATCTTAGAGCTCTGGGAAGGCTGAGATGGGGCAGGGCTCAGATAAAACACAAACCCTGGCTTTGACCCTCAGTACTGAGGAGAGGGAAAAAAAGCTCTAAGAAGGTCCGGTCAGAATTTGTTATCTGTGTCCCTAAGTCCCAGCACACTCAACACTGTTCCCCACGGCACAGCTCTCCTACTGATTACTGGGAAGTTGTGGGCAGAGGTTAGTAACAGGCAGCAGGTGTGGAGTGCAGGAATGGGGGGGGGGAAAGGGTCCAGGCCTGGAGCCCGGTGCTGGAGCAGAGAGGGACAGACCTGTTTTGTGCAGTTCCAGCAGGAAGCGCAGGAAGATGGGGCGGGCATACATGGGCAGCTCCTTCTCCAAGGCCCGTGCAAAGCTCTCCAAGTCACAGCTGCTGGCAGGGCTGGCCACAGCTGCCATGCCAGCCCGGCCCTCGGTTCCTGGGAGCAGGGGGCAGACCGTGAGCGGCTAGCAGTGACCTCGATGGTGCCTCCTGATACACACCTCACCCTTTCTGAATATACCTGGCACCTCGACACCATACACCGCCACGTCAGCCATGTCCAGCAGGCGGCTAAGTGTGCCTTCCACCTCGGTGGTGGACACATTCTCACCCTTCCAGCGGAATGTGTCACCTGTGCGATCCCGGAAGTATATGTAGCCCAGTTCGTCCATCACCAGCACATCGCCTAGGGAGGGGCCGGGTGAGGCTGTGCCCAGGCTGCCTGGCGCTTGGTCCAGGGGCTTGAGAGCCAGGTTGTTCTCTTGGGAGCCTGGGGCTGGGTCTGACATGGGGGCTGAGCCTGGGGGAAGCCCTGGGCAGGTCTCCTCTGAAGGTGGCAGAAGGCTCCTTCTGGGAGTCCCAGTACTGGGGACTCACCAGTGAGGTAGGCTTGGTCCCCCTTCTTGAAGACATCCTGAGCGATCTTGTTGTTGGCACCCTGGTTGAGGTAGCCGTCAAAGCGACGCAGAGGGTCTTGCTGGATGATGCGGCCCACAAGTTGGCCTGGCTGGCCTGGCAGAGAGGAAATGCAGAATCAGATTCATCCCCGGCAACCTCCCCTATGTACCCTCCCCGCTGAATGCAATTGTATCTAGATTCATACTGCTTTCCATAGAAATGCCCCATATCTAGGGGTCTGGATGTAGCTCAATGGTAGAGTTTGTACTTAGCATATGCAAGTTCAATCCCCAGTACCAAAAAGAAAAAAAGGAAAAGGGAGGAAGGTAGGTCCTATTTTCCTCCTTGCCTGGCAGCTTTCAGAGGAAAGGGGCCAGCCTGACACACCCATCCACTGAAGGCTCAGAGCCCCTGGACAGCTGCGTAAGCAGCAGCCTGGGCCCATGCCCCAGTGTGGTGCACTCAGCAAGCTTGGTGTTCTTGTGACCCTCAGATCCAGCTGGTGAGGCAAGGACTGTTACTTTCAAATGAGGGGACTTGGGCACTCAGAGGTAACTGGCTCATGGCACAGGGCTGAGGGGGCTGAGACTCTTGGGGCAATGTGAAAATGAATGGACTTGTAGATGGACAAGATAGTACATGGACAGGTAGATGGACAAAGAAGGGAATACCACGCAGGCTCATAGCAGAGCCATCTGATGGCCACTGGTCCCACCTACCCACACTGGCCAACCTCCCTCCTGGCCAAAACCTTTCCCTTGCCCCCAATTCCCACACGGGCTGACCTGGCTGGCAGGGAATGCAGACGCCATCGGGCCCCCGGATCAGTTCCATGGTGTCCTCGTTGACACGCACCAGCCGGATGGGGTACACGAAGGACAGGATGCGGCTGTTGAAGCCACAGGCCCCCACCTGCAAAGTCCAACACTTGGGCCCCAGCCCTCGCCCACATGGCCACCGGGACCCACACCGCTTTCACACTGGGACTCTTCCTGAGCCCACTGCCTCTTGTCCCCAGTCCAGGCCGTACCTGGCTGTCAAAGTTGCCCAGGCTGCAGTTGCACTCGGTGGCTCCATAGAACTCGGCCACTTGGGGGATGTGGAAGCGACTGGTGAAGTCCGTCCAGATGGACTGTCGGAGGCCGTTGCCTATCGCCATGCGCACCTGGTGCCGGGTCTCTGCTTCCCGGGGCGGCTGGTTCAGGAGGTACCGGCACAGCTCACCTATATACTGCACGATCTGGGGGTGGCGGGGTATAGGTTTGGGTGAGTCTGGGTTCACAGGGGAACCCTGCTTCACCTCCCCAACCCTCAAGGCTCTGCACACCACAGGGGCGGGCTGTGACTCCTTCCCTCCCTGAGCCTTGGTTGCCCCAGCTGGACAGCAGCTGGCTATACTCTGGACTGTTTCAGCTCCTAACAGATGCCCCGAGTCTGTGCCCCGGCGAGAAGAGCTGCTCAGCCCGGCTCCTTACTCACAGTACAGTTGTACTTGATACAGTCGTCCCAGAACCGGGAGGCTGAGAACTTTTTCCGGATCACCACCGTCATGCCATGGAGCAGGCACTGCCCCATGCCCACAATGTTTCCTGTAGGCAGAAGGGGCCTGGAGGTCAAGGTGCCAGAGACCACCCCCAGGGCCTGCACTGGCCCAGGCCAACCTCTTCACAGGCCCCTTACCCTGGTACCTTCGCCAGTCGAGGCCTTCACAAACTAATCACTTCTCTCCCTAATCAGTACCTTGGGATCAAGTGCATCCTCCTTATACTGCTGAGCCGCCCCATACCTGTGAACTGCTGTTTAGCTGGGCAGGACTAAGCTACCCTGCCTGGCTTCTGTGCCTCCACTTCCTCCTCCAGGAAGTCCTCCAGGTAGCCCCTTCCTACCCACTCATCCAGCCCTCTCTCTTCTTAGTGTGGCTACATACACGTGCACACACACACTGTCTTCCCTTACGATGTACAGTCAGCAGCAATGCTCCATGAGTGTGAGGGAACACAGATGTCACCCCACACTGAGGCAGCAATGGTTGCCCTCATGGACCAGAGGACAGGGGGAGCCATAGCCCTGCCGGGACAGAACCCAGATTGGTGTGCACTCACTGGCTAACATGGGGCCTCCCTAAGGACAGGACGTGTATAGGGGAGAGGGGCAGGCCAGGGCTACCTGCAGAGTGGTAGAGGGGGAGGCAGTCATAGACAATGTCGTCGGGCCGCATGCGGAATCCGTAGTACACTAGGGCAGCCATGCGGTAGTATCTGGGAGGGCATAGTGCAGAGGGCTTGGTTGGCCCATGGAATGGAGGGGGCCCCCATACACCCCGGTTCCTGCCCCTTACCTGCTGTGCACCACAATGGCAGCTTTGGGAAGCCCTGTGGTGCCCGACGTGTAGATGTAGAAGAGCTTATCTGAAGAGAACACACATGGGCGGCCATGAGGGGGCACAGCGCACGCACCTGTGCTCCCCACACCTCCTCCAGGAAGCCGCCTGGGATGGCCTCCGCTTTAACACCTGCACCCACTCCTTCCACACACTCTTCCTGGGCCTCGCTCTGGGCCAGGCCAGCCCTCTTGGAGGTCCTCGATGGGTGGGACAGATGAGGACACAGGTGAATCATATACTGCGGTGCTGGGGAGGGGGAGGGCAGAAGCACAGGCGCTGGCAAAGCCCAACAGCACCACCTGGCCCGAGTCTGTGGGCGTGCAGATGGCGGCAGGTGGGCTTCCGCAGTTGGGGGTAGTGAGGAGGCCTCCACACCACTGGCCATCTGCTTAGCCCATCCTGCAGCTCTGAACAGGGACCGTTGAATCACAGCTCCTGGGAATAACTCTGTACCTTTATTGTTGGCTTTTTTTTTTTTTTTTGAAATAGGATTGCAGTACATAGCCTAGGCTGACCTTGGACTCTTGGCAATCATCCTGCCTCAGCTTTCCAAGTGCTGGGATAACAGACATGTGCCACCAGGCCCTGCTGAACTCTGTACATTTATGGCAACCGTGTCAGGATGTCTGCTTCGTGCTACCTCTAAATAGTGGCACGGGGGCACCAAAGGCTGTAAATCTGCTACAGGCCCTGCCCTCAGGCAGCTTACAGAAATATCTAGGAGACAAGACAAGAGAGGCTAGCCAAGGATGATGACAAGAGCAGGGCCACACATGCAGTGGTCTCAGGTACTGTCCCCAACTGTATGGCTGTGGGACACAGGCTGAGAAGGCAGGGCAAATGGCCATAGTCACCTGGGAGACAGATCGCCAGGATAAGGAATCGGATCTGCCTGACCAGCATGAGCTCTGTCACCATGGAATACAGCAGGCTTAGTGTCTGGCAGGACTGAGGCGAACTGCATGGCAGGGCAGGCAGGCTGCAGCCAGGAGGAGGTGAGCACTCTAGGAGCCTCCAGAGGAGTTACCTGGCCACAGCCCATGCAGGAAGGACAGAGCCAGGGTGGAGCCTGCACTGGCCAAGGGCTTTGCTGGGATTTCCCAGGTCTTGTCCCTCGCCACCTCTCTACCTCAGATGTGGTGAAACAGGTTCTCGGGTACACATGACCCCTACTAAAGGCTGCCCCGCACTCAAAGAATAGATTTTGTGAGCTCATCTTGGCATCTGTGTCATCTTTTCACCTTCACAGCGTCCAGAGTGTCAGTGCCCTGCTCCTTGGAAAAGGGGAGGTGGTGTAGCCTGTGTTAGCCACGCCTTCTGGCCCCAAGACACTGAGTACTCTGCCCTCAACCCAGCCTAGAAGCCCTACCTGTGAAGCCTTTGTCCGGGTGGCAGGGCAGGTGCTTGGGGGCCTTGTCCAGCAGAGGGTCCAGGTGCTCTGTGCTGGTGGGTACTGAGCTGGGCTCCCAGGGACCTGAGCACAGGAGGCTGAGCGAGGGGTCCAGGCTGGTATGGATCTCACAGATAGCTATGGGGGAGACAGACAGGTCAGCAGGTGGGTCACTGCTCATGCCAGAGTGAGAAGCCCCTTCCCTGTGGATGGGGCCTGAGCCTGACATGCAGCTGTCTGCAGGCCTAGGGATAAAGTACCAACAACGGCTGATCTGACAGCTTAAGAAACAACCCAGGGCTCTCAGAGTGAGGAGGCGGCTCTGTCTTACACCAAGGGCTGAACTCTTCCCACCAGGATAGACTTTGTGGGTGACTGGCTACAGGGCAGGTGTGGAGGTCAGAGGCCTGATGGCCCTGTTCAGAGAGGGAACTTTCCCAGCTGCCCACCCACGCTGGCCATGGGGCCACACTGTCTCTCTGTCCTGCTTCCTCTTCTTTTTATTTTTGGCAGTGATGAGCCTTACACATAGTAGACAAGCGCTCTACACTGGCTGGCTTCCCCTTGACTCACCCAGCCCTCTCCCCTCTCGCTAGCGCATCCTCTTCCTCTTGAGCATCTTAATCACTCCACACCTCCCAAATCCATTATACTGTGACCTCAGCAGTGTGGGGGCAGAGACCAGAACACTGTGGTCAAGACCAAGATCAAACCCCAGTCCTGCTGCCACAGCCACATGACCATGTGTGAGCCCTCTCCTTGCTCTGAGCCCAGCTCATCGCCCATAAAGCCAAGATGACAACCTTAGCCTCTCTGGTCTTTATGACGATCAGAGCTGCTTCTGTAAAGCACCAAGCTCAGCATTCAAGGTGCCTGATGCGGAGCAGCAAATAAAACACAAGCTCTGTACCATACCGAGCATATAGAAGCGAGTTTCTGATCCTGCAGCAGACACAGCTGCAGCTTCCTGGGGCCCAGCTAGCACCTGCTGCTTTGCTCCTACTCTGGAGCAAGCACCTTCCTGAGATCATTGGGAGGCAAGTACTACCAGAGAGGAAACTAAGGCTCAGAGACTGCTGCTCACTCAGGACCTTGCTTCCCTGGCAGGGCTCAGGATGTCTGACTTCAAGGCCTGTGCCCTTAACTACGGCTCCATGCAGCCTTCCTGTGGTCTGTGTAAAAGCCCATGGAACCTGACTGCTCCCTACTCCCCAGAGCTCACCTGGGGCCAGCTCGATGCCAAAGACAAGGGCCCGTGCCTTTGAGGTGGTGAGGCAGTGGCGCAGGGCGTCACGCCGGAGGTTGGTGTTGATGAGCGCCGCTTCTACACCCAGCTTGGCCATGCCCAGCCAGAGCCCCACGAACTCATTGCGGTTCTCCATGAACAGGGCAACCACATCGCCCGAGGCGAGGCCCTGGGCCTGCAAGAAGTTGGCAACGCTGCTTGAGTAGTCATCCAGCTGGCGGAAGGTCCAGTGGGTGTCTGTACCCTCGAAGATTAGGGCCGTCTTGTCAGGGTGGCGCTGCACCGTAGAGGCAAACAACAGGGGGACTGTCCTCCGCTCCCGAAGGTACCGTCGAACCTTTGCCTTCACCTTCAGAAGCACCAGGCCGCCGCTGAGTGGGAGTGGGCAAGGGAGCTGTGATTGCCAGGGTGGGGAGGGATGGGTCCCGAGACCCCAGCCCAGCAACTGCTCTGCTGGCCTGGGCCTCACTGCCAGCTCCTCTTGGGAGCTTGGCATGGTAACACCCACACTCTCACCCTGGTCTTATAATAACACCAGGATTGTGCCATTATTCTCTCCTTTGACAGAGAAGAAGGAAACTGAGGCTCACATGGCACCATGATTTGCCCAGGGCTTCTCCCCAGGCCTCTCTGGTGTAGAGTTCAATTCCACCTCTCTAAGCCTATTGTCCTGCCAGAAGCCTTCCAAACCCAAGTGCTACCTCCAGGTCCCCAGTCCCCATCACTAGAGGTCAAGGAAGGACAAGTCTTTCTCCCTGGAGCCCAGCTGGGGTGTGGCTCTGCCTGGTCCAGCACCTTGTGTCCCAGGTCTGCTGCGTGTCAGACACAGGGCAATGTTCATGCATGCTGTGGAATCACCTGGCAATGCCTCCTTCCTGCCCCACCCCTGCTATCCTCCAGCCCCCTGGACTCTGTGAGCTCGCCAGCCTCTGTGCCTTTGCTGATACCGCTTTCTGGCTGGATGTCTGCCTTCCACAGCTCCAAGGCACCTCTCAAGTACAACTCTTTCCTCCAGGAGGCCTCTAACTTTAGACTGTCTCTTCCAGCTCTGTGTCACACCAGCTCCTTGCCCTCAGGCTGTAAGTCCCCATCCAGTCCTGTGGCTACCACCCTTCCCGCAGGGCCACTTGATACCGCCTCCTTTTGTAATCAGCCCAGATTGACAAAAGCTGAGCTGCTTATTTTGGGTATGCTTATAGTGCTGGGCCCTGGAGCCAGCCTGTAGGGCTATACACCTACGCGTAGTTACACTATTGGAACTTCTGGCCAATTTGAGCTCAGCAGACAGGGTTTTCACTGCTCGTGTCTGGCCTCCAAGCCACCTTAGCACCTGGTGTGGAGCAGTTGAGAGCAGGTCTTTCAAGATTTCTAACTTAGGGCCCCGCTCTAGAATTCCGAGCTCCTTGTGACAACCTAAGGTCAGGTTCCTCTTTACTCTGTCATAAACTAAAGGGTACTCTCAAGTCCCCTTTGGGAGTATCCTCAGAAATCCTGGTGTTTGATATGGGTCCCAGGTCTCCAAGCCAGCCTGAGCCCATGGAGCCTCAAGTTAGGGAGAATTGCTGCGAGAGGCCTTTGACTTTGGAAAAGGTACGAAGCACAGCTGTCAGGGCAGGGGGTGGAGCAGAAGCAGCTCCTAGGGGTCCAGATATCCTCTGCTGGTGGGGACCATGGGTTTGGTCTGGGTACTTTCTAGAGCTCAGGAGCATAGGGTAGTTAAGAGCCTCCAGGAAGGGCTGGACCAGATACTCACAAGATGTCTCGCCTGATGGTCTTGATGAAGATCCGGACAAAACGCCAGCCACCAGACCCCAAGTAAAGGAGCAGCAAGGAGAATCCCACCTGAGTCCAGGGCAGTTTCAGCACCAGCTTGGAGAATAGCAGCACCCCCACTAGAGATGCTCCCAGCAGCATTGTGACCTGCAGGCACAAGGTGGTTGAGGAACCCAAGTGTCTGTGTCCCACAGCAGCCACTCCACTACGATCCCAAAAGGTCAACTATGGTGAAGTGAGAGTTCTGGGGGTGAAAAGCAGCAGACGGTTCTTTAGTGCTGCCTCTACTATTCTCCAAGTGACCCTGGGCACCCCAACCCTAACCCATCTCAGATCTCAGTCTCCCATCCTCTGTAAAGGATCTATGAGACTCCTCAGAGCCTAGACCCCAAACAGGGCAGATCACTGCCCTACCCCCCAAGTTCTTAACCAAAACAGCTGAGGTAGTTACTGACTTAAGGGCCTTTGGCTTGACTTCCTACTCCTGGAGGTTCCAGGGATGACCAGAAAGCTGTAACAACCAAAGGTGCAGCTATTCAGGAAGGCAGTCCTGCAGGTTCACTGCCCACCCACTCAAGCAGCCTCCTGCCTTTACTGGTCGATAGAGGGCGACCCAGTAAGTCAGTTAGAGCTGGGAGTTGCTAGGAGGTGACTGCCCAGGGCAGGGGAAAGGTGATAGAGAGGAAGAGGGTCCAGAAAAACTCCTACCCCAGAGTGAACCCACACACGCACAGAGCACACTAATCTCTGGGGACTAGGGCTTAGGACAGGGGAATGGCTGTGCCGCAAGGGCTCGTCTCAGGTTAAAACTCTGCGGTTCTAGTCCTGGCTCTTTGTGGACTTGCTGGGGGGACAGCAGCTGGCTGACCGGGTTCAGTTTCATAGGGTTTTCCTATTCTTGGGAGAGCTGAAGGTCAAGTCTGTGAAGTAGCCCGGGAGGCTCCAAAGAAGGATGGGAGATTGGCCCACAGGGAGCCCATACCGATCTGCTGCAGAAATCGGGAGGCTGGGGAACCCGAATAAACTAGCGTCCCAAGCCCAACGCCAGGATAACCAAGGTTCTCAGACCTCTGGCCGCCCACGGCGCACCTGAGAACAGCGGCCAGACCCGGCCGGGAAGGCCAGAAGGGGCGAGGACAGCGAGGGCGCCTACTCCCTCGGCCCGAGGACAGACCTCACGCCAAAACAGCTAGGACAGGGAAGTGCCCGTCAGGGCGCGCTCCTCGCGTCAGCCTGGCCCGGCCCGGCCCGGCCGCTTCCCGAACCTACCTCCGCCCGCGCCTCTGCTCACCCGGCGGCGTGGGCCCCGCGGTGCGGCGCCTCGTCCCAGCGCAGCTCGGATGCGGCAGCGGAGCGAGGAGCGCGGAGGGCATCGGCCGCCCTGGCGCGCAGAGCCGAGACTCGGCGGCTCCGCGCCCGACAGGACCCGCCTGCCACCGCCGCGCCCCTCCCCCGCCCGGCCCCCGCCGCCGAACGGGCTGGGCCGGCCCGTAGGACCGCCTCTCGCACGGTCACGGCGGCCAGGAGCCTCCGATCCCGCGGCGCAGTCCAGCCCCGCGCGACCCACGCTGCCCGCCCCTTCAGCGCCGCGCACGCCACGCCCCGCGGCACCGCGCGGCACGCCGGGAGTTGTAGTCCGCGCTGCGGGCTTGCCCTGTGTAGGACCCGCAGGCTGCACCCGGCCGCTGGCTCCACTGTCCCTGCGCATCCCGATGGGGTTGGGGGACGGTAGCCAAGAGACTGGAGCTCTGCGCAGAGGCCCGGGCAGAACAGAAGGTAGTGAAGGACAAGCGACACACGTGGAGGAGCATTGAAGAGGCTGTTTCAGGTAGAGGCGAGCCGAGAGCTCCCAAGATTTTTAGCCGAGCTCTTGGAGTGAGCATTTAAAGCTTGTAGGTTCCAGTCCCACCAGAGTCGAGTTTTCACAGCTCCTCCTTTTCACTTGACTATTGTACAATCTCCAAGCAAAGTACCTTTATAAAGTTTGGAAGACTGAGGCAGGAGGGTCACAAGTTTGATGCCAACCTGGGCAATATGGGTAGACCCTGTCTCAAAAACAAAGGGAGCTGGGCTGGGGATTTAGCTCAGTGGCATAAGTGCCTCCCTGGCAAGCATGAGGTTGTGAGTTCGGTCCCCAGTACCAAAAATAAAAACAAAAGTAACATCAAGGGGGCTGATACAGCTCAGCTGTAAAGCATTTGACCAGTATTCACTCAGGCCAATCTCTTGTACTGAGAAATTTTAAAAAAGGAATCCTTTCTCATCCATGAGAATTAGTCAATCTCTCAGCACAACTCTAAGATACCAGTTGCCAGTTCATTTGCAAACCTAGGCCCTTACTCTCTACAAACCACTGGTCAGCTGGCTTCCCTGCCCTGTGGGGTTCATGGCCTCTGAAAACCTGGTTCCTTGATAACCCAGCCAGTTGGGCATCCACAGTTGTCACTTGTCCTTAAATAGATTCTCTTAATTCCTTTGTCCAGCAGAAGTCTTTAAAAGGGAAAAGGGCAGTTTTCAGGGTCTATTTATAAAGATTGAAAGTGACTTTCTTTTTTTGGTACTAAGGATCGAACTCAGGACCTCATGCTTGCCAGGCAGGCTTCTTTTGTGCTTTGAGACAGTCTCAGTGTGTTGATTAGGCTGGACTTTGCTGTGTGGCGCAGGCTGGCCTAAAATTTGGTTTCTTCCTTGCTTCAGCCTTCTGAGTGCCTAGAGGTTTATGAAGAACAGATCTGCTTGAAGATAAAATTTTGGTCTGATAAATACTTGGGCTTATTTCTTCTGGAGCTTTTGAGGATCTTGGTAAAATTTACCATTTTTTTTAAATTTTTTTTTTTTTTTTGGTCTTTTTCCTTTTTATCGGTACCGAGGATTGAACTCACGACTGCCTGCTTGCAAGGCAGGTGTTTATGCTGCTGAGCTAAATCCCCAGCCCCTTAAATTTGTTTTTTGAGACAAGGTCTCACTATGTAGTTCAGGCTAGTCTTAAACTCATAGTAATTCTGCCTCAGCCTCCCAAGTGCTGGGATTCTAGGCTTGTGCTACTATGCCTGGCTTCCATTTCTTTTTATATATTAAAAGGCTGCAGATGTAGCTCAGTGGTAGAATTGTTTCCTACCCCACACAAGACCTTGGGTTCAATCTCCAGGACTAGAGAAAGAGAGAAAGTTGTAATAGTGCCTGCCTCACAGAGTAGTATGAAGATTCATGGAGAGTGTTTGAAATAGCACATGACATATTTATTTGATTTGTGGTAATGGGGTTGAACCCAGAGGGAACTGAGTTTTTTGAGACAGTGCCTAAATTGCTCAGGCTGGCCTTGAAGTTGTTATCCTCCTGCCTCACCCTCCCAAGTAGCTGGGACTCCAGGTGTGCCCAGTTCTTACTGTATTTGTTAGTGTAGCTTAGAGGCTTATGTGCCCAGGCTCTGACCACAGAACACATACAAGATGAAAAATTTAGGCACAGATTATTTCCCATTGTGCTCCTGTTATCAGGTAACAGAAGCTCAAAAAATCCTGAATGAATGAAAGGGGCTAATGAATAAAACAATTGGAAACTTAGACCTTGTCAACACCAGAATTTATGGACATAAAAATGTTTATTCCCAAACCAACTGTTAAGACCATTTTGCAAATGGGGCAGGTGAGATCTGGGGAGGGCAGGTTGATAACCAACCGTCTGCTGTCCCCCACCGATTTGTCACAGTGGCGGGCCAGGCCTGGGGTGGGAAGCAAGGGGACGTGGCAAGAACAAGGCAGTCTGCCGTCTAGCTGCTCAGTGCAGCTGGACAGAAAGTGGACATTAGTCCAGGTGGCCTCTTAGCGAGCACTCACTGTACACTGTCCAAATACCTGGCTGTACACTAGGTCATGATGGTTTCACTGTCTTTTTTGCATTCCAGTCAGGCACAGCTGGGATGTACTCCAGCTGGGGTGTACTTCTGGGTCCAGCTGTGATATTTGAGCAAATGGCTGTCCCCACGGAGCCTCAGTGTTCTTACCTGTCAAATGGAACTACTGTGTTCAAGGAAGTATCTATTTTCTGGCTTAGGACCTCACACACCAGATTAAGATCTAGGTACAAAGAGTTTTTTCTGTTTTTGTAACTGGTAAGCATTCAAGATGACACATCTCAAGCTCTCAGCCGCAGGCCAACAATGAAAGGCCTTCAGTTGACCTCTCCCAGGGCTGGAGCAGAGCTATCTCCCTCACCTCCAGGGCCCAGCCTCTGCATTCAGCACACACCCCAAAGTGGTCTGTGATGGCTGGTGGGCTTGGGCATTGGACAAATCATGGGGAGGATGCACTGGGAAGAGGGAGTGGAAAGGCCATGTGTGTTAGGCTGAGGGGTTTATCCCAAGGGCAGTGAAGAGCCATTGAGAGGCTTTGTTTTTTTTTTTTTCTTTTTGAGACAGAGTCTCCCCATGTAGTTCAGGAGGCTGGGCATTCAACTATGTAGCCCAGGTTGGCCTCAAACTCAGTGATCCTCCTGCCTCAGCCTCAAGTGCTGGGATTACAGGCATGTGCCACCATGCCTGGCCCACTGAGTTTTGAGAAGAACAGGGACTTGACTGTCATTTGTGAGAGGGCCTAGCTTAGACTGACCTCTCAGTGGGCTCCTTTCCACTGACTTGGCCCCTGTTGCATGGCACTAGGCAACCAGCATTGGTGCTGGACTTCGGGAACAGAGACTCATATGGTGGCTGTCACTGAGGCTCTCTGAGTTTCTGGGGTACTTTGATGTTTAGCCCATTGTGTTCTGTTCTACTTGGCCTGAGAGCACCAGGCTATAGAAATCCTCCCAAATTCTGTGATGGCCCAAGGTCATCTGGGCACCAACTGGCTGGAACAGGGGAGGGATCCAGGTGGGCAGAGGCCACCCAAGAGTCTGACCATGCCCCACCTTTTACTGAGGGCAGGAGCCTAGGTGCTGGGAAATCTTGGCAACAGCTGGCAGGTCTGCAGAGGTGGTCTAAGCTGTGAAATTCTTGGAGCTCAGGGTTCTCAGCCTCTGGCTTTCTGAGCTCTCCCTCTGCCACTGGGATCCCTGGATTCCATGTGGTGGACACAGGGAAGGTTAGGACCTGGAACCTTTATAATGTCCTACTTACTCAACCCTTTTTATTATTTTTGAGACAGGGTCTTGCTAAGTTGTCTTGAAGTTGCAATCCTCCTTCCTCAGCCTGGTATTACAGGACTGCACCATCATCCTGGCACTAACTAAACTGGCCATTATTATAGATAGGGAAACTGAGGCACAGAAAACCACCCTAAGGCTGGTAGCCACAGTTCTATTTACCCAAGACAATTCTTCCGGGCCTTAATTGATCTGGCCACTCAATGAGTGTGAAGAACCCAAAAGGCTCTGCTATTGCAGGGGTTTTTACTCCTAAATCCACAGACAGGGTCAATCTACTCTCTCAAGGACACTGTACATGCCACCTGTCCCCACACCTTGACCTGACTCAGTGAATGTCCCTGTCACTGTTTGCCACTCCGAAATAAACTGCAGCCTTGCAGCATCCTCCTGTGTCCATAAACACAAAAGGAGTACAACTCTTTGGGCTTGCTCTCCAGTTCATATGCTTCACCTCAGGAAACCCCACAGCAACTGGAAGAGGCAGGCACTGCTGATCTTCCCTGAGGTGATGATGGAACTGCGCTCAGGAGGAAAAGGATTTGCCCTCAGTTCTCTGCTAGAAAGTAGAGGAGGAAGGTAACTGAATCCTGCTCTGGCTAACTTTAGGACAGAGAGAAGACAAGCAGCTGCTCAGATGGGGAGAGAATTTCTGCCCTCCATAGCCATGCACAGTGGACGCTGGACCTGAAGGGAGCCTTTATTCAGACAGCGCTCACCTCCCCTCTCAGGAACTGGGTCTGGCTCTCACTTCTGTGAGGACCCCAGCCTGATCCCTGGGAACCCTTGGCTGCAGGGAGCATCCCGAACAGGGTCCATGAGCCTGGGACAGTCCAGGCTGCTCCTAGACTGCCATTCCTTGTGCACGCACGCCTCTCTGAGGAGTCTTGGCTCCTGGGCAGGGTGCCTGCTGCCGTGCCTTCGTCCTCCTGCTTTGGCTCTCAAAGCCCAGGACAGCAGTTATAATTATGATAAACGGTGTCCAAAGGTCAGTGTTCCAAGAGAAGAGTAAAGGTACTGCCAAAGTACCCTCTGCCCTTAGGGAGGCAGGCCAGGTCCGTTAGCACAGCGTCCCAGGCTAGGCCAGGCCCTGCATGCATGGAGGGACCGCTGTGATGCCCAGCTCCTTCCTCAGGGCTGCCAGGGGCTGCTCCCAGCGCCGCTCATAGTACAGATTGAGGACACATGGGGCCCTGTGCCCATTGTGAACCGCCCATGGGATCAGCTCCGAGACTAGGACGTGCAATTTCCTGTGGGGTGGCAGACAGAAGAGACGACATCAGGTCCCTGAGGGCCAGCCTACATAGACTTAGCACTCAGTTCCAAGCAGGACTGAAAGAGGGCTCTGTAATTCCAGAAACTAAAACACCCCTGCACCCCAGTGACTCCTGTCACTCTGACCCAGCCTTGAGTTCCAAGAGACACTGGGACCCAAGCTTTGTTCACTGCCCCAGGCCATTTCCCTTTTGGACTCTGTCTTCCTACCCTTGCTTCCTAGACAGCCATGGAGCTTGCAGGTATTTGTGTTCCCTCCCCATTTCCTGGAGTCCTGCCCCGAGTTTGCTCCCACACCACCCCCAGTCCGTGGCACCACTGGAAAACTCACCGAGCACTGAGGCGGACAGGTCCAAACAGCGCACCCAGCACACACATGGGCAGGCCCGTCTGCACAGCTTCAAACCATTTTACCACGATCTCCCCTGGGGGTGAGTGGGTAGGAAGTGAGTGGGTGCCTACAGTAGGTACAGCGGTGCGTGGCCTCCCCGACTTCTCCCTATCACAGACTGCGCTGCCCTGGGGACATTTGACTTGGGCTGGAGAGCGCCTGGGAGTAAGCAGGGGATAAAGGTTGGAAGGGGAGCAGAGACTCAGAATGCAGAGGACCTCGAAAGTGCGGCTGAGGACGCTAGGAAGGGAGCATTAGGGAGGTGTTGAGGGTCCTAAGCCAGAAGGGAGCCTGGGCGTCTGCATGCTGCGACATAAGTGTAGGTGGCACAAAGGGTACTAGGGCAAACAAGGGGATGAGGTTCATGTCAAGTAGCAGATACCGAGCCAGCAGATAGGTGCGTGGTAGAGGTGGGTGGGCCTGGCCCTGGCCTGCAGAAACCTGAAAGGACAGTTGGTTAGAGCGCCCTGCACCAAGCACTCACCCAGGATGTTGGTGGGCATCCCCAGCAGGGTGTGGAGCATGTCATGGACCTCCCGGTACCGCTGGATCACGTATGCCAGTTCCTCATCATCCACAAAGCGGGTGGGTACTCGGGTGTCTGGAGACACCCTCTGCCAAGCAAGAGCCTCACTTATAACCCTTCCTGGAAGTTCACAGGGTCCCATCTGCCAGCCTTCTTCATGTGTAATCACGCCCCTCAGATTCACGCCATACTAGAAGACTCTGGCACTTTCTACCCACAGTGGCCACACAGTGGTCACACAGGAGGCCTTAGGTGGGGAATGCACCCACCCTGACTCCTGGGTAATGGCTGTGGCCACCGATCCACACTTGGCAGGGTGGGTGTGATGCGGAGCTGTGAGAGGACACAGTTTTCCTGTTGTAAGATGGAGATTAGTTTGCAAGCAAATGAGTGTATGAGTGTACTTAATGCTACTGTACATACTTAAAAATGGTTAAGGTGGGGCTGGGGATGTAGGTAGCTCAGTAGTAAAAATACCTGTCTAACATGTATAAGACTTCGGATCACCAGCAAAGTGCACGCGCGCGCGCACACACACACACACACACACACACACGCACGCACTCTGTTTCTAAATAAAACGCAGCCATGCATGGTGACACGTCTGTAACCTTAGCTTGGGAGGCTGAGGCACAAGGACTCCCTTGCGTTTGAAGCCAGCCTGGGCTACCCACTGAGACCCTGTCTCAAAAAAATAAAAAACACTGGGGATATAGCACTTGCCTAGCATGTAAAAGCCCTAGGTTGATTTTCCAGCAGTGCATAAATAAATCAATAATACTATTAGAAAGCTTCACAGGACATATATGATGAGTTTTTGTTTGTTTTGGCTTTTGAAACAGGGTGTTGCTAGCTGGTTCAGGCTGGCCCTGGACTCATTACAGAGTCCAGGCTGGGTCCAAACTCACAGTGATCCTTCTGCCTCAGCCTTCTGAAGGCTGGGATTACAGGCAGGTGCTATCATGTCCAGCCTGAGTTCCATTTCTGTGGACAGTGTCCTGTGTGAGGGCAGCTGTTGTGCTCCCTGCTGTACCTCTGGTGCTGATCCAGGGCCTGGAGGACTGAATAAGGGGAGAAGGGTCAGGCCCCCACCCTTCCCTGAGCCCAGGGTAGGAGGTTGAGCAGGTCCTCCTTCACCTGTCCCCTGAGTCCTCAGCAGTACCCAGGGTGCGAGGAGCCCGTTCTGCCTGTCAGCAGCCAAGGTGTCTGAGGTCTTAATGGCACTGAGGCTACAGTCTCTTCTGTTGAGTCCCCACTCGTGCAGCCCCTGTGCTGTGTCTTTAACAGTCTAGGGAGTAGATTCTGTTTACCTTAGCTCAGAGACATACCGTAACTTGCCCCAGATCACACAACTATGCAAAGTGGCTGAGTTGGGACCAGAAACAAGTCTGCTGGATTCCAAAGCCTGCCACCCTGCCATCCCTTCCCTTACCGGTACAGTGAGGGTGCCCTAAGACGAAGGCTAGGTCCCCTCACTTCAGATTGGCCAGGGTTGTAAAACCAGTGACAGGCAAGAGTCAGTCTCTTATCTTGATGTCCCTGATGACCACACTCCTCAGCAGGCCAGCCGCAGGGCAGGTGTCCTTATCCTGAATCTCTGCTCGGTCAAAGGTGCTTACCCATTCTGTGGGCTGCTGTGTCCTTTGTCCCACAAGTGCCACCTCTCTGGGCAATCAGCCTCACTGGGGTGGTTGCTGGGCGAGGAGCCCAGGATGGTCCTGGCAGCTCCCGCCTACTGCCCTCCTCACCACAGCAACATGACTGAAGGCTGTGGGTTTAGCAGCACCTCCCTGGGGGGCACTAGAGGGCGGCTGCCCTGGTAGGGTTCCCGTAGATGAAATCTGCACCCTGGAGAAATCTGAGGGAGATGGCGCCAACCAGGGCAGGTGAGTGCCCTGCCAAGGAGGGGTGCAAAGTGGGGTGTGGTCTTGGGCACAGTGCCCTTCTACAGCACTGCTTTGCCACAGTTCATCAAGGGATGTCTACAGTGTCTGGAGACACTGGGTGTCACCACGGGGGAGACGTGAATTCTAAGGCATCCATGGAGTGGGTAGAGGCTGGGGAGGCTGCTAAATGTCCTGCAAAGCACACGACAGCCCCTGACACAAAGCATTACCCAGCCCAGTGTAATCTTTCGTCAGCCCTCCCCGTCTTCCCCCTGGCTTGCTTCTGAGCTAAGTGGGACAGTGCTTGGCACTGGGCTTGGTGGCTGGAGGGAGGGAGTTGGGACCATGCAGGTAAAGGTAGACCAGCTCTATCTTTCGTTTTTGGTGCTGTGGCTGGAAGCCAGTGCCCTATGCACGCTAGGTGAGTGTTCTAGTGCTGAGCTACATTCCCAGCCCCTCCTCGGGCTCGCTCCCAAACCAGGAAATGTTACTACTGTGCACCAAACCTCCCAGCGTATCTAACAGTGAGATACAGACTCTTTCCTGATATCCCCCTCACCTCTCTGCTCTATTTTCTTTTTCGTGTTGGTCCTGGAGATTGAATCCATGCACACATTGCACCATTGAGTTGTACACCCCAGAGTTGCACAATTTTCTTTTTTTTAGGGGGAAAGGACATAAGGACCACAAAACAGGCTTTTTACTGGCTTTGTTTGCTGTATCCTCATTGCTAAGAACAGAGCTGGGGTACTTGGCTTCTGCATACTTAATACTTTACCTGAATTTTATGTGATTTTTAAAAACTACTGTTATTTGCCTCTGCAACTAGAATACAAGTTCCATGGGGGTAGGACCTCACCTGCTATACCCCCAGCCTGTGGAACCATGGATAGCACAAGGTAGATATTGGCTGAATAAGTGAACTGTTATCTGTATCTCAAAACCCTTCAACTCCCCTATACCTCCACCCTGCCACCATCCTTGCCTGGGGCTAGAGAGAGTGCCAAACCTGTCACACCAGCAAGGCAGCAATGTCCCAGGAGCAGGGTGATATAATTCAGCAGTTCAAAGCACTAGTTGGTGTTGAAAACAGTCCCTGGTAATACTAGCTGTGGGCACTTAGCAAGTTACTTAACTACTCAGAGTCTCTGTTTCTTTGGGGGTTTTTTTGGTACTGGGGATTAAACACATGGCCTCACACTTGCCAGGCAGGTGCTTGTTCTGCTGAGCTAAATCTCCAGCCCTTGTTTTGTCTTTTTGAGACAGGGCCTTGCTATGCAGTTAGGGCTGGTCTTGAGTTCACTTTGTAACCCAGGCTGGTCTTAAACTCGCAATGATCATCCTGCCTCAGCCTCCTGAATGCTGTGGTTACAGGCATGTGCCACCACACCTGGCCTGAGCCTGTTTCTTTCTCTATTAAAAGAGGATACCAGGACATACATGACAGGGCTGCTGGGAGGATTCGGTGAGCGCAACTGCGCCTGGCATCTGGCATGTGACATGAGATTAATACAGTGGCCAGTGCTATGCTTTCGAGCCATGTTCTGGGCCCTTTGGCCTGTGCCACAGAAAGTGACCAAGCCACTTGGCAGAGGGCTCTGATGGGGGAGTGTGTGTATGAGGGGAGTTTGGGCTAGAGACAGGTAATGTGGCATGAGACCAGACACCCTTGTGCCCACGGTAGGAGTGCCTGGCTCCTCTGGCTCTGGACTGTCACTCCTGTGCCATTCTCGGCCTGCCCTGGTGACTGCCAGGTGCACACAAGTTGAAAACTCACATTGACATCCAGGAAGCGGAGATACTCGCGGCCAAACGAGCCTTCAGGCAGGCTCCGGAGCTTGTCCATGTCAAGGGTGGCCAGTGAGATCCGGGGACGCTCCCTGAAAGGCAGAAGGCAGGACTTGGGTACCAGGGTGGAGCCAGCAAGGAGCTAAAAGGTTCAGTTAGAGCAAGCCTGGGGTGGCGGTCTGGGCACAGGTACTAATGGCACCTTTGTGGGCCAGGGCAGTGTCAGGACTGTGACTACCATAAGCCAAGGACACAGGAAGACCTTCGATGTGCTCAGAGCACTCACAAAAGGGACCACAGGGAAGAGTTACAGCTAGTGTCATCACGGGACTTTTTTTTTTTTGTACTGGGGATTAAACACGTGACCTCACACTTGCCACACAAGTGCTTATGCCACTGAGCTAAATACCCAGTCATCACAGGAGCTTAATGAAGACACAAAGCCCTGAGGCTGGCGCTGGGCTGAGTCACAGCTCTGTACAGAGGTCATGATGGTGCACATACATGCATAATGCCCAGTCTCTATGGGCAGGGTATCAAGAGTTCTCTAGCAGGATGTGGTGGGGCAAAGCCTGTGATCCTACCTACTCAAGAGGCTGCGGCAGGAGGATCACAAACTTGAGGCAGCTTGGGCAACTTTTTCATTTTTTGAGTCTGTTTTGGAGACAGGCTGTCACTGTAGAGTCCAGGCTGGCCTCAAACTTGCTGCGATCCTCCTGCCTTCTCCTACCCATGCTGGGAATTACAAGTGTGTGCCACCACACCCAGAGCTTGGGCAATTTAATGAGACCTTGTCTCAAAAAATAAAAAGGGCTGGGATATAACTCAATGGTAGAGCATTTCAGAGTTTTAACTCCAGTGTAGCACAATTAGAAAAATAAACAAAAACCACTAGGCTTATTTTGCAAACAAACTTTTTTTTTTTTTTTTTTAATTACCTTTGGCAAAACACAGGGTGACTGTGGAATGAAAATTTTCTGATGAAAAAAAAAAAAAAACAACCCAAAAAGAGTTTCTTTAGAGAAATGAGACTGATGCAGTATGACTAGAGAGGTCAGTGTTCCTAGAGAATGTCCCCAAACAGGGGTGAGACCTACTGTAGGATCTGGGTACCCTCTGGATCCCTCCTCATCTGGTCTCTGAGGACCTTCAGGGTGTAGAATCCTGTGGTCTCCCCTAGAACTGCAACCATGTCTGAAATGACAAAAATGGGCATGGATGGAGGATATGGCCTCAGGAAGTCACCTGATTTGAGCCTTGGTTTGTACGTGGTAAAATATGGATAATGTCTACCTCTAGGAATGATATGCTTTGTAAATCACTGGCACAGCAAAGTCTCATTACATTAATAGTTATTAATGCTATTAATCTACTAGACTGGGGTGGCTTTGGGCAGAACAGTGCCTAACGGATTTATAAATCTCATCTTCCTTCTTCTCCCCTCTCTTGCTGAGAGGCATAGGCAGATTTATTAGGCAGCGATAGAAAGTAAGAGGAAATGAGAAAGAAGCATCTGCTTGAAGAGCTGAAAAGTACAGAGTGCTGTGGAGAGGATCAGACTGGCCCCACAAATCACTGTCACATCCCCTTCTCACACCACACCATCTTGTCTCCACTGGTACACACACCACTGGTACACAAGGCTTGAGTCAAGGCCTGTATGCAGCCCATGCATATGTGACCTGGCACAAACTGCTTCACATTTCTAAGCCTCATTTGTTAAGTGCAGGTATAATATCTCATCAGGTAAAACTGAGGAATCCAGAAAATCTTGCATGTAATACTCTTAGCACAGTGTTCAATAGGGAGTTACATCGTTCTTTTCTGGTTTTTTTTTTTTTTTTTTTTTTCTTGGCAGTACTGAGGATTGAACCCAGGGCCTCCCAAATCCTAGGCAAGTGCTCTACCACTGAATTATATTCCCAGTTCTTTATTTTTATTTTGAGACAGAACCTTGCTAAGTTTCCCAGGGTAACCTAGAATCTGGGATTCTTTTTGCCTCAGCCACTTGAGTAGCTGACAGTACAGGTTTGCCTGTATTATTGTGTTTATTAGCCGGAGTACAGCACTGTTTGGAACTCAGCATTACTGGGAGTGATGAGAAAGACAATGTAGAAGCACAGAATGCTCTAATTATACATCCAGCAAACATTTACTGAGCATTTGCTATGTGCCACAAACGCTGCATACACAGTGGACCAGAACAGTCAGGCCCTTGACTTCATAAAGTTTCCTTTATAGAGGTACTGTTACAATATGATGCATGCTCATCAATCATCGATTCGAAACCTTCAAGAAGTACTACTCTGAGAAGTACAAATCAATGGTAGTTTTACATATTTAAAGAAACCGTAAGGGCTGGGGATTTAGCTCAGTGGGGTAAGCATCTGCCTCATAGGCACAAGACTGTGAGTTTGCTCCCTAGTACCAAAAAACCAAAACCAAACTAAAACAAAAAACCGTTAAGATCTGCTTCCAGCTTGACAGTATAAAGAGATCTACAGAACTGTTTTCAACTGAAATTGAAACAATTTTATAAAAACCATTTAGAAACTGGATATCGTGATAGTGTATGACTGTAATCCCAGGACCCTGAGAGACTGAGGTTGAGACTCCAAATCAGCAACACCTGCTCTCAAAATAAAGCGGGCTGGAAATGTAGCACAGTAGAGAGTGCTTCCTTCTATGCACAGTGCCCTCGGCTCAATCCCCCGCAATACAATCATGATCCAAAATCAGAATCTCCCGCGAAGAATTTACAAAGGCAGACGTTCAGATTCCACGCCACTTTTTCCCTCCTTTTCCTCTGCCCAACAGATTCAGATTCAGAGTTCAGGGAGGTTCAAGGCAGCTGGTTTATATAGGCGTTCCTGATAAGGAGATAGGAAACGAAGGCTTTGCAGAGTTAATGACCCGCCCAGGGTTCCAAGGCAATGGCATCCCGATTCCTCGCTGCCGCGGTGGAACAGCCGGGCTCGCGAGCCTCACCGTGGCGATAGGGGTCGTAGAGCGCCATTCCCGCCGAGCCAGCGGCTAGCAGCGCCTTCTGCAGCGGAGAGGTGGGAATATGGTCTGGGTACAACAGGCTGGTGCCATGGATCCCAGCTCGGAAGGGCACATCTGCGAGGTCAGAAAAAGACAGATCAGAGAAGCCCAGAGTCCGCATGTTCTTTCCGCCTGGCACTAGAACCCGGCGCCACTTGTCCGCAGTAGACAAGAGACCACCCGGGAGTCGGCAGAAGGGAAGCGAGACCCGGAGCCACAGCGTCGTCATGGCAGCGGACGTCTGCCGTACTGTAAGCGGGGCAAAGTTGATGTCCCATAATTCCCGGAGGACGGAGCGCCAGAGAGGTCAAAAAGACTATCCAACGAATGTGCTGCTGCCTGTGATGGGAAAACATTGTTATCTGGTCAAGAAAGGGCCATATGGATAAATATGAGTGGGAAACACATGCGACCAGTCTGCCGCCTATTTCCATCGATGTAAAACTGTCTCCATTTCCCTAAACCCCAGACAGGATCGAAGGAGATGTACGCCCTTACCCCCAGCTCTGCGGATCAATCCCGGACCCTGTTTCCTTCCCTGATTCACGTTTCCCCCCGAGGACAGGAAAGTGAGAACTTCTTCCGGCCGTTGAAATTGGTGGCTTCTATTGTGAGGACCACATTTGGAGCCGGACCGGTCCCGGCACTTCCGTTTACATCTTTGCTTTTTGGCCAGGCCTGCGAGTTGAGAGAATGGGGTCCCCTGGACTGGCGCGGCTGCATGGCCTCTTTGCAGTGTATAAGCCCCCGGGGCTGAAATGGCTGCATCTGCGGGACACCATAGAGATGCAGCTTCTGAAAGGTGGGAGCCTTCTACCACCACCCTGCTCTGCGCGTCCTGAGAATCCCTCTCTGCTTCTCATCCTTCTAGCAAAGTAGTCATGTAACCTGTTCGCTTGCGCTGATTGCTGTCCTAATTATCTGTTCTGTACACTCTATCACGCCACATCCCCTCCCCCTACTTACAGGTGGGAAACTGACTCAGTTTGGTCTTCATTACTGGGTTCGTTAGGAGAGTCGATGAGTTCGCTCCCCCATACTAAAAAGATAAATAAATAAAAGAGTTGAGACCATGTCTTTATTAACTGAAAGATTTTCTTCACTTTTTACTTGTGTGTTCAGGTCTCAATGCCTGCAAACCTCCTACACCGAAACAGCGTGTTCGCTTTTTGCTGGGTCCCATGGAAGGCAGCGAAGAGAAGGAACTGACTCTCACAGCCACCAGCGTACCCACCCTCACCAACCACCCGCTGGGTATGGCATGCAAGCAAGATCTTGGGTGTCACTTCCCAGGAAGTCCTTGACCAGAGGGCTGCCCCCAACCCTTAAGGGCTACAGTGAAGTGGATGAAGTATTGAGTCAGAGATTGACAGACTTTCCTGGAAAGGTCCAGCTTCCAAATTTGACACAGGATCTCACTGTGTGTTCTCGGCTATTCTGAAACTCATGGTGATCCTCCTGCCTTATCCTCCTGACTGTTGGGATTATAGGCATGTGCCACCACCATGTCCAGCCAGATTCTGAATATTTTAGGCTTTGCAGGCCATGTGATTTGGGTTGTAGCCTCTTAGCTCTGCAATTGTTGGTAAAATAACTGTAGGCAGTAGGGAAAAGAATGAGTTTGGTTGTGATTCAATAAAACTTCATTTATGATTGTAGTAGAAAACAGACAGCTGGTTGTACACTGGTAGTCTTAGCTACTTGGGAGGCTGAGGCAGGAAGATCACTTGAGCTTGGGAGTTCTAGGCCTGCCTTAGCAATATAGCTTTAAAAAAGCAAAACAAAGGCTTGAGATTTGGTCTGTGGACTATGATTTGTTTACTCTTGTACTATTCAGGACTCTGGGGGGAATCAAGACCTTCAGGTAGAATTCTTTTTGTTTGTTTTGTTTTGTCTTATGGGTCTGACTATGCAGTCCAGGTTTACCTTGAATTCACAGCTGGTATGCAGCCCAGGCTGGCCTGGAACTCCTGGCCATCCACTTGCCTTTGCCTCCCACGTACAGGGATGTACCGAACCGCCCAGCTTGAAGTCTGCTGGGAGAATGGTGATAGGGGAAGTTAGTGTTGCCCTTTCTGTAGGCCCTGGAGAACAAGGAAGTAATTCTGGGCTCCACATTCCATAGTGGGGTAACCTGAGGGTCTAGTCCGATCCTAGTGTTGGCTTCGTGGACCTTTACTCTAGGAATGTGGTCCTCACGTAGCCCAGGGCCGTCTTGGTGGTGGATCTGTTGAGAAATGGACTTGCTGTGTCTTTGCAGTACGTGGGCCAGCATTCACCAGCCTGAAGATTGGTGTGGGACACAGGCTGGATGTCCAAGCGTCAGGTGTGCTCGGTAGGTGATGTGGGCAGCTTGGGGTGTGGTGATGGCCTTAGGAAGGATCAGGCAGCTGCCAGGTGTCCAGCACACTTCTTTTTTTTTTTTTTTAATCTGGAACATGAGATTGAATCCAGCACACTTCTTAACTGATAGCTACCTTCTATCACTGCCCACCTTGCCTGATTACCACCCCATGCCTCTGACCATTGGGAGGGAGGGAGTCACAGGACAGTGATTCCAGTGGCCCATCTTTATCAGCTGATTCTGCATATGGCATGCAGTTCAAGGTCTTTGTTTTGAGACAGGGTCTCACTGTGTAATCCTGGCTGGCCTTGAACTCACTGTGTAGCCCAAGGTAGCCTATACTCCTGGCAGTCCCCCTGCCTTAGCCTCCTGAGTTCCAGGCTTTACAGGCATGTGCCACCATACCAGTCTGAAGGTCTTTTATGCACCTATCCTTATTAGATGGATACTATGAGGTTCTGTGCATGAAGAAAGAAAGGCTTCAGGAGCTTAGGTGACTTGGCCTGGGTTAGTGCCGTCACAGGTGAATGTCCCTGTTCCCCGGTGGGAACGATGTCATCCTTTCATGAGGCAGACGGTGGGTGACTCGCCTTTCTGGCCAGAGTCTGAATATTGTTGGAGCTGGAGACACAGGTCCTTTAGTCATGAGCTGTTTGTGTCCCCAGGGTCATGTGATAACCATGTCCCTACCCTTGACAATTGTGGGTTGCCTTGTCTTGCTTCTGGGACTGAGGGCCAGCAGACTTGCTGTTCCCCCTTACTGTTCCTCCAGGAGTGAATAGAGAGAGTCATTCTCTTCAGCCCAGCTGACAGGCAGACTGCAGAGAGGCAGGAAGTGGCCACTCTGTGCTGATCCCTTTCTCTGTGCTGTCAGCCAGTGCATTGTCTCCTTGAATCTGCTTGACACCTGCCCCAACTTGAGCCCCAAAAGAGAGCCATCATATTTGACTGCAGCTGGGCATGGTGGTGCATGCCTGTAATCCCAGCACTGGGGAGGCTGAGTCAGGAGGATCCCCTGAAAGTTCAAGGCCAACCTGGGCTACATAGTGAGATGGTGCCTCAGAACCAAACAAACCTCCAGGAAAAACCAAACTTGACTGCAGCACTGTGGGACAGGGCCATTCCCTTCCTTTCAAGTACATAAGAAACAATCCCTGGGGAATTCACCAAGGGCCCCAGGCCCCTTCCTTATCCACCATGAGGCAGATTCTGTGCAACCCGAATTTTGCCATCTCCCCAAGGAGGCTTGTGTTCTGGTGGCAGGGGCGGGGTAGGGGTGGCGTGAAAGGGATTCCAGATGAGGTGGCTGCCTTTCAGTGCTCGCCGTGGGACACGGATGCAGACTCCTCACCGACCTGTATGACACTCACCTCACCAAGGTACGGGGCCTAGAATAGCTGCCCACCCTTGGTCCTTTCCAGGGGTCGATAGTGAGAATCTGGGAGGTGGGACATGGATTTGACACCCGGAAACGCGTGTGGAGGGGCCACATCTGTAGTGCGGTAATCACAAGACTTTGGGTTTGGAACCTAGCATGGCGCTGGGGATATAGCTCAGTGGCACAGTACCTGCTTGGCAAGCTCCGAAGTTGTGAGTTCCATTCTCGGCACCCCAAAAATAAAAATAACACAAACATTTGTCAGGCCTGGGGTGTTGCTCTGTAGTAGGGCTACAGCCGTGTAAGCCTAGTGTGTGCACCCTGAGTTCCATTCCCAGCAGCCACCAAAAACAGAAAGCCCTCGAGCTCCTCTCCACAGCTAGGCGTCCTTGGTATACATCCGCCAAAGCAGGCACCGTCCAGGTGGCCTTGGATGGGTCTCTCAGCACCTGTGCTTCTATTTCCTTTTCTGTGCAGTGGGAGTGAGGAGGGGGTTTCCCTGCTGCAAAGACAAAATGAGTGGCTGCAGGTGGAGTGCTTAGCACAGCCCCCAGCCAGGGTGCACGCTCAGTAAATGGAGCTCTCTTCCTTGTGGAAGACACACCAGGTGTGCAAAGTTAGAGGAAGGGGAGTCCCTGGAGCATGGAGGCAGAGGTGCCAATGGAGCCCTCTCAGCTGGAGGAGAGAGATGTAGAGGTGGTGGCTGTAGGGTGACTGTCACCGCCTTTGCAGGTGGGCCCATGCAGCAGCAGTGTAAGATTGGCCCCTCCCCCACCCCAGGTTCCAGAGAGAACTTGGGTAATGAGAGAGTGACCTGAGGACCCCTTGCAGAGCCAGCGCCTTCCCCAGGGCCCTGACCAAGTCTCTGCCTCCTACCTCCTAGTGCCATGCCATGGAGCGGATTCACTGACCGGTCTTCCCTGCCCTTGTAGGCTTACACAGTGCGCGGCCTGCTGGGCAAAGCCACAGACAACTTCCAGGAGGACGGGCGGCTGGTGGAAAAGACGACCTATGGTGAGAGCCCCTGCTGTGAGTTCCCCTCCCCTGGGCTCCTCACCCCACCCAGCCATGCTGGTGCCAGCTCAGTTACTCCGATCTGCATGCCAGGCTCAGGCTGGGGCCTTGGCCTCGTACCTGCCTCCCAGAATGCCCTGTGCTCACCTTCTTGCCTGGCTCACATGTTCCCTCCTTGGGCCTTGAGCTGGATTCACGCTCAGAACGGAAACCAGCTGAGGTGGGTGTGGTGGTACACACACCACTCAGGGTCCCTGCCATGGAATGTCGGGCGAGGGACAGTAGGTCTTTCGCATTACATTACTAGGAAAAAGGGGTGTGTGTGTGCCCTTTACACTGAGTTACAACCGCAGCCCTTTTTATTTTTTATTTTGAGATGGGATTTCACTAATTCCCTAAGCTGCTCAGTGTGGCCTCAAACTCGTGATCCTCCTGCTTCAGCCTCCTAGAGTCCTGGGGTTACAGGTGTGCACCTCCACACCTGGCTTAGAAGAATGTATTGTTAACCTGGAGTGCAGATGACTTACTTTCATGGGGTCTTTGCACACTGGAAAATATCTTCAGAACATTAAATTCCTGTGTGTTGGGCTGAGAAGAGGGTGTAGACTTTCCATAGACTTCCCTGGAGCTGGGCATGGTGGGACACACCTGTAATCCAGCACCAAGGCTCCAAATTTCAAGGTCATCTTCGGCAACCAAGCCAGACCAGTCTCAAAGTAAAATTTTCAGAAAGGGGGATGCTGGAAAGGGTAAAGTATTTACCTAGGCTTTTCTGGACCTCTGCAAAACCCCAGACTATTGCTTTGGTGGGTTCCAAGTGCAGGGCTGCTGGTGTGGTAGAAAGAGTTGCCAGTGTTTTGTCGCCTGTCCTCAGTGGACACCTTACACTGACCACCCATACTGCATGCCTTTTCCAGACCACGTGACCAGAGAGAAGCTGGAGCGGATCCTGTCTGTCATCCAGGGCTCCCACCAGAAGGCCCTGGTGATGTGAGTGGCCCCGGGGCAGTGCTGGGACAGGAGGACCTCCAGCATCTTGTTCTCAGAAATGTCAACTGAGTATGAGCCCCGTCCCTCTCAGGGCATGCAGGAGTGTTCTATATGCTCCCCAAGGAGAACAGAAACTCCAGGACCCTCTGGGGCACCTGGGTCCTGGTGGGGAGGAAGCCAAAGACCGAAGGCCCAAGGCCAGATCAGAGGGCAATCCAGTCTGGCAGGTGCAGGGTCTTCCTTGGTCCTGAGAGCTGGAGCTTGGTACCAGCCTGTGTGAGACCTTGACTCAGCATCAGCAGCATGGCCCTGGGTGAGGCATCTGCTGTGTGCCTCGCTTTCCTTTTCTATAAGTTGGACAGAGAGAATCCCTGCTGTAGGGCCTATTATCTCAGCACTGGGGAGGCTGAGGCAGGAGAATCACTGAGTTCGAGGCCAGTCTGGGACACATGATGAACTCAGGCCTGTCTGGACTGTCTAGTGAGACTATGCCTCCAAAAACAGAAAGAAAGAAAGGAGGGCCAGGATTACAGTTCAGTGCACAGCACCTGCCTGGCAAGTGCAAGGTTGTGAGTTTGATTCCCGGACCCCTTCCCCCAAAAAAAGTTTAAAAAGGGCTCTTAAGAGATGGAGATACCCTCATTCACTCCTCACGGTGCGGCTGTGACCCAGCTGTCCGCTCTCTACTACCCACCCACCATGTGTCTCTGGCTTCCAGGTACTCCAACCTGGACCTGCAGTCGCAGGAGGCCTATGAGATGGCCGTGAGGGGGCTGATCCGGCCCATGAGCAAGTCCCCGATGCTGATTAGCGGCGTCCGCTGCCTCCGCTTTGAGCCTCCGGAGTTCCTCTTAGGTGAGTCGCCAGAGGGTGCAGCTGTGAGCACACTGGCACTGAGCTGTGGCAGAGGCTACTGCGGTTCAGCTTGGCTGAGGCCCTGGTCTCTGCTGGCTACGGCTGCGGGGCCAGCTCCTGCCCTGGCCTCCTCCTCCGGGTTACACCTTGAAGCTCGACTTTGGCACACAGCCGGCACCTGGTAGCTCAGTTCCCAGCTGCGGTGACTCCTATTGCCACAGGCTCTCGTGCTCCCTCACACCCCGTTCTGCCCAGACCCGCCCCCGGGACCCCTATTCCATGACTTTGGTCATGTTAACCAGTGCTCTTTTTCTCCAGTGCTGGTGCTGTCTAAGCACCCTGTATAAATGATGGCTTGACTCTTCATGGCCTCATTTTATAGATGAGCAAACTGAGTCTTCCAGCAGCACTTCTGTCCATTACCTGGGAGTCTCTTTTAAGGGCAGGTCTAACCTGGTAGGTGCAGGTCAGGGGCCTGAGGTCCAGCACATCTGACCCCCACCCCACCCTGGCCATCAGGCTGAGCAGCAGAGCCCTGAAAGGAGGCCACAGCTGGGAGGGGTCCTGGGTGTGGGAGCCTGTGGCTGTGCTCCCGATGACGTGTACACCCATGCGCCCAACAGAGGTGCAGTGCGTGCACGAGACGCAGCAGCAGCTCCGGAAGCTGGTGCATGAGATAGGCCTGGAGCTCAAGACCACTGCTGTCTGCTCCCGGGTTCGGCGCACACGCGATGGCCTCTTCACGCTGGACGATGCCCTCCTCAGGACCCAGTGGGACCTGCAGAACATCCAGGAAGCCATCCAGGCCGCAGCCCCTCGGGTGGTGGCAGAGCTGGAGAAGAACCTGAGGCCACATTCTGGCACCCAGCAGCTCCCAGGTCCTGCCGGGCCCCAGGGCTCTGGGCACCCAGACTCTGCCTTGGGGCTGGGATGCTGGAGGGCAGGCCGGGCAGCTGGTGGGGCAGTGGGTGGATTAAGATAAAGGCTTAGTGTTCAGAAGGCAGAACTGCTACGTGTGCAGGAAATTAGTACAGAAAGCTTAGCAAATCTCAGGACTGGGAACCTGAGGCAGGAGGGTCATAAATTTGAGCCCAACCTGGGCAACTTAGCAAGCCCTTGTCTTTCAGGAAAAAAATATTAAAAGAAGGGCTAGGGATATAGCTTGTTGTGGGGGCCTCAAATTCAATTGCCCATACTGGGGGAGAAGAAAGAAAAAGGCTTGTCTACATTAGACACAAAACAGATTGTAGCCAGCCATAGTAGTGCATGTCTATAATCCCAACATTTAGGAGAAGCTATGGAAGGAGGGTTGGGAGGCTGAGGCATGAGAGTAGCCATGAGTTTGAGGCCAGCATAGGCTACAGCATAAGTTCAAGACCATCCTGAGCTCCATAACAAAACCCTGTCTCAAAAAAGACAAAAACAAGATCAAATGCTCAGTTTCAGCTGGGCACGGTGGTGCATGCCTATAATTCTGGCACTTGGGAGGCTGAGGCAGGAGGATTGAATGTTTGGTCTAAATTTAGCAGTTTATAACTTAAAGATAACAACATACAATGTACTAACCAGTGTTACCCTCTGGTTATGTTTTGTAATTTTATTTTTTCTGTAAATTTTTTAAAAATTTTATTTATCTAAATTTTTTTGAAACAAAAATAAATAAGTTAATTGATTTAGCAGCCCAGTGAGACCCTGTCTCAAAATAAAACATGGACTGGGCTGTGGCTCAGTGTGAAGGCCCTGGGGTTAATCCCCAGTGCAAGGAAACAGCACAGTTCCCTTGTCCAGGGGATGAGCACAGCGATTTTGCCCACCCATGATTGACAGGGAGGTAAGTCAGGTGCTTCTCGAAGCACCTGGTGCATGGCAGGTGCTGTCACTTGAGCTGTCACTTGTGTGGCTGCTGTCCCTCTGCACCTTCTGAGAGCCGAGGTAGGCATGGAGGGTCCCCCTTCCCTCCACCGTGTTCCTCAGGTGTGAAGAGCCTTCCCAGGAATCTGTCGCATGCCCTGCGGACGGGGATGACAGCGGTCCTCTGCCTCTGTGATCTTTCTCCTGTGTCCCTCACCCAAGTTCTGTACTAGAAACCTTAGGCGAGGAGCAGAGCCTTGGATAGGACAGGATAGACATTGTCAGGGCAGGGCTGCTCAGAGAAGCACCCCCCAGGAGGAGCCCAGAGATGCATGAGTGAATGACATCTCCGGGGGACCAGAAGCAGGTCAAGGCTGCAAGAAAGTGGTGGACTTTGGAGAAGGATGTGGAGAAACAGTGCAGTGACAAACCTGGTACTAATGTGGGTGTTAACACCCTAACAGCAGTCTGGGTGCCCAGGGTGGGGGTTCTCTGTCCTCTCAGATTTGTTCTGAAAGTGGCCCCAGGGCACAGGACTTCTGGAGGCTGAAAGAGTGCAAGTTCAATCTCCACCTGGACAGTTTACAAAGAGCTGTCTTTAAAAAGGGGGCTACCAGGCTGCGGCAGGAGGATTGCTTCGAGTTGGAGGCCAGCCTGGGCTGCAAAGTGAGCTCAAGGCCAGCCTGAACTTCATAGCGAGACCCTGTCTCAGAAAGACCGAAAAAAGAAAAAGTAAAAAAGAGATGTCAGACTGGGGATGTGGCTCAGTGGTAGAGAGCTTGCCTAGCGTGCACAGGGCCCTGAGTTCAACCTCCAGTACTATGCACACATAGCAATAAAACGGTGCTGTATGTGGTGGTACCTGTCTATAATCCCAGCCCTTGGGAGGCTGAGGCAGGATTGCCATGAGTTAAGGCCAGTCCGCACTACATAGTGAGACCCTGTCTTAAAAAAAAAAAAAAAATTCATGGGGCTGGGGATTTAGCTCAGCAGCATAAGCTCCTGCCTTGCAAGCAGGCAGTCGTGAGTTTGATCCCCAGTACCGATTAAAAGGAAAAAAGACAAAAAAAAAAAAAAAAAAAAAAAACCGTAAGACTGGGGATTTAGCTCAATGGCATGACCCCACACACACACAAAAAATTCATACACTTGATCCCAGCCTTAATTCAGGTATGGGCCCCAGAAACCTGCCTTTTTCAAGTGTCCCACATGAACTATATACTAGGGGTTTAAGAAACATGCAGAGAGGCTAACTAGGGGCTCCCTTTTCCTTTTGGGGTTCAGGGAAAAAGTACCCCATAAACTGAGTACCTTCAGTAGAAAGGTATTGTCCCAGCTGTGGAGGTCAGAGGTTAAGGTTCAGGGTGTCAACAGGAGCTGGTTGTCAATCAGCAGTCAGGAGGCAGAGGCAAGAGGGTTGCTGAGTGTTCAAGGCCAGCCTGGACTGCACAGCGAGACCTCTGTCTTGCAGATTCATTGTCCTGTTTCTGTCCTCACCATGAATATGTGTCTCCAAGTGTCCCCCTTTCACTAGGCCCCCAGCCAGGCGAGAGGCCACCCTGCTGTGGTGTGGCCTCACCTAGCTAATTGCTAGCTAATTATAAATTCCGTGTTGTATACAGAAAGTTACCTTGATCTGCTAGAATTCACAAGGTTTGGGAAGTTGGTGTAAGCTAAGGAGCCATCTGTCATACTCAGGAACTGAGGCAGGAGGATCCCTGTAAGTTTGAGGCCAGCGTAGTGAGACCGTCACGAAGGGTAAAAACAAATACAGCAATAAAAAAGCTAAGAAGGGGCTGGGGGTTTAGCTCAGCGGCATAAGCGCCTGCCTTGCAAGCAGGCAGTCATGAGTTCGATCCCCGGTACCGATAAAAATGAAAAAAGACCAAAAAAAAAAAAAAAAAAAAGGCTAAGAAAAGTGTCTCACCCAAGCCCTTGAGAAGGGGCTGTGTCTGCTACCCAAGCCCTTGAGAAGGGGCTGTGTCTGCTTCCCTGCTGGAGCTGTGACCCTGGGCTCCCAGGACAGGCCCTTGTGTGAGGGACACAATACCTGACACCCACAGCGTAAAGGAGGAGAGGGATAATTCAGCCCACGGCTGACTAGCTTCAAGGTGGAAGCAGCGTCATGGAAGGGCCTCCTTTCATAGAGCTGCTTAGGTCCTGGTGGCCAGGAAGCAGAGCAGGGCAACAGGGCCCAAGAGGAAGAGGCAGGAAATAGATCTGGTTCCCAAGGTCTGTAATCCACCCATACATGCCCAGAAGCTGCTTTACTAATCCTATGGGCACCTCTTAAACCAACCACAGTGACAGTTAAGGTTACCATCACACTGGTCTTGAGCTTGCCTTCCTCCTGCCTCAGCCTCCTGAGTAGCCAGGACCACAGGCATGTACCAACATACTTGGTATCTGCTTCACTTAGGAATATGATGTATGGTCCCTAGGCAAGGGTACTATCTTACGTTTCTCATTGCTGAGACAAAATACCTAACACCCAAGCTAAAGGGGGAAAGGTTTATTTAGCTCACAGTTTGTGGAGGTTTCAGTCCATAGCTGGCTCCAAGGCAGGGTGGCACATGGCAGAGGGCAACAGTTCATGGCCACTGGAAGACAGCAAAAGCAACAAGGGAGAAGGCATAACATGCTTTGCATCTTCTATCTTGTGTGCAGGCTACTGCCCTAGGGCCAGTGTGGCACTGAGCACTGAGTTAGGGCCTGAGCCCAGCACTGGGTGGTGCATTAATCACAAACACCAGAGTCGGCCACCACTGAAGAGCCCCCCTCCTATGACTGTAAGAGCCTCTAGACACACCCCTAACAAGGGCTGTGGATGGAGGGCCTGAGTTCACCTTGCTGAGTTTGGGGTCCTCACTTGTCAGGTTAATAAAACCTGTCTTCCCAGGTGTGGTGGTGCACACCTGTAAATACCAACACTCAGGAAGTGAGCAGGAGGATCATCAAGGGTTCCAGGCTAGCCTGAACTACATAGTAAAACTGTCTCATAATAAAACTAATGCCTGTCTCACATAGCTGACAAGACAAACCACAAGGCAAACAGCTTTCCAGGGACCAGGAAATAGCAGCTAGTGTACTTGATCTCATTTAGTCCTCAGATTTGCTTTAGGCACCATGGTTATCTTCATTTCATAAGTGAGAAACAAGCATTAAGAGGGCAAATGACGGCCAAGCCAGCTGTGATGGTACATGCTTGTAACTCCAGTACTTGGGAGGCTGAGGCAGGAGGATCACCTGAGCTATAAGGCAGCCTGGGCTACATATGAGTTCAAGGCCAGGCTAGGATAGATAAGAATCCTTGCCTCAAAACAAATAAAAAAGGAGATTGGGAAGTGGATGGAGAGATTAGGTCACAAGGTAGAGCCCTGGTAAATTGGATTTGTTCTGTATAGCAGAGGCCTGCAGGTGGTGGTGGGGTGGCTCAGGGATGAGTCTTGTCTTTGCCTGTGTGAGGCCCTGGATTCCATGTCCAATACAGAAAAAATGCCCAAGAAAGCACCTGGCATTATAAATAGCTAAATTCTTTTTTTTTTTTTTTTTTTTTTTTTTTTGTACCAAGGATTGAACTCATGGCCTCTGTGCTTATGCTGCTGAGCTAGATCTCCAGCTTCTTTTTTTTTTTTTTTTGGTACTGGAGATCAAATTCACAACCTCACACTTACCAGGCAAGTGCTTGTGCCGCTGAGCTGCATCCCTGGCCCTAACCAGCTAAATTCTTTAAACTGTGTGTGGTGGATGACACCTGTCATCCCAGCACTTTTGAGGCTGAGACAAGAGGATTGCTGTGAGTTCAGGGCCAAGGTGGGCTACAAAGTGAGTTCAAGGCCTGGTTGAACTACATAGCAAAACCCTACCTCAAAATAAATAAATACATGAAGGACTGGCGGTGTAGCTCAGTGGTGGAGCATCTGCCTCACGTGAAGCCGTGAGTTCTACCCTGAAGGGTGCAGAGACAGAAATCACCTATATGAGAGTGCTGTACTATATGTGTCCTGAATGGAAAACCCCAGACCTGTTCTGTTTTGTTTCTGTAGTTTTGGGGATGGAAACCAGGGCCTTGCTACTCACATCCCCAGCTCCAGTGCTTTTTGTACCAGGAATGGAACTCAGGACCTTGTGCCTGCCAGGCAGGTGCTCGTGCCACTGAGCTTCACCCTTGGTCCTGCCTTCTGTCTTAACAGCACAGACTGTGATATATGCAGGTGCACAGGCTGCCTGCTGCCGCCTGCTTCTCTCATTAGCAGCCAGGCCTGACCATTTCTCCACATCTGTCCGTCCACTGACCTGGGCACTCTCCTCCAGACTCCACGGCGGTGGCAGCTGTGGCAGGAATGGGGCTCCATATCTGAGGAAGAACTTGCTCCCTGTAGGCCCTGACCTCCACCTTCCCTGCTAAGCAAACTGCTGCCCTGGGATGAGGCAACTTCCCAAGGGCCTCGATTCTCTGTGGCTCAGAAGGTGTGTCAGCACCTACCACTGACTGTTGTAGGCACCAGGAAAACACATCAGGTATCAGATAAGGCAGCTGGGCACCCAGGGGGGACAGTGGTGACCACAGGCAGGGCCGTGAGAGGCGTGAAGGTAGTGAGGGACGGAGCTTGCAAGGCCACGTCAACAGTGGCGGGTTGGTCAGGGCAAAGTCGGGTCCCAAGGGCCACGCCGGACAATCACCTGGGAGTGAGGAGACCTTTATACCTCCTATGGCAGATGTCACCTGGCATTGGACTGTCAACCCAGGTGACAGCGATCGTCCCTTCAGAGGGGCTGCCTGACTGCTTGGGGCTTTTCCGTGGCACGGACACCAGTGCCTGCCACA